TTCCAACTTCTTGCCATAAAAAGCCATGCGAGACTCTGGCGATTAAAATCGATCTTAAGGCTCATAAATTATGCAATTCAGCAAACGGAGAACTTCACTGCTCCGGCAGACAGACAGTAGCGGACCATGAGATGCCAGATTGCAGAATTGGAATAGAAGAGATCAGGGGGAATTAAGAAGTTCACTAACAAGAAGATAATTGCAGTTATAAAGCTATAAAATGTACAGGTGTTTTGAAATCACTTGAAAAGGTGCCTAAAAGTATGCAAGACAATCCTTTTATTTAGAAAGTTCAACATAAATCTTATATATGATTATTTTCCTACCAAAAATATTGATTATTAAAGGATCTTATAGACAAAGTAAAGCAATTTCGCATAAAATAATTCAATACAGCCAAAAATTATCTTAGAGTACATATCATTAACTTCTTTCGATTTATGAGACTATTTATTAAGTCCAGTAATTAAACGTTATTATCTCTACTTCTGGCCGACAGAGTGGGTTACGAAATCTCAACTTAAAGTGGAGACCTCGCTTGGAGGAGGCTGCATCAACTTCATCTGCGTGTGGTCACTGTTTGCTTCAGTTTCCAATGCAGCCTCTTAGCTTTAGTTTTTGTTTTTGAATCCAGCCCACGCCCATGTCAGTGGGCACCCACAAGCGTAGCAGAGCTCTGGCAGTTGGACACTCGGACAGTTGGACAGTTGGGCGGCTCAACTTTAACTTCGATTTTCAATATTCATGACAGGAATGGGGGCGGCTAAGGGGAGCAATGCCGGAGATGGGGGAGAACGGTGCTCGAATGGCAGTCGAAAATTATGGCAATTACTGCAGAGAACTGTAAATTATTTGCTCTGGCGACCTCATTGTCAACACACACACACCACACACACACCTAGCGTGTGTGTAAATATTCCCACATGCACTTTGCATTCGCTGTTTAATAATTCAGTGTGCTTAATGCAAATTAAGCGTTTAGCTGCCGTCAGTAGGCAGTGCAGAATTATCTGATAAATCGGTCGATGGCTTAGATTTTTTATAAGACTTTTGAAATATTATGCTGCATTAAATGATATTATTTTAGATCAATATCTTAAGCGCCACAGATATCTTCAATGGATTGGAATTTTAGGGGTTTCAAATCTTTGGAAAATGAATACCTATTCCTTTGTATCAAACAAACTTCTAATAGTTACAAAAAGACCTTCTAAAGCTCTGATTCTGATAGCTAAAAATAAAAGTAATTTCTTAATAATACTAGCCTTGATTAAATTTCTCTCTATAATGCCTAAATTTTCTGAAATATGATTATGATATTAGCATTAATTTCAAAGCTGATTGCCAAGACCTTATTGCCTTTAAAGAACACTTCCAGATTTCATGGTTTTCTCAAAGTGACTCTGTGATTAAGTGTTTTGAAAACGGTCAACCAATTACCAATCAGAGGGTCACTCATCACCGAGGAATCCGCTTAAGCTTATGGGCTCTTATCTCGAAATTCCGAGAGCACAATTATGCGTCTTGGCTTATCGGTGGCAGCCTCAGCCCCCAATTACAACGTTCGCGTAATTATACCCAGCAAATCGCTCTTAAAAGACGGAAGGGACAGTGATTCTCTGGGAAATCAGTGGGAAGGGGAATATCGGGGGAAGTAAGCGCCTTATGCGGCTTACTTGTAGGTCGTATAAAGCGGAACGACGCGACGGCTACTTGCTTTATTTTATTTACTTTTTATACGCATTTGTGCAATATTTATTTTTATGCCAACTGCAATGGCCAGTGATAAGCGCTCTGACCGGCGGATGAGGATGAGGACACAGCTAAGGGGGAGACGTGAAGGAACGGCGGCGACAGCGGAAATTTATGGTCGTCACATAAAACGCATAATCAGTAAACGAATGTGCCACAAAGGCAGAAAAAGAACAGAAGAGAGAGACTGGGCTTTAGGCATTGGGGATCCGGGTTTGGGGGACTGAAAATTGGAGTTGGAGCTGGAGGGATTGGAGGTTTAACCGAATGACCGATGGTCAGGGAATGGCTATAGTCATAGCTATGCTGGAACGATTCCCTTGTGGCTCCGTCATTCGCACATTCGATGGAAAATACTTTGATGGAAATGCAAATTCAAGCAAAACGTGTGCGTAACTTATGGCTCCTGTTTGAATACACTGAGAGATAAGGGAGTGCTAGAGAGTGATTTAAGGGTGTTGAGATAGTGGATATAAAAGCCTACAATATTTACGTTAAAACTTAGGTATAAGTAAGAAAACTTACTTAGTCTTTCAGTTGTTATCTTGGATTTGTGTTAGTGTTAATTTAGAATGAAAAACGTTTTAACTTATCGGGAAAAATAAATCTCCTTGATCAATTTCTCTGTGTTTAGTACATTCTACCATAAAAATCATACAAATAAGGGCTAATAAATGTTACATTTAAATTTCAGATTAAACTTGAAATGCTTTATTTTTAATGGATATATATTTTCTATATGAACCTCGCATCTCCATCACTTGTTTCCCCTTTTTTCTTTCAAATGTATTCCCATTTGGGGCCTGAATTTTGTCGCAGTACCCATTATGCACACATTAGCTGTATGAGATGAGTCAGTGCTAAATTGGCTCGCCCAAAGTGCAGCTATTGCACTCTGCACCTATGCAGCACTATTTCACTGTCAATCGATGGGATGGCATCGGGAGTCCGGGTATCGGGCATAGAAATTGCCATCACAGAGCGGGGAACAGGCGGCGGGCCACGTTAATTAAAGCCCTGTAATGTCATTAGCTGGCCTTTTGACTCCGCCAATGATGGCACTCGTCTGGCTAATTAGGTTTGCATCTAATGCAAGACAGGCAGCTGGAAACTGGGAGCTGGCAGCTAGGAGCCGGCTGCTGATTCACTGACACGCGATGTGATGCGATGCCAATGCGATCCAATAGTTGGCGTCTCACTTAATTACCAGCTGCCAATGGCCAGCTTGATAACAGTTAAATTGATTTTGATTGCTTTATTCGATGCCTATAAATCAAAGACGGATGGAAATTCTACGACGAGGCACGTGGACAGGCTCGGGCAGAATTCTGCGTCTTGAAAAACGATATCCAGCGATATGGACACCGATATGCTGGGGACTCTAACTCTAACTCGAAATATATGTATGTGTATATATCCATGCTGACCACTGCCCACTTGGCCGGTGTCAACGTCAAACACGAAACGAAACATTTTGTGCGATTAGCTTGTAAGATTGTTTGCAGCTCTTTTTGTGGCCATTTATTCAACTCAACTCAAGTCGGCAACTGCAACTCGATAGTTAGAGTGAGTAAAACTGGATTGCAGCTGGACCGGGCCAAGAGCTAAAAGCCAAAAGGGTGAGAGGGGTACATGGCAAGAAATTAGGGGGTTTTTTGAAGGCTAAAAAGATATAAATAGACTTGTAATTTATTCTCATTAATATAATATATGTAAAGGGAGGCTTTACCAGTCGTAGATATATTTTTAATATTTGTTTACAATTAAAATTAAATCCCTGTTTAATTTGTAAAGAAAGTATATTTGTAGATCCTTTCCCTATCTTAGTGGTCTTCATTGTCAGTTCCTAAGATTTAAATATTAATTAAAATAAAACTTTATCTCTCTTCAATACCTCTTAGAAATATTCTCCCTACTACGAAGTTTGTTTATTTTTTCTCCGTGTACCACTTGGCTTAGATGTGAACGTAGACAAGCTGGCAAGCCGAAAAGCATTTTGGCCTCATGGTGATTTTTTTTTCTGATTTTTTCTGGCCAGTGTTTGCCCACTCGAATGCCTCCGAGTGGCAATTTTATCGAATTATTTGCACTTAGCTGCAAATTCAATTGGAAATAACGAGCGACTTTTCGTTGTTAGCAATGGGATGTTGAGGATACTTGTGCTCTGAGTTTGGCCACAAACTATCCAAGTCTTCCCCCGAAGCCCCCGAAAAACACAGCAGGTGATTCCAGGCAATGCATCTAACAAATGCACTTTGCACACTCTTGGACTCCGGCTCTGGCTCTGGCTCTGACTCTGACTCTGGCTCTGGCTCAGCGAATGCAATTGATATCTCTGTCACAGTCTTTTTGGGTCGCGTCAAAAATAGCCCCGAGGTGGTAACCCCCATCAATTGAAGTTAACTGGCATACAGTAAACACGGGTTAACAGGCTCACAGGTTACGAGAAGTGCACTGCAATAAATAAGAATTGGGAATGATATATTAATTGCTTGACAAAAAAAAGGTTTACATTCTGATAATAATACCACAAATACTACATATCCTTTTTGACTAATATAATATAATTAAATAAATAAAATAAAAAATATTTACTTGCCGAGTTAAAACTGGTTAAAATTAATACTCTTACGATTCACTTTAACAGATTTGATATTATTTATAACTAATTCATAGCAATTTGATTTAAAAGTAAGAAAATTATCCCTTTGGCTTCCAAAGAGTACACTAAAATTCCCAAGTCTAAATTCTGTGGCACGATAGTAGCAAAGTTAGGAGTACAGAAAATAATAATAATATTCCATTAGAAGATCAAAGGGAAACCCCTTGACATTTCAGTTACCTTACATTTTCCACAGTGTATTACCTATTGCAATTATCTCCTGAGATCACTGTTTTTATTGCCTGAATTTTCTTTGCTCTGTATTTACAATTTTACTCGCTGTGGATATTTCTGCATTGTGCAACACATTGGCACTTGCTTTACATTTATTTTATTTTTATTTTATTTTTTTGTGTAAGTTTTGGCGATAAGCAAAAGCCAAAGGAAATATTTTGACACTTTTTTATGGGGCAATCCGGGAAATATGTCAGCAATGCAATGGCGATATGGCGATATGGAAACCACTTTGTAGCCACTGCCCACTGTCCATGGTTGGGCAACTCCCAGCTATGCTTGAAACCCGACACCCAAGGCCGAAACGGAAAACTGATCTTGATTTCTTTACTCTCTCTCTCACTCTTTGCAGGCAAAACGAGAAGGACTGCGATGAGGATGACAAGGACGATGTGCACGATGCGATGCCGCCGCCCCCGAATTACATTCAAATATCCCAGGGCAGGATCCAGCTGGTGCATCAGCCCCGAACACCAGTGGAGTCGGAGGCGGGCACTCTGTCCCTGGAGCGGTATGGCTCTGGCTCGGGGTCCTGCTCAGGATCTGGATCTGGATCTGGCGGCTGTGATAAGGTGAGCTGAGTTTTGGTACCATTATTAGCCCCAGCCCCGGTATATGGTAACACCCCGGCACGTAGCGCTTCTTGGGGTAGAGAGAGACCTCCATCCAATTACAGACAATCAGCCCGAATCAAATCATAGTCATAGACCCTGTATATATAGTCATAACCCCCTCATCTCGCCGGCAACTAACCTTCGGCTTTCTGGTGTTTTGTGAGCTACAGCGGCGGCGGGTTAACCCAATTTTCCAGGGGAAAGCTAAGAAAGAGCAGCGCGCTTTCCTTTGTTGGCGTGTGGAGAATTTTCCCAAAGTGCGGCAGGCGGCAGGCGGCGGCGGCATGCAAACGAAACTCTCGGCGAAGCAAACACCTTTGAACTCGGCCTGTGAGCCACTTGAACTCGTTAACGTGCCATTTGAGACACATCGCAGCGGCGTTCCAGAGATTGATGGAGCTGGCAGTCAGGCAAAATGCCCCCTTGACATGCGAATCCCCACAGCCGGGTCGGGTCACGCCAACTGTGGAGCACATCTTCCAGCGGCTGTACCCGCGATTTCCCTCCCAATTTCCCCACCAATTCCAGCCTAATTGATCGCGTATAAATGCTGACAATTACCTGGACCCCAGACTCGGTTCAGCATTTCCCAGGGATCGTGCTGTGATCCCATATGCTTGCTCCCTGAATCTCGGACAGGCATTCTCGCTGCTTCTGCTGCTGCTCACGTCCCGACTTCCGTGACGTTTTAATAGCACTAAGTATGGCGCATGCGCGCGGACGCTGGAGTTGATTTATGGCCGGAGCAGGCAGCTGCCAGGTCGGATGCTCCATAAGCGGCTGCAAATGAGCCAGGCGTTCCAGAGCTGAAAGCCGGGAACGTGGTAACACTGCTCCATGTAAATGGCCGTTGACGCGGCTTCCCAGAATCCCATCCAGAAGTCACGGCTCCCGCTAATTGAACCCACGAATCCGCTGCCTGAGCTGCGTGTCTCGATTACCAAGGTCCAGACTTGAGACCAGGTCTACGTCTATTCTTCATCCTCCAGCTGCTGCTGCTGCTGCCAGACACCCACTCGCAGCAAATTTGCCAAATGGCATCTCGATTATTTGTGCGCACACAGAGCTGCAGCTGATGCACTGCATCCATTGCTGTCATCGGAACCCAGTCACGTTCTCTCTCCATAAGTTGCAGTTGCCGCTGTGCTCTGATGTTGCTGCGACTGCTGCTGCTGCGGCTGCTGCTGTTGCAACTGTGCAATTTCGCACTGGCGACGAGTGATTGAGGAGAGTTCAACGAACCGCCAGCTATTTATTTGCTGTGTTTGCTCAGACTTTTGCCCCTGGACCCTCCTTTGTCTCCCTCTCCCTGTCAGCTTCTGGCTCGGATTCCCCGATTCTTCGATTCTCCGATTCTGCTGCACATGCGCACAGTTTCGCCAGCTGGAATACAGCTCTATGGGCTGGCATTGTTGTCGCCGTCACCGTCTCCATTTCATTGCCTGCATTAGCATATGGATATGTGTATATACCTAGGCGCTGCTATATTTGTTTACACAGGAAAAAGTCTTGGTAAGGCGAATAAATATTGTCCAGAAATCGGAGAAGAAATATTCTTAAGAGATATAAATTCAGGGGAGAAAGATACCTAGGCAAGCACAGCCCTACTTTACGTCAGGAATTCTAAACCCTTAAAGATTACTTTAATAAAATATTTATAGATTTCGAAAATACACTTCTTAGATAATAGTTTTCCTCAGTGTCTACCTGGCAGCTCCGCCTCGGAGACTGGATTATTTCCTGCCACAAATCATGGCATTCATTCTCGCTTTTAGTTGGCCAACTCCTCGACTCTTTTGGCCATTCATAATCGCTCGCCGGGATCGTAATCTTTATAAATTCTCTCTCGTTAAGGCAGAACAACAAAAATCAATTTGTCTATTGCGCAAAAATGGCCGAAACAAAGGCACAAAAAAAAAGCACGCTTCGAGAGACAACGCAACCCATTTTCCTCGAGCTATAAAAATTATTTTTACAACTTCCACAACTAATATTAAGTGTTTAACAAAACAGAAGACTGAGGAACGAAAAAAAAATCCAAAAAAGCAAACTGCTGTTTTACGAGCGCGGCGGCGTCACAATAGTTGTTTTTTTTTTGTGTTTTATTTTTTGATTTCTGATGTCTGTTGGCCATATTTGTGTTAGGGGAAAACTTTGAAATTGCCATTTCCATTTCCTGCCCACGCCCCCTCCCCGGCACCCTGATGTCTCCATGTCATTTTGGTATATATATAGCCTACAAAGCCGATCCACAGATCCACATTGAAGACCGGACTCTGGGTTTTTCTTTTCGATTTCAACGCCACAAACTCCACTTTGTGTGCCACGGTTCTTGTGGCATGTCAGCCTTGCTCTCTCGGGTGAATTATTGGCCATGCACACCTGCAACTGGGCCCCCACCTGTACCCTGGCACCTGCCCCAGACCTTCTCCTCATCGCGTGCAGATTAAGTTGAAACTCATTGTGTGTTTTTTTCTTCGTTTTTTTTATTTTTATTTTTATTTGGTACGAGTGCCATGTTGCATTCACTTGGAAAATCGGGATTGTGCCCAAAAGAGTTCAATGTTTTGCTTTTTACACCTCGAATCTGTTTTCGGTGCGGTGACAAGATCGTAAATTAGCTTCAATTGCTTTTCATTTTTCCTACAAGTTGTTATAATTGTTTCTCCCACTTGGCCAAGTTTTTAACCAAAGAAACATGGGGAAAACTTTGTTGTTGTTGCTATAAATGTTACCTATATGGGTTGTTTTAAAAGTCAGTTCGTTGTAATTATTGTTAGCTTAATTGTATATTTAGGTATCATTAAATAGTACAAAATAAATAAATAATTAGTTAGAAAAATAAAAAAAAGTAATAGAGCAGAAAAAGAGAAAAGTTTTCGATGTTTTTGTTTGCATTTTCTAATTTTTAATCAATGAAGAATAAGAATTAATATTAAAGAATCTAATTTACTAAATTTTTTATTAGAAAATAGTTTTTTCTTATTAATGCGTAAATAGTAATAGTGGCAATAGCCTATTATTAATGTTTTTAAAGAGAAGAAAGAATTTAAAATCGAAAAACATCGAGGTTTTGCCAGCTCTAGTGAGAAGCTTACGCAAATAATTATTTTTTGTAAACCAGTCATAAAAATATTACTCTAAAATTAGGCTTATATTCTTAAAACTTAATATTTATTCAATATATTTCCCATTTATTCTTTATTTTCTGGGAATATATTCAGAATTTATTTATATAAAATATCACATTCACTCTAAATGGTATTTGATTTATAACCTGACTTTAATTGGTCTAATAAAAAGCTTTTATTGTAGTGGAAAAAGGTATAACTCCTCTCAACATATTGTCAAAATATTCTCGAATTTAAAACCAGAAAATAACCCTTTTTCGGCAGCACTTCGCCTTCGCTTACAGCCATTGCACACATCCACTCACACCCACAACACACAAACACACAAATTCATTGGTTCACTGGCCACATATACACAACAAAAAAACAGAAATAAATAAATAAATAGAAACTCATCCATGCACATTTTGAGCTAGCTTTAACTTTTCGTTTTCGGGCATTTAGCCATAGCATTTAGCCTCCTTGCGCTGCTTGCTGAGTTTTTGGTTTTTCTGTTTTGTTGTCTTGCAGGATTTGTTGGAGAAGCGGATGATTGAAGTTGAAGGCGCTCTGCTGCGCTTGCAGGAGGAGTTCCAGAAAGTGAGTACTACTCCTACGGAAATGTATCTATCTCGTCTCGGATCTCGTCCCCCGCCGCCAGGCTGGGACGTTATTACCCGGCCCGGACATTGCTCTCGAAATGAACTTTGAGTTTAATGTCGCCGGAGTTGGGTTTTGGGCCCGTTCCCGTTCCCGTTCCCAGCTCCCCAGTTCCCATTCCCGTTCCCCAAGCATTTTAATTTCCTGTGCGGTCAGCGTGTGAGAGATTTTGTCCGGGGTGGGGCACTCCATTCCCTGGCTCTGGGTCTGGACCTGGATATGGATGGACATGGACATGGGGGTCATTAATCGTGTTCAGTCGTTTGCGCTCAGTGCGGTTTATGCGGTCAGGCGGGCTGTGGGGAACAAGGTCGCCAGGCTGGGCAATTAAAAGTTACAAGCTCAAATTACAGACATATATGTACATACGAATACGATATATACGAGCCTTGTAACAACGTCAAATTATCCGGACGAAGGAGCTGCAATTACAATCTCTCAAATGAAAATTAAACCTAAAACAACAGAACCATCAAGCATCAGATTTTCAAAATTAAATGCAAAGAGAACTGTAATTAAAACATAGTATAACTTAATTAAGAAACTTTGAGAAGTTAATTCTAGCAACAAGCTTAAGTTAAGACACTTTCAAAGGTCTAAAAGTAGCATTTAGTCTTGAATAATCAATTTTCAAACTTCATTAAACTAAGATACAGTATAAAGATACATTTATTTGAAGAAATTTATTAAAAGTACTGATTTAAAAATTTAAAAAAGTATAACTAGACTGAATTATAGATGTATATGGTTTTTATTTTTCAGTAATAGATTTCCTTAATATGTGACATGTGCTCTAAGTAGTCTTCTTGACGTTATACTTGAGAATACAGACAACCTAATTCTCCTTAAAACTCCTTTTATCATACAAATTTTGCAACTAAGTTATCCAGACACTTTTCAAAAAAGATATTTACAAATTTTAATACTTAATCAATGCAAATACGGCAACTGTTTTACCTAAAACTTTTCAAACAAGCAAAACAAAAATAGCTTCTCCAGATAGCTGCCATGCCAATTGGACGACATAAACCTCCACCCCCTGAAAGTTCTACTTTGGATAATTCGCCTTAGGAAATTCTGGCAGTTTATTACCTTCGACGCACTCGATCAAAGCCCTCAATGGCAAATCACAATCTAAACTGTCATCGGAATGGCCGGGAGGATGGCCCTCGTCGGATGCCGAAAGAAAGTTTAATGGCCGGAACTTTCCGGCGGAAGGAGCTCGGCTTGGCATACGCATTTCCGGCTTTAGGTAATTGAATTTGATAACAAAAGAGAAAAAAAGAGAGAGAAAAAGGAGAAAACTGAAGCCCCGAAAACGAGTTAACTGCTCGGAGTTTATGGTGTGAAAAGGAGCAGCGTGTGGCCGCCACTCTCCCATATTTTTGGCCAATGATTTCCGCAGCCAAATGGCCAACCAACCGCCCGCCGCCTGCTGTTGCCGATTTTCGCAGGAAGCACCGGAGACAAAACGCGTTGAGAGGAAAAGTGGAAAAGTGCTTGCGGCCCCCGCCGTCATTTCTTTTTGGAGCAGCAGCTAGCTCTTCTGGCCCCGTTCTGGCCATTGCCTGATTTTCTATGCTTTTGGCAGGCGGCCCCGGCTCGCCATGAAATTTACGAGTATGGCAATGGCAGTTGCCCTGCCCGCCGCATCCACTTCCCATTCTCTCCGTCTTATCATCTCGCCAGCCTGCTGGCTGCTAGCGTGGTCCATGCATGGGAATCCGATTACCACACTGGGGGAAATTTCTATAAGGTTATTGTAGTTAAAATAATGTTTGGAAAACTAATTGAGAACTATAACCGATTTTGCATACATTAAAACTTTAGTTAAATATAAAATTTAATATAAAGAAGCTTATAAAAACTTATTTTTTTAAATATAAATTTGAAACTTAATTTTTTTGAATGCCTGAATTTTTTCTTTGTGCAGCACAAGAAGCTTGGCGCGAAGCGGGAGAGAGAAGTGGAAATGGAAGTGGGCGGAGTGGATACATGAGCTACCGTTGCCACTGTCCCAACTTCCAGCTCCTTTGGCAATATTTCTGCACTTTATCTGTCTGTAAATAACGATTAACTATGCTTGCTGCTCCCTCAGCTGCTTTTGCGATTTCTTACCCTTAAAAAGGGTATTGTTATTTTTAGGAGATGGCCGTAAGGCTATAAGGCATATCCTAAAATAGGAAGTATATATATTTTTTTGATTAGATTCGACAGGTTATTCGTTTTATAAAATTTTCAGAATAATTAAGCTTTCTTTCTCCAAGCTTTTGTGTAGATTAATGGATTAATAGATGATATTATGTGATATTAATAGCACTATTTATTATTCCCTCCTTAAAATATGTTTTATATGTTTCAGTTTCCCTGAAACTTCATCAAAAGAGTATTGAAAGTTCGTCAAAGTTATCCAAAACTTTCGTTTCCGTTGCCTTTGGTCTTGTTTTTGCTTTTTGCCACTGTCCTTTGGTTTCACTTAGTCAAAGTCGCTCCCTTACTAAGATTCGGTGTATGTGTGTGTACTTTATTGTTATTGGCATATCAGTGGCTCAAAGGGCAGGAAGCGAGGAGACTGAGCGGGGGTATGGCAATCCATTGACAAGTCGGGCCACCAAAAGTGTGAATGTTGCAGAATTGTTGTTCTTTTTTTTTTTTTTGGCACCGAAACACAAGCAGAGGAAAGGCGGCCCAGACCTTAGACAGCTTGTTGGCCATGTGGCATGCAATAAATGGCACGATTCAATGAATATCCATCTTCCGATTCGCCATGCTCTCCCCATCATCATCATCACTCTCGCTCCCATTCCCTTTCCCATACCCATTTTCATCATCATTCTCATCTGGTTCCAATTTGGGCAAAAGCAGGGAGTTTACTCGGTGGTAATAGCAAATGTAATTGATTTCCAGGGCACCGAGAACCCGAAAGCATTACGAAGGGCTCCTAATTGATAAGAAAGTCCTGTGCCTCAAGGGTTTTCGTTACTATGCTGCCGGCACTGGCTTTCTTTGACATTACTCCGTCGAGTGCTCCATCTTCATCCTGCTCAAATTGCTGACAGTTGCCTTTTTTTATCCGGCTCTCCTTTCGCTACAACAGCTGAGCCCAGTTTCGTCCATAAAGCATCCGACATCCAACAGCCCAACTGGCATGACATTTAATCCTTCGTCCCCTCAAATATTTGTGCTTGCTGTAAACAAATGAGGAAGGAGGTGGTGGAGGGAGATGGCGAAACGGAAGTTTTGTTTATTTGTTTGCCTTTAATCAGGCGACAGATCAACAAGCCAAATCCGAATGGATTGGCATGTGCTAATGAAAAGTTGATTTAGGGTACAGCGAAGGCAGGAGGAGGAGGAGGAGCAGGAGCTGCAACAATGCACAACTTTCGTCACCAGCACGTGCTCAGTTTTTAATTCCAATTGGAGAGCCTGCCTCTTCGGTCATCTCCCTCCCACTCGCCCAGTGTTGCCCTTGGATATCTTTCGCCTTATTAAAGCTCGGCTGCATTCAGTTTAAGTGAAAGAATAACAGAGAAGAGAGAGAGAGAGAGAGAGAGAGTGGGATGGTAAATTGAGTACAGTCAGGACCAACTAAGAGGGAATTATTGTGAAAGCTTTAGAAACTTTAACAGCAAATGCGAGAATTCTACTTATTTTTAAAATGTATCTCTTATCTAAGATTGTAATTAAGTTAAGAGTTTCAAAGTAAGAGTAAGTTAAGAGTTCAAAAGTAAAGTTTGACTTAGGGAAGCTGCACTGCACTACAGGCAAAAGAAAAAACGTCCCTGTCAGCTGTCAAGTGGGGGGCGTGGTCGTGGTCTTGGACGTTGTCTCTCGAGAGGCACTTGGTCGCTCGCAAGGGCTTTCGAGAGGAAGTCGCAGCACGAGCACTTTTTTTTTATCTACCGGAGTGTACCCGTACTCCCCGCCATCATCATCATCATCATCATCAGCATCTTCTTCTTGTGCTTTTGAATTGCTAATAATTTTGTCGCAAGCGTTTGATGGTTTACTCACTCGGAAATGAAGGCACTCCACCCGAACAACACCACCACCATTCCTGATGTTGCACCACCTTCCATTCCAAGTCCGAGGCCGAGTCCAAGTCCTAGTCGTAGTAGAACCACCCACCCGTGGAGCCCATAACTAGAGTTATGTACATAACTGAATATATAGCCATAAATTTAGGGTAGGTCAGAGCCACACTCTGGAGAGTAATATTGTTGCATATACTTATTACGACTTACGACTGTCCATTAATGCATAGAAAGCCACCCTTTACGTCCTACCCCATTCGCGGCTCGTCCGGGGGATATATTTTTTTAAAGCTAAACCTAAACCGAGGAGCAAAAACCCAACTTGATGATGATTCATACGCCCCCTCGAATTCAGACCAAAATGTGCGGAACTACCACCACTACATACTACATAGGGTGTGTGTGGGGGGAGGTCTCTCTTCAGAACCCCTTGACAAAAAAGTGCAATGCAATTAATTTTTCGCGAAACTTTTTTTCAGGGATGGGGAACTGCTCTCTATACGGGAAACACTTGGGGAAATAATGATAGAAAAGTTGGGCATTAACTCAAAAATATTTCGTTTCTAAAGATGTACAATACGAGCGGTATTTATCATAAATTAAGGACATAAATTATTGATATATTCTTTATATACAATATTTTCTGGGAACTTCTAACAAGTGGGTTATTTTCCCTTTACTAAGGTCTTTTAGTTTTTAAGTACCTTGTCTTTAATTCATATTATCTCCTTATGAAACCCAAAATTAATAGCTATTCAAATCTTGGACTCCTGTTTTCTCAGTGCATTCTTTTTCGCTTCCCTTTTCATCTTGCTCAAGTGACGTTTTAGTGTTTGCATTTGACGCAGCGAACGAGAAATTCACCATGTGAATGGATCACCACCAGTATATGCTATAGCTATATAGTCTATATAGGGTTGTTCTTCTGCCTCGCATCTGCAAAATGTTTATTTTATTGTTTACCCATCGCCCCCGCCCTGATCCCCTCCCCCACGATGTCGTCGTCGCGGTTCATTAAATTAAAAACGGCCAATTCGTATTCGAATTCGGAGTAATACATCAAAAAACATCGCCGTTGGGGGGGGAGTGGGAGAGAGATGGCTTTCTGTGTTGTTGTTTTTCTTGCTTTGCCGGCTGTTGCAGCTGATCGAAGGGCCTTGGTGTGGGGGGGAGTTGGGGGTGGGAGAGAGCGCAGGTTAGCAAAGCAGCTGTGCGGCGAATTCGCCACTCTCTTTCTCTCTGTTCGCTCCCATCCTTTCGCCGTGGTCGGCGAGGGTTGTTTTTTGGGTTCTGCTCCCTGTTTCCTTGCCTCCGTTTTTCTCATTGTTTCGCCGGCATTCACAAGCAACGCCAATGTTCGCCCTCGGTCGCGTGTTTTTTTAAACATTTCTTGTTTTTTATATTTTCGCTTTGCCATTCCTGGAAATTATATCTTTCCTTCTAATTTGAGTTACGTCGTTTGCTTTTTGCCGAAAATTTATGCTGCGTTTGGGGAAAGGAAAGGAGTTTGCCTGCTCCGTCGCTTGTCCTTCGTCCTTCGGCCAGACGTCGTCCCTTTCGGACTTTAAGTTGTTTGTTATTTTTACGCTTTTGTGGTCTCTCTGGAAATTCCCCAAAAGTTTATGCAATTTATACCGGCAAGAAAAACAACAACAGCAACGAATCACCAGAGTAATCCCTTTTGGCATGGTATAAAGCAGCTTCAGAGCAACAAGGACTAAGGATGGTAAGAATCAGTGAATTCGGGAATTACGGGAGATGTTACTTCCAATTTCGAAAATGGACGGATGACTGTTGCCACCCGCCGTTCAATCCGCATGTTAATTAATAATAAGCGTGCTCATATTTTCCTTTCCTTGTGGAAAGCCGGGGGTTAATTCCACCTCTGATTTTACAGCGATCGTTAAGCCCACGCGAGGAGGTTTCCCCCTTTTTCATGATAAACTCCCCTGACAGGACAATGGATGATTTTTTATGGGCTAGGACATGACAGATAAGGGAGACTTACAGTACGCAACAAATTTGTATGTAGTTGTTTTTTGTTTGTAGAGAGAAAAAATCTTATAAGAGATATTTTTAATTATGTAGCATACTTTTGGACGCCATTTGGGTTGATTTTAAATCCTTAGAAATTCCTGTGGAGCCTCTGAAACAATAAAAACCTTCCTAAACCCTGTGAAATCGAAATAAATTCATTTAATTTAAACATAAATTCATTTTACCCTTGTAACCTTTACCTAGAAGTAAGTTAATTAGACTTTATGAATCCATAATTTCTCCCTGTGCATATTTAAGCTTACGTTCTGAGGGTGGCCCTGTGTCCCGGACATCTTACGGAAGTGCGTTTGCGGGTGCAAATGGCCGTATGATGTGCCACCCACAACCACCACCACCAGCGCCACCCGTAGCAGAACCCAATCCTCCTAGACTCCGGCTGGTGCGTCGCTCTCTGTTTATCCCCAGGACACGAGTGCAACATGTTGCCGGGATTTGTTTTGTTAATTTCTGTTGCCTGGGGTCGGGGTAAGCTAAACGAACCCCTAAATCATTTTTTGGGGCCACCCTCGTCGCACTGCAAGCCGCATGCTAATTGAAACCTGTGCGCGGCGGAGTTTCGCTTTTGAACTCTTCGACGACGAAGTTTCACTGTGGCCCTCGATTAATTAATAAAGAATTCATGTCTGATTTTATAACTTCATCAATAAGCTTTTGCGTCGGCTCGGCTTTCGTTAGGCTCTTTTTCGCTGCCCCCTCTCCACGACTCTTCAGTTTTATGAGGGAAATTCACAATGAATATTTATGCGCGTCGCCTCTTGAATGGGAAATGCGTTTGACGGGGCTCGAAGGGGACCTGGGGCGGTGGGTGCAGTGGCCAACAGCTGCCGACAGGCGCACCAGTTGCCCGAAATAGCGTCTTGGGTGGGAAAATGGAGGCAGAAGAAAGGGGGCCATGTCTTTGAGAGTGGCCCAAACGCTTGGGCTCTCTAATTTTATTAACACGTTCATCATTCCGACGGCGGCGACGGCACAAGTGGCGCCCGAGGACGGCAATCAGTCTGGGGGAACCCCAAAGCCACCCCCTTGCTACCGACGGCTGCCGCCTGCTGTTGCTCCCAATTTCTCCTTCATATCATCTCGGGTCTGGTCTGGTCTGGTCCATGCATGAAGGCGAATTAATAAAAATTATTGCATATATTTGTAATTCCGGGTGCGCCTCCCTGGACCAGGGGGTGTAAGTGTAATGAGGGGGCGACTTCTTTATTGGCGCGTGCTGCTGCGTTTTATCGCTCCCTCTACTCGGGAGCAATTCCTCCTCCCGTTCAGCCCATTTTATTTTATTATTGCTCTGCCTCCAACGGCTGCTATGTTGCAGATGAAAGGCGTTCTAGACATATTTCCCTACACAGAAAACAAATTAAAGAGCAATGTCAATGCTTAATGGTTTGGCATTGCTTATGATATGGAAATTAAAACCCTTTATTAACCAGACTGGAGAAGTTATCTCTAGATAAAACAATAGAACAAGAAAGCTTATCCTTAGCTTTAAACCCAGCTGAGTAAGTTTGTATTAAAAAGAACTTTAAAATATAAATCAGAACCACTATGACCCTAAAGATTTACTTTCTCTGTAGATATTAGGGGGCGAAACAAAAGAATTGCAGCACCAAAGTCCAGGAATTCTTGGCAAAGTGGGGCGGCGGTGTGTGGAGTGGAGCTTCACTCCAGAGTTCTTGAGAATTTTAGGAATCCAAAGTCTAATGCATAATTAAATTGATTAATGGCCGGAGCAGCTATTCACCTCACAAGCCACAAGGAAGTGGGTATGAAAAACTCTCGACTGAGCAAACAAAATCGACTCTTATCTATGGCTAAGTGCATGATGTACCGACTTTATACATATATATATAGTATGTCTGTGCTGTAATCTCAGACTTGTGTTGGCACTTCAATAATAAATACGATATTCAACGTTTCATTTACACTTGAATCCATAGATGGTTCTGTTGTTGTTGTGCCGGTTGTCATCCATTTTGTTAGCACTAAAGCAAACAAACGTCTGGATGGACGTGGACGTGGATGTGGATGTGGATGTATTTTATCGTCACGTCACACAGATGAGAAAGTCGTGATGTAATTTTTTATCGATTACAGTTCGCGCCGAAGGAATAGAGCTGGGTTTGGGTTGTTGACTCCGGTGATTTATGGTGTTGCATGCAGCGGACTTAGGAGCTTGGTCTAATGCCCCATGTGTGTAAGATTGTCGCCCCTTAGAATTCCCAACCCCGCTGTCGGTCACGGGTTCGGCTCCTTTGTCGCTGTCCATTAGCTTGTAAAGTGCTGCTGATTGGCACTGTGATATGGACAATTAAATTGTCGTTCTTAATCAGCGCCGAGCGCACTAATTTATTGTGTTTAATTTCTTTCGCATTTTATTTAATGTTTTTTCCCCCATCTTCTTTTTCTTCTTTTTTTCCGTGCCTGGCCAATTGCACTTTTTCCAGAGCCAATGCGGGTCGCCAACGTTCGAGAAGGAATTGCGCGAACAAATTGAGAAGTAAGTGACAAATAAGTTAAATTGTTAATCACGATAAGAGTGCTAGTGTGTTTTGTGTGTTTTTTTTCTGTGAAAAATAAAGAAAGAAAGCTGTAAGGTTGGATTATAAACTAAGAAAGAACTTGCAGTCAAGCTCCATTACCTCGAGCATTCCGCAATAAATTGCGCGTAGCGGCCAAATATTTATTTAATTTGCCTAGCCGGCAATTTTTGGAGTAGTTTTCGCGCTTTGCTTTTGCCAAATCGCACGTAAATAACTCATACTGCCAAGACTCGTGACTGGCCACGCCCCCTTTTGGGGTCTGGGGTCTTGGCCATTACGCACAGAACAAGTTAACGGCTAACGAAAATGCAATTTTCCAAATTGCCCAGAACAACCGTGGAGAAGAAACGCCAGGGAAGCGCTTACTGGCAAAGCCCATCAATCAGTCCGAACCTCAGCGTAATTACCGCCGACTTGGAAATGGTGCAAAATTCTGGTCTAGTCGAGATTTTCAGCTCTTTTCCGACCCTTCTTTCTTTATGGCCAGCATTAGCTGTTAATTTCCAGGCAGTTTATTTACGCTAACTGTTTTTTAAAACACACAAAACGCACAAGGGATTTCAGCAGAGATTTCGAAGCGAGGTTTTTAACATTAAATTATGAGTTTTGGATTATTAATTTTGATTAAAATAAAGGTATAAAAAGTACATTATTAAGTGAAAGACATAAAGTTTATTAAAGATTTGAAGTTAAAGTTTTAAGTCAAAGACATAAAGTTTATTTAAAAGTTAAAGTTGATGTTTGATTTGAAGTAATTGCTTAATCAAAAACTCATAACTGGCTTACCGCATTTCTTTAAAGTTTCCAATACCAAATTTAATATAAAAATGTAATGTAACTAAATACTATATCCATTAAAATATAACTTAAATGAAGACTTCAAATATCATTTACCTGCATTACCAATAGTCTGTGCAATCAAAACGCATTTCCATTGAGAGGCAAACTCATAAATAAGTAATCAATACTCCGAATTCTCAGCTGTACACTCGCCATATTTCTCCATGATTTTTGCAACTCCTTTTCATTTATGCATTTCTATATTTGTCCTCCTTTTTTTACGTTTTTCTTTTTGAACCTCCACTTGCTCCATTTGCTCCACTTGCTCCTGTGCGCCTCCGCTCGCCATTCGCCATCCGCAGCATGAATCGCATTATGAAATCCAAAGAACGCAAGCAAATGCAGACATGTCGGGATCACAAGGCACTGCAGGTATGTATAAACTGTGGAAATGCGAGATGGGAAATGGAAAATGGGAAGAAGAAGGAGGGGAAGTGGGTGAGGGACATGGGGCCTGCCGCAAGGAGCCACGCAGCATGTGGAAAATCAATTTGCACAGCGCGAGTTTGCCATACAAAGAGGAGGTGGGGGCTTGGAGCTTCCCGCCAAGTCGAGTCATAAATAAACGCATAAATTCATTTTTAAGAACAATCTCTCCCCTCGCTGCCATTCCGGCGCATACAAATTGTCTCTTATCCGGACGGAATAACCGGAGACGGAGACGAAGGCGAAGTCTCGCCGACTTTGTTGGCAAAATGTTTTTTCTCTGGTGCCGGAATGTACACTTTTTTTTTTTGCCCGAATTGATTGAGCGTCGGCATTAGAGACGCCTCACTGCGCCCTAGTGGCAGCTTTTCATTACCATTTTCATTCACCATTTTCCGGGGATTTCCTTTCCCTTTCGTCGTTAACTTCTGGCAATCTCATTTGCCCCGCGCCAAAGCCCAAGCTCCCTCTCTCTCTGTCTCTGCCGAATCTTGTAAAGCCGCGCTAATGAAGCCCAAGGTTCGGCAGTCCAATGGTTTTGGTTGCATCTGAATCTGGCTCCCAATCTGGCTCTGACCTTCGGGCCAGTTAACAACAACTTGGCTTTGATCGAGATTGGATTGGATATTTGTTACATGCCCGACTGGGGCGGGGGTCGTCTTGCAACTATTGCTCACTTAGCACTTACGTCCAGAGAGTGCCCCGACTTGGCTTGATGGATGAGGGGGCCATGGCATGTGGCCGATGGGTGACCCTCATCAGGGCAGCTGTCACGGACGAAGGTTGCCCCCCTCCGGACACTTGATAAATACTTGGATCTAATCTGTTAACCCTTTCCCTGCTCTGCGCGGATCGCTTTCAACTTGACTTTGTAAGGGAAAATTCACAGGTAGCTTTCGCACCTCGAAATTGACAGTAAAAGATTCCTCGTTGAGTATATTTAATAAAGATTTATGGACTTTGGTCTCAAAGGAACAGCTCTTGAACTCTATAGACTTAGTAGATCCCTTAAATGTATCCCTTTTTCTTGCAGACCCGCTTCGCCCGCCAGGAGAATCTTCTTCAGTCGATGCAGCAGGAGAACCGAGCCTTGCTCACCCGTATCCGGCAGTATGAACACTGCCTGGACGACGTGATGCGCAAGGTGGTGGATGCCATTGTGGCCGAGGATAATCTCCGGGAGGAGGTGAGCATGCTGAAGGGAAGGGTGCGCGACCTGGAGGCGCAGAATGCGGCCTTATCTGCCAGTCCGGTCAAGGGACGTGACGAAGGCTACTGCACCATGAGCAGTGGACAGCCGCAACCCTCGAATGGGCATCTGGAGGATCTGCCAGAGGAACCAGAGCAGTGGCTTCTGCCCGCCGAGCCCTGCTCTACGGAAATGGAGGACTGGAGCATGTCGCAGGAGGAGCTGGCTGTGATGACCTTTGACGATGAGCGGGAGCAGCAACACCACCTCCTGCAGCAGCAGCAGCAGCGAAGGAAGCGGGATCACGACTGGCTGTGGCCCTCGAGTGACTTCATCAACTCTACTACAGTGGAAACGGATTCCGTGGCCGATGGCATTGCCCAGCTGCTACAGCAGAAGGTAAGACGAAATAACCAGAGACCTTTTCTTGTGAAAATCTCAAAATCTCTTACGTTTCCAGATCGTTTACTCCGAGGACGAGGAGGTGGCCTGCACGGACTTCACCAATGACTTTTACAAACTGGTCAACATACGCTCCAACTCCTCGCGCAGCCTTTACTCCTACCTGGAGGGCGAGACGGATGATGAGGATGATGAGGAGGATGATGATGCCGAGGACTCTAGCATGTCGGAGAGCCAGGTGGGGCCTGCGGGACGCACGAATGGAGGCAGTCCCACCCCCAGCGAAGCAGGCAGGGCCCAGCTGACCAGCTGCTCTTCCAGCGAAACGGATGAGTTGTCCGCCAGTCAGCTGAAAAAGGACGAAGAGCCTGACTATGCGGTTATTGATGAGTGCCGGCGGCGGGTCAGCGACATTGAGATCGAGGATGTGCCTCTGATTGTGAGCAGTAGTACGCCCATGAAACCGCTGGATGAGCAGCAGTGCATTGCCCAGATCATCAAGAGCGAATTGCGCCGGCCTCCGCATGTCCTTGTCAAATCCAAATCGGTGCTGGAGGACCAGGAGCCCAGCTGCATCCTGCGACACAATCAACGCCGCGAACTGGAGTCCACCGTGGTGCGCAGCGATAGCATCAGCTGTGCCATGATGTCAAAGATGGCCAAAGAACTGGTGCCTCCGTCGCCGGGAATGGTGACCAAGCTGAAGGAGCGAATGCTGATGAGACAGGCATCCACGCCGCCAACATCCACCTCGTGGCGCAGGAGTAATGGCTGGAAGAGGGTCACATCACCAGTGCATCCGCCAGCGGCAGTTTCGCCAAAGAAGGTAAGATATATATAACTATCAGATATGAAATATAAATAAAATCAAAGGGGAACAATATTTTCACAACCCAAATTCCCCAAATTTTAAATCGATAAATTGCTGATAAATTCCGTAACCATTTCCATTTTCAGAAGGAAACCAAGTCAACGGAGCTGCCAAAGAGTGGCCTGCCGAAGGCCCAGCCCACCAGAATTCCAACGAGCATCCATTCGTCGGTGTCCTCGTCCTCCTCGATGTCCTCATCCTGCTCGCCCTCCCCATCCTCCCCGTCGCCGCAGTCCCCGCAGCAGCAAAAGTCCCCCGGCCAAAAGCAGCAGCCACAGCGAAAATCCAAGATTCCTCCCCCCGTTCCCGTGCGACGATCCTATGCGAGTTAAGGGACGCGCCATCCTGCGAAATCTCAAATCAATAATCGTCAAGCTAACAAATATTTAAAGATTTAAAAGACTAAATTGTGATATATTCAAACAAAAACAAAACAAAACCGAACAGACAAGTTGAAGGTGGTGAAGGAGTAGGAGTAGAAGGAGCAAGCGAGTATTTATATGTATATTGTACATTTTTTGGAGATGTTTTACCTTGTAAGCGGCACTGCCAACTGTTCCCCCAGATACGAATTATCATCATTACCAAATCGCAAGGCTCGCCCTGCTCTACGCCGTATATTTTGTAGAGCAGCGGTCGCAGCCACCAAATTAGTGGAGAATGGGACAATTTGATTGATTTCAAACTGAATTCAAACTACTTACTATTAGCTATGGGTCATTGAGTATAGATGAAAACTAAAAACTGTAGTCTTCCGCACACCACTCGAGTGTATTCGAAGTAATAGCATTTGTAGGGCATGGTTAATCGCATAAACTAAACGGGAAACTAAGCTAAACCCATCCTTTCACACACTCAGACACAACAGTTGAACATTTGCATTTAAGGGTGAAATATTTCAAAGTATAGAAGGCATATAGTACGACATATATATACGGTTTCTAAGCGAACATTAAACGACAAACCATAACAATAAAAATCTGTACATACAAAGCTCTTCTCTTCAACCGTAGTTGGCGTTAGCTCCGGCTCCTCAGGGGCTGCTGCCACCGACTAATTTATCGCAGCAGCATCCCGCATCCTAATTATATAACTAAACTACACACCCTATCTATGTAGAACAGAAGGCACTATTATATATGATCGTGGAGGGGAATAACGTGCGTAGATGTGTAAGCTCGTATATAAACATTATAAATGTATTTTCTTAGCGTAGCCAGTACAAATAAACAAAAAAGAAGTTACAAAAAATACATACATACAGTAATTATTGACCTAACCAGTGGCCCCTGGTAAAATCTTACAAACAGAAATGATAACTAATCAATGGGATAAAATACAAACAAGTGACGACGAACCGGCACGGGCTGAGCCGAGAAGAAGGTGCTCCAGTTCATGCTTTAGCTGGCCAGAAGCCAAACGCGATTCCGGGGCGCTGACCCAGCAGCTTTTGTATAGTTCGGTGTAAGCGTTTTCCAGGCACGCACTGGTCGCCTCTGCTGGCGCCGGGCCCTCGAAGTGTAGAGCTAATCGGTTCTGGCGGCGCTCTTTCTTTTTCAGATCACGGCCGGCGGTGTAAGATGGATCGAAGCTCAGATTACGACGGGCAGACGGTGTCGCCCGTTTGCCGGTGTTTTCATTGAGGTAACTGGGAGTGCAATCGCAGTCGATTGAAGTATCTATGGCGGTGTTATCCCTGGCCAAATTTATCATCTCTTCATAGCTATCCGGACGCAGTTCGTGCTTGACCACCTGGTAGGCAATGGTTTCGTTGCAATCTAGAAGGTGATAGGGCACTCGACGGCTCTGCAATTGCCACATGCTGATGCCCAGGGAGTAGATGTCGGAGGCTCCCGTTAGAGCCTCCGATCGCAGCACTTCTGGGGACATGTACCTGAGAGTTCCACTGGTATTTCTGGTACCTTGCTTGGCGCACAATTCGCCAATCTCAATGGAAGAGCCAAAGTCGCATAGTTTGCAGATGTAGCTACGCTTGAATTTCGAAAAATTCTCGATATTAGACTTTGTTCCCAGTTCAACCAATACATTGGTTGGCTTTACATCCAGATGAAGCACATTGCGGGAGTGGCAGTAACGCAGAGCGGCCACCACATCCAGGGTAATGCTGGAAATAGTTTTGTTTTATTCAGGGAAATCTATAAAATAACAAGAAAGGAAGCTAACTTCGGCACACCGAAGTTTGTATACCCTTGCAGATTGTTTTTGATATTTATATTATAAATTTAAATGCTTAAAACACACACAAAACAGAGTTTCATTACATTTTACCTAGACTTATTATGTTTACAGTTTGACAGTTACAGTTTTACATTCCCAGCTTTACATTTTCTCTACATCTACCGATCGCTTCTATGGCAGCTATATGATATAGTTGTCCGATTTTTATGAAATTTATACCATAATTCTAGAATAATAAAAAAAGCTTATATCTCAGAGAAGATAAACATATGTACGTTGGAAAACAACGAAGCTATAATTTTTTTCCTATTTATTTCTCGATCGTTCCTATGGCAGCTATATCATATAGTCGTCCGATTTTCATAAAATTTTTACCAAAATTCTATAATAATATAGAATGGCCATATCTAAAAAATTGTGCAAAAATGTTGAAAAACAGCAAAGTTATAATTTTTTTTCTACAAATATATCGAACATTTGTATGGCAGCTATATGATATAGTCGTCCGATCCGGCCCGTTCCGACATATATAGCAGTGAGAGTATATAGAAGACTATATGCAATGTTTCATTCAGATAGCTTTAAAACTGAGGGACTAGTTTGCGTAGAAACAGACAGACAGACAGACGGACAGACGGACAGACAGACAGACGGACAGACGGACAGACAGACAGACGGACAGACGGACATGGCTAGATCGACTCGGCTGTTGATGCTGATCAAGAATATATATACTTTATAGGGTCGGAAACGTCTCCTTCACTGCGTTGCAAACTTCTGACTGAAATTATAATACCCTGCAAGGGTATAAAAAGGAAAACATACAGCACTCTGTGGATCAGAGGCAGGGCCAAGCTATCCACGATCCGCTGCAGGCTTTGTCCTCTGGGACACTCCATGATGACCAAGCCAAACTCTGCGGCGGTCTCCAGCTTCAGGAGCCTCACAATATTCCGGTGCTGCAGGTTTAGCAAATGGGATTCATTGTGCAGAGTGGACACAGCTTGGGCTCGAATGATCTTTACGGCCACAGATCGATCTACAACGCAAATTTATTTTACTTTTCTTTAGTTAATAAACCCCACTTACCCCTGTAGACAGCTTTGAAAACCGTGCCATAGGCCCCACGTCCCAGCATTTGGCTCCTGGCAGTGGGCGGGCCATCCTTAAGGAGTTGTTTTCTTTTCGGCGTGGTCAGCAGCAGCTCGTTCTTGTGATTAGCAACAGAAAACGACCTGGTTGTCGGTTAGATTATATATTTTATTAAATTTAAATTAGAATTACACATGGCTTACATTTTGCCCGGCAAATAACGGTGAATACGTTTGAACAGCTGAGTGGCAGCGTTGCCATACTGTTGGAATAAATTAAAGTGGCGCCAGTGTGCAGCTATCGTTTTCAAACAAAATGGTGTGTTTCTTTTTATAATTTAATACTTTATTGTTTTGGGTTTATATAAAAGAATCTTGTCCTTGCAGTTAAATGTCAATTTGTATATTTACACTATTTAATAATGCACACGATTTCACTTAAAGTGCCTCTCTCCAGCCATTACATCGCATTGCAATAACCTTAATAAAACTGAATTACGTTAAACGGATTGCAGGAGCCTTTCGAGGGTTCATTTTGGGCTTAATACTATACAGAAATAAATATTATTAGAAATGTCCGCCGCTGTATGCTTCCCTGATAGCTGGCTATTCGCGTTCACTGTGCAATTTCTCCGTCTCGGCCCGCAAAAACTGAAAAAATAGCATTTGCTTTAGTAAGAATTTGAATTTAAAGGTTTATTTCACATTAAATCTCACCCGAAAGGCTTCCTGGATTTTGTCAGTGATTAGCTTTCGCGCCGTGGGCTCCGGCACTTGCCTCTTCTTCAGGTCCAGGATGTAGTCGTTAAGGTCCAACGGCTGACCCACATTCACGGTAATCTTCTTGCCACGCTGCAGCACATAGGGCTCCACATTGGGCAGCATGTCATCCATCCCTATGTGCCACAGGGGCAAGATGATGGGAATTTTGGGTGACTCGTAGATAATCCGACCGACGCCCCACTTGAGGCGCAGCTCCTCCTTCTCCATGTTCACCTTGCCCTCGGGAAACACGTGAATCCAGTGGCCCTGCGCTGCCTTCTCGATGCACAGGTTGATGGCCTCCTGGTAGACACCATTGCCACGGACGACAGGAATGCACTTGCCTGGGAATAAAAAGATGTACCTATTAAAAACAATTTTTAGATTGCAGAGCAAAGGTCTAATTTTTTACAAAGCTTTTGGTTTATGAAATATGTTGTATTAACTTTACGATCACCTTGCTCCTTAACCCTAATTGCTCGAGACTCACCGAACATAAAGAAGAGCGAGTGCCGCTTGTTGGTAAAGCATATATCGTGGGCAGCCATGGACCAGCGGATGTTGTAGGTGCTGCAAACAATGCTCATGGGCAGACAGCCCCAGAGGCCGGGATCGTCGAAGCAGGAATAGTGATTGGACACCGTCACCAGGGGGATGTCTTTGGGCCTTTTGGAAATCAGGTTAACCAGGCGCTCCTTGTTGTAGACACGGGTTTTGTTCAGGAACACTGATGGGGGGGAGGGCACGAGATCAGCATTTGCATAATTGACACAGACACCAATTAACACGGCACACGCTTGACCTCGGTGAGAGCCAGCGAGCGCCGGCGTCCGTGGGCACCGTTTATCAAGCGAGAGATTCACACACATTCACGGTCAGGGCCGAAAATGCGAGACGATGCTCTCGGAACGCTTCATTTCGCTCGGCCAAAAATAAACGTGCCTTTGGGGCCAAATGTTGATGGTGGGGTGCCAGGTCGGAGGTCGACTACGTGATACTCACTCAGCACGATCTTGCTAAAGATTCCGACTGCAGCCACGACGAACTGGCTGGCCCAGTACCAAAAGCTGCTGGGATTCCGCAGCCTGGGGAATATCCAGTCAATGTTGAAGGGTATCGCCACACTGGGCGACACTCCCAGGGACGGATCTACGATTCGGTCAGACATCGAGACCGGCGCTGGCGTGGACGTCGGCGGCGAGGGTGGCAATATTTTCGGCGGCCGGGACAAACTGCTCTGCACGGTCTGTGTGGCGGTATCCTTCCGGTCCGTTTGGCCGGCCGCGTATCGCTCATCGGGCACTGGCCGGGCCTCCGGAGCTGGGACGTACTGCTGCGATTTGGAAAGAGAAAAAATACGTAGAAGTGCGTTACTAAAGGCTTTAGTTCTGGCAGAGCCTCCAGCTAACCATGGATGACACGCTTTTGATCTTATCAGGGCCCCAAGAGTAGTTTTCTTTTGTGTTTGTGTCCGGCTAGTCGGATTTTGAGACTCGATTTAAAAGCATTTCCATTGTCAGATTTATTTTAATTTTTTTTTTTTTTTGTGGGACAAGCAGCCACCCCCGGAAAGGCTGCCGGGTGCCACAGGTTAGCAGCATGCGCAGTGGATGCAGCAGGAAACGCAGCGGGGAAAATTGCACTTTCATCGCGGCGAGACAAAAGAGCGCGAAAAAGCAGGAGGAAAACTCACGTCGTCACAGATCTAAGCCAGAGCGACCTTCGCCGGGTTGGAGACTCTCCTCTCTCTGGCTCTCGGCACCTGAGAACCTTTCGCAACCGGACGGCGGCAACTTTCGAGCGTAACTGATTTTCGTCTGGCGAAAATCATCAAGTGCAGCACCAGCAGCAAGCACAGAAAGCACGCATAAAGTTGAAACAAGGGCGGTTGCCGCCAACAAAGAGAGAGACAAAGAGCGAGGAGCGACTGCGACGCAGTGAGGCAACAGTCAAGTGGCTGCGGAGATTGTGAAACTATCTTTATCAGTTGGCAAAGGTGCTTAGCCAAGCACTTCCGTGAATATTGATCACGTTGCCACTGGGACAGGGCCAAGATAAGAATTTGAATTTAAGCGCCAACTCTGGCCGGAAGAGAAACAAAGAGAAAGGGAGACATCGAGAGGGGGATAGGGAGAAAGAGAGAGTGGGATTTAAAAACTATTCTTATCAGTTAACCAAAAGCTTTTAATTTAACTGATTAAACCACAAAATGTAGTCACGGAAATAAAAACAAGTTTAGGCAAATAAAGAGCTAGTATACGTATATTTAAATGTTTTGCACTCATTAAATTGATAAAAAAAATGCTCTGGATATAAGTTAAATTAAATATTGTAATTTATTTTTTGAATTTTACTGTTTATGGAAATTAATATTTTTTTTTAAGTAAAATACAAATATAAAACTACCGTTGTATTAAAACCAGACAGGGCACATTTAAATACTTTATTAAATTATTTAAATTTTAAATGTCTTTAATAAATTTTTCTCAATACCGCCTCCCCAACTTTTGAATTCCCGCGCCAATTGTGCGTGGGCGATTGGTAATGTGGTGAGTTTTGAAACGAGGTGGAAATCCCAAGAGAAAGCGATGGCCTGATTTTGTTTATGTTTATTGGGCGCTTATAACTGATAATTGAACAATTATTTCTGCTTTTTACTCACTCACCCTGACTAGAGCTTGGATCGGGGGTCTATATCCCGAGCCCAGGGCCCAATTTAGGTGCCGCATGGCGGTCACAGCACCCACGTGCCCGGGACGGCACAGGCTAGAACACACAACCATCAACATGACGAGGAGCACCACTTGGTTCCACGAAGAGTACGATATGTCCACTGGCAGATATGTATCTCTTGTTTAAACGCACTTTACATAACCGATTTATAGGCCGAAAATGAAACACTCGCAATAATTTGGATTCCGCCTTCCGCCGCTTCTTCTCCTAGGTTGCAGATTCATGGGCGTGCGGTCAGGGGGCCTCCTTGCGCATGTCTGAAGGGGGTTATCTGCTCCAAAAGGGGGGACGGCAAACGATTTTCAAGGCCAAACTACAAGAAATGAAAAATTTAAAGAAAAACAACTCTGAACAGCTGTTCGGCTTTGAGCCGATTTGCAATACTGCTTACACGGGGCATTTACCAACACCGGTATCCTCGTTTCTGGTATGGTTTTGTAATTTCTTCGTAAACTTTAGTTTCAATTAAAAGTGTGTGCTTCCCGGCTTTTTCAGTGCCACCATGTCTCGCAGTGCCCGCCCCCTCACTTCCGCCCGTGTGCTGCACAAGATCAAGGAGCTGACCACGCCGGAGGCCAGCGCCAAGTTCGTGTTCAACCGCAATCCGAGGAATCTGGAGAGGTTGCGGATTGCCTACAAGCCCGGCGGCTATCACTTGGAGAAGCCCGGCAGATCCTACTGGCACACCCTGGAGATCAATACCAGCGGCCGCTATGTAAGCGCCGAGGTCAAGCACTTTGAGAACGGAACCATCCTGAGCGCCAGCACCCAGGAGTGGGCCATAAAGCAGCAGCTCTACAAGACCAACGACACGGCCGCGTTCGTGAACCTGGGACGTGTGCTGGCCCACCGCTGCCTGCAATCCGGCATCACCGAGATGACCTGCAACGTGGAGGCAGTGCCCGGTAGCAAGCTCCAGAAACTGCTGCAAACCCTCAAGGACAATGGGGTATCCTTCGAGGAACCCGCTCGTCTGCCCAACACACAGCCCTGGGATGCCAAGCGGCAGGAAAAGCCCTGGGAGGTTACCGAACAGGACCTGGAAACCACGGCGCCCCAGAAGTCGGATAAATAACAAAAACACCCGCTTAGTTTTCGTTTCGTTTAGAATAAACGTTGATTATTATGCTAATTTCATCAAATCATACTAATTTATTCATATTTGGCCTTAATGTCCTTCCAGAGCTTCTGCAAGGGGGAAAATTCGATATTTAGCAAGGAATTCCTCTTACATAAGCAGAGCACTTACGCCTTTGTTGACGCTCTCAAAGATCGCCACTGAGCTCACATCGAGGGCGCGCTCGAAGAAGAACGTGGACGCGATGATGGCCACGGCGTAGGTGGAGGTACGCTTGAACAGGGTGTTGTAGATGACCTTCATTTCGGCGCTATTTAGTCCTATTAATTTGAATGTTATTATAAATTGTCGTTTTTTTCGGAAAACTTACGTCTGCCACGCTAGAGCAGGGAAAACTTAGATAGATGTCAGTTATCGATACTACCGATTTTTGCAAAAAAGGCGATAGATCTTTCAGCTGATAACCAGTGTGGGTCAACGTCCCGAAGTGGAACGGTATTCCAGTGTTGCGCAGCTATGGTTACACCGTCGACCAGCAAAAACAAATCGTGAAAATGCAAGATTCCGCGAATATTTAGCTTAATTGAGGCCATCCATGGATTTAGCCACCATAGAGCTGAGCGTGGAGGCGCTTATCGGGTCCCTGTTCGCCCTGGGTATCCTGTTCGCCTTCTGTCGCAGCCTCCTAGCCGAGGACTTCGTTATCAGCGTGCTCTCGGGCAAAACACGTCATAGCTGGAAATCAATAAAAGTCATAGAGCAGGTGCGCGGACTCACTTGTTGCAAGCTCCCCCACAGCAGCCCCTTCTCACCCTGCCCATGTTTTCTTTCAGGCCTGCTTCTGCAACGTATGCGAGATCCTGCTGACCCCCTCCGCGGGGCTCTTCTGCGACTGCTGCGGCCTGTGCACCCACTCGACTCCAGTGTGCCAGCGGCGGGCGGATAGGGAGTACCGCTGCAAGGACAAATGGTTGCGCAACGAGACCTCCGTACGCCACTTGTGGGTTCACGGCAACCTGCCCATGGGCGTCCACTGCGCGGACTGCGGCGAGGAGGTGGACCACCATGTTAGCACCGATCCGGGACTGTATGGCTGGCGCTGTGCCTGGTGCCAGCGCTGCTACCACAACGACTGCTATTCCCGCGCCGACGTAAAGGGCTCCTGCGACTTTGGCGAGTTCAAAGACATGATCTTCCCGCCCTACAGCTTCGTGGCGGCCAGGACAAAGGACATGCGCCTGCATTTGGCCAGCATCACGCCGCCGGACATTGAGAACTGGGAGCCACTGATTGTGATTGCCAACACCAAGTCGGGCAGCAGCACGGGCGCCAATGTACTGTCCCTTCTCCGCGGCTACCTGCATCCCCTGCAGGTCATGGAGCTGGGCTCCCGTGGTCCCCAGGACGCTTTGCAGTGGGCCGCCAAAGCCAGTCCTCGCCCGTGTCGCATACTGGTGGCTGGCGGCGATGGCACCATCGGTTGGGTGATGAATACCATCTACGCTTTGAACATCAAGCCCCAGCCTTCGGTGGCCATCATGCCGCTGGGCACCGGCAACGATTTGTCGCGAGTCCTGGGCTGGGGACCGGAGCCGCCTTCGGTCCTAGATCCAGTAGAGATCCTACGCAATATTCGGCGCGCCCGCTCGGTGAATCTCGATCGCTACGACCTGCAAATCGAGAAGATCCACTATCGTCTGCCCATTCAGAGGCATCCCACGAAGACCATTCACGTCTACAACTACTTCAGCGTGGGCGTGGACGCGTATATTACCTACAATTTCCACAAGACGCGAGAATCTCGATTTTATCTGCTCAGCAGTCGAATCTTCAATAAGGTAGGAGCGCTGTTTAGCACGTAAAAAGGAATCTTGATAATGAAAGCCCCTTTTACAGCTTCTGTACTTCACCTTTGGAACGCAACAGGTTATGCAACCTGGCTGTGAGCATCTCGAAGAGAAGCTGACCCTGTACCTGGACAACAAGCTAGTGCAGCTGCCTGAGTTGCAGGCGCTGGTGTTCCTAAACATCGATTCCTGGGGAGCTGGCTGCAAACTATGCGAGCTGAGCAACTCCAATGGCGAGGTGCGCATCGTTAACTCCATCTCCGATGGCCTGATGGAGGTATTTGGCATTGTTTCCTCGTTCCACATTGCCCAACTGCAGTGCAATATAAGCAAGCCAGTCCGAATTGGACAAGCTAAGCAAATAAGGGTAAGGCTGAGGCTTCTCTTTAACTGAATCCTTGTTGATTTTCCATTTGAATTCAGCTGCAAGTCAAGGAGACGGTGCCCATGCAGGCGGACGGCGAGCCCTGGATGCAGAGTCCGGCAGACATAAGGCTGCAGTCGCGTAGCCAGGCCAGAGTCCTAAAGCTGGCTGCATCTTAGATAATTCCCGAAGCCACAACCCCCTTTTGTGCCAGTCCCCATAATCTCAACGTACTTAATCCGGAATCTCGGACCTAACCTTATCGATTCTGTTAAGCTGTGGCATTTTTGAAGCGTCCTCAGTGTCAACCCAAAGCTAGTCGCAAATTACATTAAAACCGTATCTGAATGAAGTCCACTTTTATTAAGATTCAATAATCTTGTGAAATATAATTAAATGTTCGACTGGTGACACGTGCTGCCCAGGAGGGGCACGCACTGCATTTGGATCAGTAGGGTATCGAAAGGCGGGTAAACAACGAAATGAAGAGGCACGGCAGCAACGGCTGGAGTGCGCTTTAGAGCATGGTCAGCTCCATAATGGCGTTGACTATGTCGTTGCTGTTGTTCTTCAGCGCCTTGATGGCCTTTGCTCGCGTCGTGTTCGCCTGCGTTATCACAAGCTCAATGTCCTTCTCGTCGACGCCAGTGTCGTCCACATCCTCCTCATCCTCCTCGGCGATGGGGGCCACCGATGTGGTAGCGCCAACGCTGTCGGCAGCTCCAGCAGCCTCCGGGGCCTTGAACTTCTCGGCCGCGGCCACCTGAGCCTGCTGCGACAGATCCTCGATCTTGGCCTCGCCGAAGACGATGTAGGTGTCGCTGTGCGGGTTCTTGTACACGTCCGGGTTGTTGATGACGAAGAGGATGTTCTTCGACTTCCGGATGGTCACACGGTTGACACCCTGGATCTGCTTGAGGCCGAGCTTCAGCATGATCTTCCTGGCCTTCTTCTCGCCGCGCGACTGCTTGGCCTTGGACACCAGATCGATGGGCAGACCGGTGGCACCGCCTCCCAGCTGTGTGGTGGCTGCACCAGCCTCCTCCAGGCCGGGCATGCCGCCGTCGGAGTCGCTATCGCTACCGTCATCCTCGACGCGCACATCCTCGGGCTTTGCCTCAGCAGAGGTGGAGGCCGCGGCCTCGTTCTTGATTTCGGTCAGCTCAGGCATCTTTATCAGCTGGGGAACAAAAGGGGAAACACATGGTTAAGTAATGCGACCGCAAAGATAATCATTTTGTTTCTAGAAAGAACATCTGGCGCCGGTACAAAGGGGTGCTCGCAGCAGGGGGCCGCTGCATCGATTTTTCAAGTTCAGTTTCAGCCTCTTTTCACAGGTTTTTCTTATCGATGGATGGATATCCCTAAAGTCTAACTACAATATTTCACACAAACTGCACACCTTTGTCACGAGTTACACGAGAAAATTAAATTTGTGCGAAAAACGCGGAGCACCCAAACTCACCGGAAATGAAGGAAAGAAAATCAGTGTGCCCGCGGCTTGTAAATGTTATAACGGAAATTTCCGACTTTCTGAATTACCTAAAAAATACTAAAATATACTTTTGTTATTTGACACGTAAAAATTGAACGTGTTTTTCATACAGGTTTTTAAAAGGGAGTTGTTTTTGAGTTGTGGATTTAAATTAAACTGTCCAAATTTATGAATAATTTAAAAAAAAGAAATATTAGGTATTTGTCACCTTTGATTATTTAAAATAGTTGTTTTAAAAAGCTTTTTAATTATAAATATATAGACATTTATATGAAAAAACTGTAAAAAAGTTTAAAAAACAAAACAATTACTAATATATGAAACCTTACAATATCTTGCACTTAAAAAACTGAATAAAGAGGGATTAATATTTTAGTCAAAAGTTTAAAATGCAGTGAATGACCCTATAAATTATATATATTCTTGATCAGGATTAACAGGCGAGTCAAACTAGCCATTTCCGGAAGAAAAAATATGTCGTATTTTTTTCAAAAAACTTTAAAATTGTTAAAACTTACAAAATCAGCCAAAAATTCGATGTATTAAAATTTAAAATTAGTCAGCAAATTTGCTAACCTATAAAAAACTAGCATGTAAAGGCATTCCGAATTAAATTTAATGCTTTTTTGACTTAGTTATGATATTTTTAAACTTTGACAAAAGTTGTCAAAACTTTAAAAATTTCTAAATTATATTTTGCAGTTTTCTTAAGCTAATAAAAACGAACTCAGAGAAGCTTTCCGAATTGAAGTTTATCCTTTTTTAACTTAGTTATTAGATTTATAAGCTTAGTCTCGTCCAAAAAAATTAACCAATAATATTAATAGATCATCGTTATTGGTGATAATATATATATAAATATTAATATATAAATATTAAACTAAAATAATAATAATCTCTCAAATACTTAAGTGTGCCAGTTGTAAGTTCCTAAGTTGCTTATTCACACTTCAGTAGCAATTTGAAGTATTTGACGACTTACCTTGAAAGTAGTTAGTAAAAATAATTCCCCTGTCCACAAATTATTGAATTATCGATGAATGGTCGTGCAAACGAGGGACCGAGGACTCGTTAATTACTGAATAAACCATGCTTGCCCACAAACGAGCATCGACGGAGAAATGGAAAACTGTAATTTGCTTCCACCAATACTCCAATTAAATTGTGTAAACAATTTGGCATAAGCCAGAGAGGTCCTTAATTACATATACAAAGTTACACAGACAGGTACAGGTAGTAGGTACTGGCACGGGCAGGCAGAATGGGTAAAAAATGACACAATTACCCGGCCAAGAAGCCGGAGGAGCATGGCCGCAAATTGAGTGGGGGCGTGGCATTGTTGGGTAAACATCGGACAGCTATGGTCACGGCTCCGTGTTCTGCGGTCACGGGAACACATGTTGCCTTCACATCGCATCGAATGCCATGAAATTTTAATTTTCATTAGTCGAACGATATAATTTAAAGACCGCAGACAGCGAGCACTGTCTGCTACTTAGTTTCAGATACTTTTGTATCTCATTATACGTCTCGATAGAGCTTTAATTATTTTCGTTATTCTTTGTGCTGTGTGCGCATTTCTTTGGCCGTCGAAAGATATGCCAGCGATTCGCAACAATTTGTCAGTAAATAATTTCGAATTGTCCTCCGTCTGCGGCAATCAAAAAATCTAAAAAACGCGAGAGAGAGAGCGCGCAGATACGAGTGTATCTGTATCTGTATCTTTTTCTGCGTCAGTATCTTTTGCTGCCTGCTGACTGCACATGGGACTCGGGATTGGGGAATGGGACTGGGTGTCAACAGCGCTCTGATTTATTTGAGCGCATTCAACGCTTCGTTGCATTTCGTTAATTTGCCCGTTTTCCGCTGCCAGAGTTGAGAATCAGCCCAAAGATATGTCTTTACCCATACCAGCCCGTTCTCAATCCTTGACAAAATGCCAAAATACTGAGCAAAAGGAACCCCGCCACACAGCTTTCATCATAATTCGAAAAACCAAAAAATTATCAACGAGCCGCATAATTATATTGTAATTTATGCAATTGTCGAATCGGTGAAAATGTTTGCAATGTTTCGCTGCTCGTAAAAGATTTCAAACACCCGAACGTGACCAATGGCCAGGCCAATTGGTGCTCCAATCAATGGCAGAGCCTCCTCGCTTATGGCCAAAATTTTGGTCAATTATGATCAATTAAGCCATAATACACATGCAAATTATTGCCACCTGCTGTTTGGAGGAGAAGCGGTGTGAAAAACGATTGGCATTTTAATTAAAGAAGTTTTTTTTGGGGGGAATGCGGAGGCGGATGTGGCCTTAGCGAGGGTGATACAAATAATATAACCTGCTGCAGATAGGTGAAACCTAATACAAACTAGAAATCTGATATATATTTCGGTGATTTTCTGTGTTTTATTGCTAAGTTTTGGGATAAATACTTGGTTTTATATCTAACGCAAAGAAACCTATTTAAAAATATTATATAAATATAAAAAAATATTGATTAATTCATAATACTCACAGATAAACATTTTTTTAAAGTTGTGTCCAATTTACCATTTAATCTACAAAAAGAAAACATATTTTCCGATTAATTTATAACCCATTTTCTTATTTTAACTGCAAAGATTTGGGATAAATACTGGTTTTTACACCTAAAGAAATTAACATTTTCTTTAGTAAATATAATTTAATATAATAATAGATTATAAATATTTAAATAAGTAATAATATGCATAATACTCACACCAAAACTTTTTTTTCAGAGGAGTTCCTGTAAAGTTTTAACCATTTGTGCTTGTCTACATAAAATGCTAGAAAATATGTTAATTAGAAAAAAAAATCCAATTAATATATAACTCATTCTTATACTTAAACCCTATAATACACCATTTTAGCGATTTAAGATCTATTGGGACCCATATCTCAAGTAGCCCTGATAATACTTACCAATATTATAAAGTGAAAAATCTACTTTATAGATTCATTCCCATAATTTGAATTTAGGCAGATGATAAATTATTTAAATCCTTGAAACAAAATAATAACAGTTTCTTGGTATTTTCATCATCACAGATAAAATTTTTTTTCGAAATCTTAAAATTCAAAGCAGAAAATAACCTTACCTTCTAGACACTTATGAGTCACGGCGGAAGTTAGCTCGAGTTCCTAGTAGATATATCCAACCAAGTAGGAGTATTTACCGCAGATATCTTGCATAAAGCAAATTGCAGATACAAATCGGTGAGCATTAGGGCGACTCGAGTGTCTGCTAATGATGCCCGACAGTCACACCCACTAGCCACTGATGTTTGAATTTAAATTGGTCACTAATATGCCTCGCGAGAACCCCAAACCGCATCCCCGCCAGGAGAGAGGAGCTAACGATGACGGCGCATTAATGGCAGGGCGTTCTGTGTTCTGCAGTCCGGCGATGTCTGATTACCGAGCGATTCGAGCAGAACGCAATTACGGAGCGGGAACGGGATGCCAAGTGGTAGGGAGTGGGTGGCGGTGTCTCCATTGCAGCTCCATTGCCGGAAACTGGTTCGTTGTCCGCACCACCCGGCAATTAGCCAACGGCCAATGGGAGTGCACCGTCAGACAGAGACACCAGCACGTTTGTCATGCGCCATATTGAAAATGAGGCGGAGCCACAGGCGAGTCTTTGGTGGTGGCTTCGCCACTTGGGTGCCGTTCGCGTACGTGATGTCTAAGGCAGCTCGACAGTTGCCCGCAGATCTCTGAACGGTTCACTGCGTCGTGTCTGTCCCCGAAAGTTGGCCAAAGATAATTATTAAAAAAATAAATATATCTCGGTTGTGTGTGTTTTTTGAGAGGGCAACATGGAACGGCCAGCCCTGCTGCACAATGGAGAGCTAAGCAACCTCGAATCCGGCACCACCAAGTTGGTCAGCAAGCCTTTTCCCAAGCCCTTCTCGATCGAGAGCTTGATTGCCAACCAAACACCTGCCAATACTGCGCCACCATCGCCACCGGAGGAGCGGGAGCACGAGCCGGAGCAGGAACCCGACCAGGACCAGGAGCTGAGTGCCCGCGCCATGGTAGCCAGCTCTGCTCTGGGACTCACCCAGTTCCCTTTGTACAATCCCTGGCTGCACGGATACTTTGCCCAGAACCACGAGAGATTAACGCATTTAATTGCCGGCGGCTGTTACCTGCCCTCCAATCCAGCTAGTCACCCACCAGGTCCACAGCAGCCGCAGCCACAGCAGCAACCACCACCGCCGCCGCCGCCTCCACCACATGCCTTGGAGAAGCAGCATACACCGACGCTGCCTCATCCGCTGGATACACGTTTCCTGCCCTTCAATCCCGCCGTCGCCGCCGCCGGAGTAGCGCCCACGGATCTGAGCTACCGTCGACTGGCGGAGCTCATGAACCAGGACTATGTGCATAGCCTGAGTGTCCATGCCAGATTACAGCACATGGCTGCGGCTGGGAGGATCCAGGAGGATCCCGCTAACTCCAATCTAGTGCAGCTCCAAGAGCCAATGCCTCAGCTGGCCCACTCCTCGCCGGCAAAGTCCGGCAGTCGCAGTCCTGTGGAGCCAACCCTGGATGTGGGCGTGGACGAGGATTTCGAATGCAGTGGTGACTCCTGCAGCGACATCAGTTTGACCATGTCCCCAAGGAACTACAACGGGGAGCTGGACAAGAGCCGGAATGGAGGTGGGTACAAGGAAGGGAATTTTTCTTGATTAGGAACATTTTTTGATGCAGAGTTTTGTATAGGATTGATGATTTCTCTGTTTAAAATACGATTGATCTTAATTTTTGCTTAAATTTTTCAATATTTCGTTTAAATTCAAAATTAGCTTAGGAATATTATTGAGATTTAAAGAATAATGTTTCTCTTAATAGATTTTAATAGCCTCAATAACGTTTGATACCCATAACTAAAAATTATATAAAAATGTAGCCTTCATTATTAAGGATGTTTTTAGATACTAATCATCATTATCAAGATCTTATAACTTTATAATGTAAGAAAATAGTGTAGGCACTGTTTCTGTTTTTAAGGAAAAAAGTACCTAACCTAAGGGAAAAGTACCTAAAAGTACGTAACCTAACCTATTTCATGATTAATTTGACTTTAACTTTTAAAAAATATTGGGGATTGTAATAAATTTATACATAAAGTGTATAATATGTATGAGTATAGAGTCTAGAATGGTCTGAGTAAATAATTAGGATCAGTAGTAACATAATTCCTAGGAATCTCCACTAAAAACACAATTCTATTAAGATAAACTTAAATAATGTTGAAAGCTAAGGTAAAACAGGGATTATTTCAAATTATTTAAGGTACTCCCCAAGAGGTTTTTAACTCTTAATTCAAAATTGACTACAAAAAACCACCAAAATCATATAAAGTAAATCCAAACTTGGGAAAGTAAAAATTAACATAGTCCCATGAGATTATCCCCTATCCCTGTGTAAGTCCCTGTCCAGTCGGGTTCACTTTGTAAAGTGATGTTGTCATGGTAATTAAAATTGAGGCCGCCACGTCATAATCAAAATTAGCATAGAATGCATTAAGACCCAATGTTCGGTGTCAATCAAAGCTTTGAAAAGTTTCAACAACTCCAGACAGCGGGCTCCGGAGTCCCGGCACTCGACCACAATAGAAGCACGGCCGTAGTGCTGACGTTTTGACAAACGTAACGATTTAGTCCGGTCATTCGAATGGAATGGAAACGTAAATCCAACTCGGAGAAAGCAACCACAAAACATCATCATCATAATAATCATCCGTGGCCCCCTGCTGCTGTTACTCCTTCGCAAAGTGTCTGGATACTGAGGCATCCGTGCCATAATCAATTTGCCAGCCGAGCTGTAAAAAGCGCAACAAATTCCCCGACTAATATATTCATAACTGGAGTCAAGTGGGTGGGTGTGGGTTGGCAGTTGGGTTAGGGGTGTTATCCCGGGGGGTGGCTATCAAAGACCCAGATAAATCAGTGACAGCCAAGTCCTTCGAAGCGTGTAAGTGTTAAAAAACCGCTTAACCGTGTATTTTAAATTAACAGGATTCAGAGTTGGGGACAGAGTCTTGGTTTGGATTGTCACCCTCTCTTGTGCATCTTTATCCGCTTCCAATGGGGCATCATTTAACGTTCACGCTTGACTCGTGTCCACCCAAAACAAACAGATTAAGTTTCGAGCATTCCTCGCACTCAAGGGCCAGCCTTCAGACACATGTATCCAGTTATAAATAAATATGTTTGCCACAAGTTATGGCACAGCCCATTTGCGCCAGAAGTCCGAACTCGTTAGGGGGCCCATTAATGGGTCTATCTCTTGGGGAGAGTCAGGGAGAGAGAGAGAGGTTCTTGTGTTTGGTTAAGACTCAGCCAGGAAGTGGGCTGAACCGGGACTAAATTATTGAATATGGGGATATACTTTGAAGTGAGGATATTAACCTAGTCGTAACTTGGGATAAGTGTAGAGAAAGGATGAAGATAAGGCAGTTAAAATACTATTTTAACGGTGATTAATATATATTTATAATACTATTGTATTATTTATAGTTTTTCTTAAGAATATTTAGTTTGTAACTTTTATAAAAGCATCTAGAATTAATCTTTATCCTTTAGACAACACAGGATTTTCTAATATTCGCAGATTTATATTTCCTGCCTTTATTTATTTATCTTTAATCCCAAAAACCAATTATCCTCATCCATTTCAGCATACACCAATTCCGACAGCGAGGATTGCAGTGACGATGAGGGTGCCCATTCACGACATGATGCCGGCGGAATGAGCAGCAAGGACTCCCAGGGCAATGGCTCCAGTTCCAGCTCCAAGTCGCGTCGCCGGCGTACCGCCTTCACCTCGGAGCAACTGCTGGAGCTGGAGCGAGAGTTCCACGCCAAGAAGTATCTCAGTCTCACCGAGCGCAGTCAAATAGCCACCAGTCTAAAATTAAGCGAGGTCCAGGTGGGTTTCAGCTTTAAAATAACCCAAGAAAATCCATTATTAATTAACCCTTTTGACAAATAGGTGAAAATCTGGTTCCAAAATCGTCGAGCCAAGTGGAAAAGGGTCAAGGCTGGACTTACCTCACATGGCCTGGGTCGTAATGGAAGCACCAGTGGCACCAAGATCGTGGTGCCCATACCAGTCCATGTCAACAGGTTTGCTGTGCGATCGCAACACCAGCAGCTGGAGAAGATGTGCCTCAGCGGTCCCAAGCCGGATCTGCGGAAGAAGCTATCGGCGGAGACGATCGGTGGATTTGAGAAGTTCAGCGGTGCCTCCAGCGTTGTAGTTCCCCCACCACCAGTAGTGGGAGGTGTGGGTGTGGGTTTGGGTGTCAGTTTGGGAGGAGCCACACCGCTCTCCCTTGCCAGGAGTATCTACTGATGGAGTTGTGTTCTGTGTCCTTGCGTGTGTGTAAATATTCAGGAAGAAGGCAACGAAGATTTCTTTTTTGTAAATAAATGAATGAAAAATCAAAAAGTATAGAGTGTTTGCTCTTGATATAATGGAGAGGGGAACTATAAAGATCCTTTGAGGATTTTTTATATCGGAGAATAAATACTGTAAGCCTTGAGTTAAGAGTTATACCCAAGTAAGTATTTCCAAGAGAGAGATCCATAAAAAGAACAAAGTTAAAGACATATTTCGATATTATTTTCTTTAAGCATTTAACCACATAAAGGCACATAAATCCTTGTGTTCCAAAAACACGCCCAAACAGGAGCAAAGAGCCAGAGACCCAGGAGCCACTTAAGGGACCCCCGAGCACAAATCTCGCCTCGATGTCAATTGGAACAATTAAACTGCCAATTTGTGCGATTTAACACGGCCCAAAGTGGCCGTTTGGAGTGTCGAAAATCGAAAACTGCAGTGCATGAGAGCTCGACTCGATTTATCTGTGACTAATTTTTGTAATTTAACGCACCAAATTGTCACGAAATCAAAGTCTAGGGGAGGATCGGGGAAAGCAGAGAGAGAGAGATGGGCCAGCAATCACTCCAGGTGTCTCACGTGTCGCGCCTCTCCGGATGAGTCCCGAATCCCAGATCCTTCCCTCATGACTTATTAGCATCGGGCCTAGGCCTCTCGCGCCTTTGTGTGAGTTTTTAATTGCATTAGCCAACTTATTGGCCGCCTCCTGACTTTTGTTTACTTGCAACTCCCCTCTGCTCGCCCCTCGCAGCTCGCTAATTGTGCGACAACACAACAAAAAAAGGAGAAGGAAATTCAGGAGAGAAAACCACCCCAGGGAAAGGCCAGGCCCGACACCCTTGTGCGTATCGTCGTCGTCGTCGTTCGCAGCTTTATGTTGGGACACGCCTCCAAGCATGAGTTTTTATTATTGTAACACTTTGCTGGCAATTTGCTGCCGGCTGCGGGATTGCCGAGCGCTGCTCTTTTAGGTATCGAAAATTCGGAAGCTGGAAACTCGGCAGTTTTGAAGCTGACTTTGCGGCAAATGTGCAAAGTGCGGCAGGGATTCGAGTTCGGCTAGGTGGGTTTTGGGAGTGAGCTACAGTGCTTAGGGTATTGGAAATATATTTATTTGAATTACTTTAAAATAAGTATAAGTATTCAAGGGAAGGTTATTGTGTCTTTTTGTATTTCTAATTAGGTAATAATGAAATTAAAATGTTGTCTCTTTTTATAAGGAATTATTTTTAGAAGACACAGATGGTCTCTTTAAAAAAAAAAGACTTCTTCTGGCTCTTTATAACTTTCCTAAAATAAATAAATAAAATTTCACTAAAATTCCCAATGGGTTCTAGCTGTAAACTATAGGCAACTAAGCAGGGAGATCGTTCTAAAACAGGAGTATATTTCTTTCAAGTCAATTTCTAGGTTTTTTTTAGAAATTTGTTGTATAAAATATGTTTTATATTTTTCTTAAAATTAGATTGGTTAAGCAATCAATCAATATATTTGAACTTTGTGGCTTTACTTTCAATAGAATACAAAAACACTCTACTATTCAGAACACACCCATAAGATAACAAGTTTTAGAAAAAGTTTTAAAAAAACCCATGACTTAGTGTAGGGCATCCACAATTTCATATAGCTGAAAATCAGCCACCGCAGATTGCTTCTGCTCATAGTTTTCATGTACCATTTCGCCTTTTGCCAGCACCGCTTTTGTTGTAAATTATATTGCCATTAATTACGCGCGGATTTGTGTCGCTCAGAGCAGTTAAGCAACCATAAGCCAGCACCACGTTAAAAATCACTTTAAAATCATTAAAAAAATGATGGGAGGAAGTCACAAGGGTATAGATTCAAATCCAGATCCTGTGAGCCGCAAAAGGGGGTCATAGTTGAAAGCGGGCAAGCAAGCAAGGCCCACTAGCCGAGCGAGTGGCCATAAATCAAGCCAGAAATGCGCGCTGTCATAATTTGTCATGAGGCCGGGACACGCCCACTTCGGAGTATTCGGAGTCGGGAGCACACATGTCGTATCGCCGGGATTCGCTTGGTTTGTGGCAAGTTTGTTGCCAAGGAGCCTACTATATGGATACGGACTTCTGGCCACTTCGGAGGCCTTCAAAGGCACCGAGGACGACTCATTACAGTGATGCACTTGTCAGCGGCCAAAGACAAGCGGGAATGTCTCCATGACTGGCCTGCCCCTCATGGACAATCAGCGGCAATCAGCGATATGTAAACGGCTTGTAAACAAAGGGGGTTAGGAGTGGTGGAGCTTCATACTGGCATTGCCATGCCATCTGTCAGTCCCCAAAGACGGGCACCCACAGCTCCACACCGTCCGACGGCTCCGGCAGTTGAAATTCCGCTGAAGCCGAAGAAAAAAAAAATCAAAACGAAAATGCACTCACGCACCTGAATCCCTAATCAGCGGATAGCAATGACGATCCATCCGTCAGTGTGGACAGGCGGCAGCTACCGGCGGCAATGCATTTTGGGTATTCTCTTTGGGAACGGACACAGGCCCGAGGCAGACTAGAGGAGATCAAGTGGGGTAGTTGGGCATTCCGAGGATTCATAATTTGGGAGGACTTAAAAAAAAGGTATTTTTTCGAATTTATTAAACTTAAACAAGGAATCTTTACTATTAAAGCATTTTTAATAAAGAAACTGTTCCTTAAGACTTTAACTAAAGAATCCTATAAATAATATCTTTCTAAGTTATGAATATTTCTATTTTTAAGCAGTTAATGGGAAAATGATCTGTTAATTAAAAATAAACTTATATAAACTTATTCCTTAATTTCAAAGTAGCTCTACATTAAAACAGCTTTACCGAATTTTAGTTTTTCCGTTATTCCTTAAGTTTTTAAATCCCATTTTAAAGTAAAAGGTCAATTTGTTTATTGAAATAAACACGAATTCTGTAAATAAATTAAACCTGTGTACTACTCCCTTTCCCAATTAAAACTTATACGTATTTTAAGTAATATAATCCCTTCAAGAAATAAATAAAATAATAATAAATAAATAATACCTCTGGGTATGTTTATATTCGATCCGCACTCTTTGAGCTCTTCTTTCTCTTCGCTTTGTTTGGTGAATTAATTAATTACCATTTTGTGATTTTATTAATTTCCAAAAACCGAGGCATAAGGCATGCAAGTGGCGGCAATCGTCTCCCAACCCTTCATTTCCATGGAGCGAACAGCGTCGCCGGTTTTCTGTCCAGTGTCCATCGCCTCGTCCGTCCGTATTCCAATTCCCATGGCTTATGGGCACGTAGCGGCAAGCTCGTAATAATAATGAATGTAAATTGCCGCAATGAACGATTTAATGTCTTAATTCTTTATTTATACTGCATTTTCCCTATATGTTGCTGCCGTCACGCCCCCGCTTTTTTCTCGCCCTTTTGCGGGGGCGGTGGTTATTATTCAAACAATTGGAAAATGATTATTGCTATATAAGTATGTGCAGGCAAAGGAACAAAGTGCCGACCACATGAATAATGCAATCAAGATAAATTAGAATAATGCATTCTCGAAAATATTATGAAAGTGCATAATTGAATTGATCAGTTATCAAAAGAGTTTTCGCGGCTACTTTCTGGTCACGAAGGAAGCCGTTTGTCAAAATGTGTCCACCGACTTCGTGCCGACTAATTAAATAGAAATATATTATATTCATATATCCCCTTTCCATCGAGGCTAAACGATTCGGGGAAAAATATTAGAAGCGGGTGTCCAAATGTCTGGGATTTGGTCGAATGTGTCGGTACTTTTGAGGGTTTGCTTTGGAGGCTTTTGGGTTCTGGGAAGGATCGAATCGAAGGGGGGATTGTGTAAGGAAGTGGGATTTGAATATAGGAGGAAATTATTGCTTATTTTTAGAAAAAAGTAGTTATTGTTCTCTTGAGGTCGCATGCTTTTCTCTCACGTTCTCTCTCTCTTTCAAAGTTCGCCTGCAATGTACAAGCAATAGCAAACTAGAGCGTTTCTTTTGATTTTCATATATTGTATGTATTGTATTTATGTATTAAATATTTTATTTATTTATAGTTGAACCATTTTTAGTGCTATTTTTAGAACACCTTCTGTCTTAACTATTTTTCCTTTACCTACTGAAAATAAAACTTTTCTTTTCTTGAACTCATCTAAACTCTACGATCCCACACACACACATTTCTCCGTATACCTTTTGCATAAATTGGCATAACGATCCGGCATTAATCAAGGATACAAGGCTCTGTCAACCCACAAACACTTCCGCTCTGTGGTAGACCGTGAACCGAGATTAGGGAGCACCACCACATAAACCATAATAAACCAAATTGTGGCATGTGCACGTATTTCAATTCCTAAATCGAGTCTCTTTGGGTGGCCCAACTACAGAGATCGTTTAGGATGAGTTACGAGGCCAGAATTCGGTTCGAGGCCGGTGTGCGCAGGAGCAGCACGTCTAAACCGTAAAACTCGGGACACACGTGCAGATAATTGATAAAAGATGGGCTCAGATAAGGCAAGAGAGAGATAGGGAGAGCTGCTGTTTTGGGTAATTGATATTCCTGGCCATCCAGAGAACTCCCGCTGAGCCACTTCGATATAGTTAGTAATCTGACCCCTCATATTCCGGCCAAAGTGGGGTAAAAAACGGCGGACGCAATTTATGCCACAACATCCGGCGATAGGTTACACCCACTATTCCCGGGCTCAGGCTGGTGCGATTTCATGAGTTGGCAAAATAATAAAAGCGCAAATCGAATAAAGGCAGCAGAGATGATAAAAAATACCAAGATGTTCCTCGCAAAATAAGAGCAAAAATCATTGTGATATGCACAGGACATTGGGGAGCTATAGCCAACGCCACGCCCCCAAAAAAGGGGACCGGAGAGACCCGTGTCAGTCTGTCTGGACTCGCTCCAGTTCCGCCCACCGACTTCCGGCCCATAGAGCTGCAAAGTGCCGAGTCTCTATAGCTTTTTTGTGGCCACAGCAAGGAGGAGAAGAAGGAGAGTGGGTGGCTCCTGTCCGTAATTACAAACCACCCACTGGCCCCTGGCCGCAAGCGTAAAAAACCAGCGAAAATGTGATGACGTAGTTAGAGAGTCCTTGTGAATTGTTCGGCAACGCCCACCGCTCAGCAGGCGGTCAGATTTTGCGGCAATCATCGACGCCGCACCAGGGGATCCGGAACTGATGCTCTAAGTGCTGCCAGCAATCTGTAGTTTTGGCCAACAGCCAACCAATAAACATAAAAAAAAACTAATTTAATAAGGAGAGCAGCAATAATGAATAGAAATTGTATATTTTGTTTAGAGAAATAACTAAAGTGGGAACTTTTTTAGTTCTATATAAGGGATTTCAGGTTTTGGGATACAGAAACTTATTTATTTGCTTTGGTTTTTAAACTAGTTTGAAAAGTCTTAAAAAAATAAACTAAGAAGATTCTAAAAGTAAAGGTATAGCTATATATAATGATATAATAATATTAAAGAAATATTGCCACACATTTCGGTTTTTTTTCTCTTGGATTTTAGCTTACTTTCTTGGATGAATTCCCTCAACTTTTTGACTTTTGTTAGAGAATATTTTTCATAAAGAAGGACATTTTTACACATTTGTTGCTGTTATAAAAAAATTAAAGAATGAACCATGAATAATGGATTCCCCTATATATATATACTGCATATTGTATATTAATTTGAATTCAAATATATATTCTAGCACAAATATTATTAAAATAAGACCCACAGATCACGATGAAGACTCTTCAAAAAACTCTTTCTAAAGCTGATATCATTTTTGATTTGCATTTGGTATCCAGAGACCCTGATACATTAATATATGAGATTTGTAAGTAATGCACACAGTTTTTAAAGAACACAATAATCTCCTACGAATTCACTACACATTTACTCTTATTTGCTAAGCTTAGGACTAGCCTCTAACATGCATCTAAAGAACTAGAAAAATAGCCTTAGACATGGCCTACAACTAGATTTGACTATGTACGCTTGCAGAAAAATGGCCAATATACACAAATTTTCACAACTTATCACAACATTGCAGAAGAGAGACAGACTACAAACGCTGCACACAGCGCCTCACAAACTTGGCCTTGTGCTGGCACATAAAGCGCAACAGGAAGATCACCAAGAGCACACTAACCAGATAGCCCACAACCAATACGGCCCGCTTCCTTCGCTTCCAGCGCTGGTAATCCCGCCAGGATGCATAGCGATTTCGGAACTGTGGCGGCAGTTCGAACTTGCTGCGCCGCGGAAAGAACGACAGGTAAAAGTCCTCGAGCAGATGGCGCACAATCTCGTTGTCCTCGCTTCTATTCGCGTCCAGGTTATCGTTGATGCAGTTGAACTTGCGCGGATTACGACGCAGTCGGTCTAGGGACTCTACCACCTCTGTGATGTTCGAGGTCAGCATCATAAAGTTGCTGTGGGAGGTGCGCTTGGGACTCACATGAAAGTGGTACTTGGGACGCACTCCAAAGTTGGCAGTCAAGGCTTCCGCTAAAAGGGGGCAACGCACTACCAAGGCCCGCGTTATGGTGGGCTGAAAAGGGCAAAAAAATTCAAAATTAATATTCGGTGAGAAGTATCTCAAGTTTACTTACCAAATTTGAATCCTCATATCGCTCATAGACCAACGTGGAGTGCTCCACTACGTCTACTCTTAAGTCCTCACCCTGATTCCTGGTGCAATTCTGGATAACCTCTTCGAAGTAACGCATGGCTGACCAGTCTAGAGGCGGCGGATAAATGCGGGTAAGGAAGGTGCGCACCTCTCGGTCCGACCACGTCCCAGAACCATCAGTGTCGAACTCATCGAAAATCTCTTCCACGCCCAAGACCCGAGTTTCACTCATCAAAAAGGAGTAATAGGCAAAGGCATATTGCAGATCCGTGGGCGCCCTGAAGCGCTGCAGGGCAGTGTCCAGGACCTGCTGCCTGAAGCGTTGCTGCATGGCCTCCACAATTTCCCCTTCGAGCAGAAATCCCACGTGGGCCAGGACATAACGAGCCTTGAATCCATAGGCTTTGTTTAGCAGCATATTCGTGGAAATCAATGAGTGTGAGTAAATGTCTGTGGAGGATTTAAAGTCTTCCTTGTGCAGGACATGACGTTGCGTGGTCGGCGGCCCTGTGCTGCTCGCCTCCATCTCGGGATTAAGAGACATTAGCTTGTCCTTGTTGAAGCGCTCAACTATGCGCCGAAGCTCGAGCAGCGTTGACACATTACGGTGGCGCATCACATCCTTGAAGTTAGCAGAGCTCTTCTTAAACAGCTTTTGCAATCCCATGTGAGGAAACCGGTGAACCGGAGTCGGGGGCACTGCAGCTGCTGCGCCCAACTCGTGCGTCTCCTGGCTTTGGGGAAGGATGTGGGAGCCATCCGCTGGCCCCGTTTCGCTGCAATCTCCTCCATCAAACTGGCAGGCGTCGATGTTGCAGTGCCGATCGCAGGCTCCGTCCCCTATGTACGTCCAGGGGCAGTCCAGGGCACAGTCGGGCACCATCCAGGCCTGGTATACGCGCACTCCCTCCGCCTCTGTGTACAGATCCTCCGGATATAGCGGAGCCCCCAGGAAAATGTCGTCATTGAGGTAAAGGAACCTCTTCGACAGCCTAGGTATGCGGTGCAGAAAGGTCTCGATGGCCGAGCTGGAGAACGTGGGAAGCTGTGAGGGATCGGGCGCCAGCAACTCGTGCGGCACCACTGTGACTCTCTCGTAGCTGAGATCAAGCCAGTTGGGAATCTGGCCATTGGTGACTATGTAGACGTGCCTGATCCAGTTGGCGTGCTTCTCAAGCGATCTCAGTGAATAGCGCAGCTCGTTTTTGTCGTCGAACCGCGAGGGGTCATACTTGGGATCAAATCGCCGGATGGCCTCAATAAAGTTCGGATCGGAGCCATTAACCCAGGTGTACACCGCATCTATGGGACTGCAGGAGCTGCCAAAGTCGCCGGTTTTGTCACTTTCTGATGTGAAAAGGTAAGCACCAGCCAACCAAATTGCCAGAAAGAGTCCTACTGCCCCTGGAAATTGATAAACATATAAATTAATTGTTATGGGAATGAGTTTAGGAAAATCCTACCAATTAGAATCCGCAGCTTCCTCCGTGACTGCATTCTCAACTGCTCGATGGCGCGCCTCATCCTTCGCGGCCAGCGGCGGCGCAACCGCATTTTCAGCGCCCTAACTGGCACATTTAATTTAATTTTTTCGAATTTTGTTTATATTGTTATTACTTTCGGAAAGTGTGCCCGCCTGGACATCTGCTTCTAAAGTCTAAAAGTGTTCGCAAAAACGAAGGATTTCTTCGTTCTTAGAACTGGTCACATTAAGTTGCACTGTAGCACCTTTTCTCATTTTACGTTCAGGGTATTCTTTTGACGTCAAAGTATCGCGATATTTAGCCGATATTTTCAGCAGTTTGGTTTTCAGTTGAAAATATCGGCTAACATATTCGATAGTATCGTTATAACCATTTCCGAAGGGAATATTCAGAGTATCGCGAAAGGGTAGCGAACTTTTTGCTTATCATGATGCCTGAAATGAAGAAATCCATCAGTGGTCAGTGTTGTTCTGCTGAACGCAACCAATATGACGGAATTACTGAAAATATCGGCGATGTATCGCGATATTTAGCAGATATTTTCCACACAAACTGCTCAAAAATATCGCCCAACAACTTCGATAGTATCGTTATAACTATCGCTGGTGTTCCACCTCTAACACAAAATCAGCTGGGTGCCCCGCTTAAATCGTTGTAGTTGTTTTCCATTTCTCCAGTGACGAGGTCCGATTTTTTTTCCGAGCGAAGCGCAGCCCCGAGTGGAAATCGGCGAAAATCACGCGGGGGTTAGTTTAAAACACGCCTAGCTTAATTAGTAAATTGTGCTACGACGGCCTGGCGCAAAGCCCGAATTCAATTCGAAGAGCCAAGGCGCTTAAACCTGGAAATAAAATCGCCGAAAATATTAGTGGCAATAAAAAGAAAGAAGGAAAGAGAACCCTGGAAAGTGGTTAATGTGTGTGTATTTGGCGAGCGGAGCACTGAAAACCAGTTAGTTCACTGTGAAAAGATTCAATAACGTGTTGTTGGGGGAAAAAAAGAAGAACAAATTGTTTCGAGTGTGTGAGGCGACGACAACAACAAAATCAACAACAACCACTGCAACTGGTCCGGTACGAAAAAGTCCGCTTTCCTCGCTCATTAGCGGCGCTTTCCTCCTCAAAGTCAACTGGAAACCTTAAACCGGGCCGTGCAATTAAAGTGCAAATTGATATATGCAAGTGCAGCATCAGCAGCAGCTTTGCCGAAAAACAGGTGCGTACGCCTGCCAACTTTCAATGTTATATTTATTTGTGTGTGTATGTTCGATCTGATCTCTGGTCTCGGCTATCTTCCGTCTCCCTTTGGTGCTTGGTGGTGTGGTGTCTGCTATACATATCTACATGGTCTTTATCTTTCGGGTTATTGTGTGTTGCCGCAAGAGCATCGCGGAGCATCTTTGGCATTCATTCAGTCATTATCATTATCCCCCCATTCATTTGCCTAACACAGATATCAACAACAAATAAAGTGAAAGGTGTCGGCACGCGTTTTCCCATATTTTCTATTTAACTATGCATTGGCGAGCGCAAGAAAAAAGCGAAATCGTTCTTAGTCATCGTGGTTTTTTGAGGGGGGTGAAAATTGCTGGATATAAAGGACGCAGACATGGCGCCTGGCAACAGGCAAGAAATCTGGCAAGAAGAAGGATTCAATAAAAGCAACGAAATTATCGATTGTAGATAGGCATTCTAAGTAAGTTTAATTAGAAATAGACAAGGTTCTTAGTCATCGGTGTTAAAAAGCCTTTAATCACTAAGAACGGATTCGATAAGCTGTAATCAGGGTGTATTTCTGCAGGAAGTCCACGTTTTTTGCTAGAAATAAACACAATGATACTCAAAACCCACCAAAATTATTAAAACTAAATCGATAAATGGGTGTAGTCCAACGATTACATTGATAATTTGGCAGGACGACTTTATTTTAAATTGAAATCAGACAAAATATGATGTTGTCAGGGGGTTAAACGTGTGCTATTGCCAAGTAAACAATAATAAACTCGATAGGTCGCCCGACAGTCGCGATTATATTGATTTTTGGCAGCTGCGGCTGCTTCTGGTCGGGTTAATTATTAATTTCATGACACGACAAGTGTTCCGTTCGGGCACCACACCCACTTATGTCAGAGGGAAAAGCGTAAGCGGAAATGATTTCATACACCGAAAAACCCACCCCGAGAAAATAAAACACAGACCATGTTTTAATGGCCATTGCCTGCCCCAAGCCGTCTGCCATTTTCATTTTCATTTCATTTTCCTCGTTGTTCGTCGACGTGTTGAGGTTAGGTCTCCGATTTTACGGGGTGCCGGCTCCTTTGCGTCGTCGCAAAAACTATTTACTGAGCTTTAGGCTTGATTTTCGGGGTGCAAAAGCACACGCCTTTCCTTTTCGCCGGAAAAATTTCACGGCCGAACTGAGTTTCCAACATAAACATTACAAAATTTTTCGCAGTAATGGCGATGATAATAAAAGCACCTTTTCATTTTCGCAGCCAGCACGCACATCGAAGTAATTATTACCACTCTTCATCATCGCCTCCGTTTTCCCTCTTACAAAACTACGGTGTTAATGCGGCCAGCACGTGCGTCTCTGTCTACGCACTGAGTTTTTCCGTTTTTAAGTTTTCCTTTTTTTAAGTTTCCCGTTTATCTCTGGCCAACTAAATTCTCAGCTTGCCCCCGAAAAAGGGGGAAGCAATAGAGACGCAACCATGACCAAAGAAATTCAAAACTTGAGCAATTTGTAGGCAAATTAAGGTGTTAACTAACCGTGAAGTTGGTCAGTGGGAAATCCACGAAGATGCTACAAACTAAAAGCTTATACACGGAGGGAAAAATTCCGAAATTAGTTAAAGATTTTGAAAACAACTATGATGTGGTAGAATTTGTATGTAAAAAAGAACAAAAAAGATCTACTTGTTTAAAAACATTATATTTTAAACGATTTATATTGAAATCATAAGTGTATAAAAAATCTTTTTCTTTTGCTTTTACATTTCCTTTTGAACATTAACATACTTTTCTCTCTGTGTAATTTCGGCAGACGAGCTCGGAAATTGTTTGATCGATTCGATTCCTTCGTCTGCTTCCGCTCAGTCGGCTATCGGCTGGTGCCTTTTGGTCGGCCATTCGCCACTTGCTAACAGTTGTTTTCGTACGTGTGCACCGCTCAGAGACTCAGATACGGATAGAGATACAGATACGCAGATACTTTTCTCCATGGATGTAGTGCATTGTTCTGCGCTCTCCACTCTCTCCTCTCCAAGCGGAAGCAACTCCATTTATGTAAATTGCTTGCGTGACATTTCAATACGCCGGGGCGCTTTATGAAAAGCTGGAGCGGATGGGGAATCCAGGGGGGAAGGCAGAAGAATCAGCTCCATTGTTGAACGCGCAGATCTCGGCAGTAGGGTTGCCAGGCCATTTATCCGTCATGCCAACAGTGAGTCGCCAATCAGTTTAACTGTGCTTTTTTATGGCCGCACTTTGCGCTTTTTATGCGCACTCATAGGCATAGCACACGATGTGCACTATCATTGCACTAACGTTTTTCCAATCAGTATGCGGTGAAGTACTTGGAATTGGCGCAGATGAATCTGCATTTACATAATGCTCTCATTTTCTGACTTAATTATCTCGATTTCCCTAGCAGTTTCATGTCTTTAATATGCGGAATGGCGAAAGACGGAACGAAGCCATCTAATTGCTCATTTCTATGATACAAAAGATTGGTTGAAAGCAAGAATATTATGATCAAGATATAAGTATTTCTAGATTTAATAGACTTTTTGATAACTCTAAGTGTTGTCAGCTGATGTAACCCACCTAAGTGGGTTCTATTATATCAAAAATTAGAGTAATATCGCTTTGTTTGTCGCTAAATTCGTGCTTGCATTTGATATTTAGGTTTATATTGATACATTTTAACGTTTTTATAAAGCCTTTCATTATATTTTCACTTATATCTAATCTTGTTTTACCTCTCAGTTATTTTGCTGAAGTTTCTGGTAATTTCCCCTTCAGATCCCATCATTAATTTGTAAACTGGTGAAATAGACACTAAAAAAAATAAAGAAAAACTATACAACCTTCAAATTACCATTTTCAGTGAAATGTTACAGACAGAGATAAAATTCAGATCTGGGTTTATTTTACGGGACTGCGTAAACTTGGCCCAAAACAAACTTTGCCACGGGGTTTCGGCTTTAATTCGTTTGCTTAATTTGCTTTTTCGTGCTCGGGGTTCAGCGAGGTGAAACGGTTAAATGTTTTTGGAAAACTGCCCCCGATGTTTTCCTTTCCCCATTTCTAGACGAGAGCGAGCGATGAGTGTGTTTGGCTTTGCGTGTGTTCATTGTTATTTCGGTGTGTGCCGCCCCTCCGGTGTGGTTGGTGTGTTGTGCATTATATTATGCTAACTAGACCCTAATGTCGGTGGCTCGCGGTGTTGTGAGTGCTCCACATTAGTGCTTCCTATCGTATGCTCCATAAAGGGCCATTCGATACGATATATTTTCCGGCCAGGGTTGCGCATTTCCTCCACGTACTGTGAGTTCAATGCACCTGATCGCAGAGCAACGACTTTATATAGGGACCCCCGAAGTGGGTATACAAAAAAGCAGGCCAAAAAGCGTCCATAACAAATGCAAAATGTCAGCAAATTATGAATAATGTAGTGAAAAGTAACAGGGAACCACAGAAAAACGTGATAGGAAAATGAGGCAAAAAGCGCTGCATAAAATAATACGTATTATCTCAAGCAGCTTGACATTTGAAGCACTTGAGACCTGAACTGAATCATCGGGGGAAACTACGTACGTATTCTCCGAGTAGACAAATTGATATTTGTTTGTTTTTGCAATACGCTTCCCCGTGACAACTGATACTTCTGTTTGTGGGTAAATGAAAATAAGCGCTCGCCATCTCTGTTTGTTTATGCATTAGCAGTCACTGCACAGAGAATAAAATATCTATGGAGATGATAATAAATTGGGTAAAATAGGTCTCTCGGTGGACTAGCCAAAAATATCTAGTTGAATGTACATATATAATGAGTTTTGAATATTAAAGTAAGCTCAACAGGAGAGACGTCAAGGTTCTATAACTTATAGATGCCTAAAAAACGTACAGATTTATGCATATTTGTATTTATTTATCTAAGTTATAGATTAATTAAAATTAAAATAGAAATTATAGAAAATAGGGGAAGAAATATTTGTTTTTAAATTCCAAAATACATATTAGAAATTATAGAATTACTCAATGGTTTCTCAGACAAAGAAATTATTCACTTAGTAACAAGGATATTCGGGATATATATTTTTTCAAATATAATTATAATTCTAATCTTATTTTCTTCTGTGTACCATATTCACGTTTCCATTAGCTGCGCCGCCAACTTAGTTTTCAGCTTGTCGCCGTGCCTTTTGCCCAGAAACAAATTTTTGTTGACTTTTCGAATTAAGTTTCACCGTTAGCCAAAGATCAGGCGGAATTCGCTGGAGTCTCCCCATTTACCGGTGATTTTAGCATTCGGTCGAAAAAATTGACCTAGTCAACGAAAAGCGAGATCCTCTCTCTGGCACTCTCTTCTAGGGAGCGAAGAACCTGTTTCCTAAGCTTTTTCCGAGCTTTCCAGCAAGCTTACCCGCTTCTCTTAAAGCATAATCTAGTTCTCTTAAATGCTCTCTTTAATTTGCACCTCTTCTTGGGTCCCTCTAGTTTTGTTTTTGGCATTGGCTTCGCGTGGCTTTGTTGATATTAGAAACGTGTGTTTGAAAAACAATAGCAACCTTTGGGTTTCCAAGGTTTCCCAGCAATTCGAATCAGAACTTTTGGGGATGTTAGTTGAACCCACAGGCACTTGGTGATACCTGATATTATCGAGCGAAAGCAAAACAAAGTGCAAATGAATAATGTATTTAAATTGACGGATCACCTCACCTGTTACCTTGCTCTTCGTCCCACAACTAATTAGCCCTGCCTCGGAAAGTCATTAACTATCGTTAAGTATAAACAATATGGTCGTAAATGTTGTAAACAAACTTGCGCAAGCAAAAAACACAGAGTCAATGTGTTTGACAACCTACGCAATTCTGAGTTTCATAAGATCAACGATTGGAATAATCGGAAAGCAACGCAGATTGCAGCAGGGAAATTGCGATAGTTGATAGTTGCAATGCGAATAAAAGCGTAATGGAAAATTTAGTAACCTTGATTTGTTACTTACTATCACATGTGGCTATAGAAAAAAAGTAAAAGAATAAAAGAAAAAATATATTGTGGGTAAGCAAAGATTGAATACTCTACCTACCATCACATTTTCAAATTGTCAAACTTATTTCCGCTTGGAACCCTAATAACTAAAGATAATTACATGTAGAAAATGGACATACAAAATATAAATATATACAGTCTAGTTAAGTATACCTGTATATTTTCACCAAGGGTGTAACAAATCGCAGAAACATAATATTCCTTACCCTTTTGAAAAGATTTATAAATGTATTTTAAACGATAGTTAGTATTCTTTTAAAATTATATAGTAATCTGAAACTTGACTTTAATATATCAAGTTTGATTTAAATATCTTTAAAAACATCAAACTTATATTACTTTGCGACTAACATATTTATGGAAAATATTAAAGTTCTTAAAAGGAAAAACCTCTATACAAATTTTTAAAATAATTTCAAAAATGTAAATCATTTCAACTTGTTGTTGATTGATACAAAACCCAAATACCCCCTGTGAGGAGGGGTATGCAAGTTAAGAACTTGGCGACCCCAATATAGCGGCGCTATCCAATTCCCCATGCGCGTGTCGATTTTGTGTTGGTCTGTGCGGTGTGCTTTGGGCACGTACACATGTGTGACTCTATATTGCTTTGTTTTTTTCTGTAAGTCCATTGAGTGAAAAACAACTCATTAATTAGGCACAGAGACTGTAAACGCCGGCATAACCCCAATGGAGTAATTAAAAGCCAGCGCACAATTATTAAACAAACTTACAAGAGGAGTAATTAAATACCCCAAAACTTTGTGCTTTGATAATATTCTCGATCGAAGATTGAGTACTTTTGGAAACGCAGCCATTGCACTATTAGATATCTATGCCCGATCCCTTGGGGTAAACAAATTAACGTCGCACGTATTGTTGTTTACACTTTGCTATCGCAAGCTTAGTTGTTATTTTTAAGTGCACATTCTGTAATTCGACAATGGCCATGTGCAGTTGTTGTTGCCTGTTGTTTACAGCAAATTAAAGCTCTTTTACATATCCATCTCCCACATCCACAATGCTCTCAGCGTCGAGCCCACCGATGGCGACCAATGGCAGCCAAGTAAACAAGTTGGGGAATAAAAACAAAAAAATACGAATAGAATCAACAGAGCACCCACCAGCGGGCAACGCGGAAGCGAATTTGTTTACGTCTTATCCAAGCAGCAATTAGAGATCGGACAAACAGCTCTAGCAGATCATATCTATATATTTATGATCTCTCTCTCTGATCGAATATCGTGTTATTCATCATAAGAAAAGCTAAATAACCAAAATATAAAATCTAGAAAATATGTATCTAAACTTATGACTTTTACTTTTCAATGACTTACCCATGGCTTTCTTTCCATTAACAACTTTTTTAATGGCATTTGCTATAAATTGTGAAACGTCTGCTCATTTGGGAATTCGTTAAGTAAAAACTTTAAAATAAATACAGACTAGCTACCCATTTTAACAAAAAGCTGTTAAAACGAAAACTTAATTGTTTTCTCCATAATCCACGTTTTGTTAATTGTTTGAATTTTCTCCACCTTTGTCAGTGGCGGATCCAGAGACGATTCTTGGGGGGGGGAAATTGAACTTATTGACAGAAAATTATTCTATTGGACAGTCAAGTTGAGGCGTTTTTGGCGAGATAAACGGATTTAAATGAAAAGTCACCATGCGTTGAGTGTTTTCATACTCAATAGTGCCAGTTGTACAGTATTATATAGGATAATCATGCCAGATAGTAACATTTTTAGGTTCCAAGGGGGGGAAATTTCCCTAATTCCCCCCCCCGTGGATCCGCCACTGCCTTTGTAAAGTTTACAACAATTAACTTAGCATATTAAAATGATGTTTAATATTTATAAAACTGCAATTAAACTCTACGATTAAAGTTTTCCTATCCATCAAATATTTGCACAAAAAGAAGATCATTGAACGGAAAAAAAGCTGAGGTGACAACACCTCTGCTCTGCAACTAATGACCCTGGGGATCTCTCATAATTTACGACACCAGTTGGCCACAATGTTGGCGCTTTTTTTTTTTGGCTCATTTTGACTCTCTGCTCTGCCGGTTGGATCACCGGCAAGGCAAGATCATTGCTCGCGCCGGTTTCGTGAGGGGGGCCTGCCCTCAGCCGGCTTCCGCCTTTGGGGGGGGGGGCGCATTAATTTCTATGCTCCACCTAAACTGCGTAGTTCGCTTATATACTCGTAGTATCTGCCGATGTATGTCAAGCTATAGGTTTGCACATATACATATGTATTTTTCGCATATAAACGACTATTCTTGGTCGGTTAAGGCGCGAGCGACTCACGCGCTCTCAACTATTTCGACCTTGATGTGACTAGCGGCATTATCTATCCACTCGCGTTGTTTTGCCTGTTCTGACACTCTGAATATATTACATTATAGAAGCCACAGACTATACTATATAAATATGTATGGCTGGTAATGGACATACATACATACATGCGAATGAAGGGGCTCGTCTCATGTTGTTTGCTTCGATTTGGATGTAACTTGTTTTCAATTAAAGCTGCCAGAACCAGTTATGGTCAGGTCTGCTGACTGAAAAAGCGGCAGATGAAAAACACGCCCCTCTTTCCAAATTAATGACAACTGAACACGATATCTTAAGATTCCCTTTTAAATTCATCAAGCTGGAAATGTTTATAAATGGACTAGATATGGGGATCTTTATGAAAATGTACTCTAAGCGAAATCAATGAAGTTATGATTAAATTTAGAATAGATTAGCTTGAAGAGATATTATATGGAGGTAATATTTAAGAATATGGAATGTAAAATTAAAAAGAGAGTTATTTTCCAACTCACAATTCAAGGCTGTATAGCAAAGCTACTCTCAATGTTTAAATAAAAGATTACAGAATTCTAGTTAGTGGGTTTATAGTTTTCTAGAACCTAAGGAAGCCTGTAGCTAAACATCTTTCTGGGCGCCAGGGCCCTATTCAAAAATAGTCTTTGCTTTAGAAATTCAAAATTGTATTCTGTAAATGCATCAGATTCCGTTCAAGTACCAGGGCCACCGTCATTCCCTTCAAGTATGTACAATTAGCGGGGAAAACAGTCGCCACAGAGGTTCACGAACTCCGGCGTTGCTCTTCAGCGGAAGTGCAGGCATTCAGGGGGGGAAAACAACCAACAGCCAGGCCATCGATTGGCCACCTTCGGCCGATGGCTTCAGTTCACTTTGACGGACTACTCCGGACGCACGCTCGTAAAGGGGAGCGGAAACTGCGCTGTATCGCGAACCCTCCGCCCGTATCTTTTGCCGAGGGAGCTCTTATCTTGCGCGGCGGTTGTCTTATCAGGCGGAAAGTCAATCTTATCGCCAGTAGCAGCAGCAGAAACCCGGGGAAAAGTAGTGAAAAGCAGCCAGCTCAGTGTGACAAAATTTGGTTGGAATTAAATGTGTTTTTCCGCGGTTCCTCGATATTCTGCTTGCTTAATTAGAGGGGTAATAATCGATCGATTCGCCAAACTAAAAATTAAGTATTTGGTATAGTAGTGAGAGGTCTTAACTGTACTATAACTAAGATATTAGTAAAAACTATCAACAAAGGTTAGAACCTAACCTCAAAGAGCCAAGTGCGGGTGTCTTAAAATAAAACAAAGACCGGTGATAAGGTGTAATCAGTGTGTGGACGAGATCGTGCCTCGATTCTTGTGCCTTAATCCAAAGCCGAATCTGGTTAGATCGATCTCTGATTCATCGGATTCAGCTGAATTTGGCCTTGGTATTTCCCCTTCCTGTTGGAAATTTACGACCGATTTGAACGCGAACAGAAAACGATTAGATAAACCCGTAGAATGGTTGTGGGTTGTACTTTACAGTGTTAACTCCATGCACACGACACAACAACACTCCCTGATGATTAATTGCCACTAACTAACTCACACTCACTAACCAAAACCAAACAACTCTGCAACCTCATTACTAAACGCAACGCCTAACTACGTGTTTTGCCGCCTAATCGCAAGAGCAACCCATTTTTTCTACGCACACAGATCAGGATCAGGATCAAGAGCAAGGTAACAGGCCATCCCTTCATGTTCCACAACTATCGAGCGTCTGCTCTGCCACGAAAGGATTAAGCACGCTGCCATCTCAACATGCCGCTCTTCACGAGGAAGTCTCCCAAACAGGGCACCATGGCGGACGGTGCTCCCCAGTTGGGCGCCCGCATGAACTCCGGATCCTCGCAGGGTAACCAAATGAGCAATATTAATAACAACAATGTTACGGACAAGTCGAAGCCACCGCTGGTATTCCACTGCCAGCTGGCCCATGGCAGTCCCACTGGCCTCATCCATGACTTCTCCAGCGTGCGCGAGCTGTACCAGAAGATTGCCGAGTGCTTCGACATCTCCGAGAAGGACATTCTCTTCTGCACCCTCAACTCGCACAAGGTGGACATGGCGCGCCTCCTGGGCGGCCAGATCGGCCTGGACGACTTCATCTTCGCCCACCGCAAGGGTCGGCCCAAGGAGATCGAGATCGTGAAGTCACAGGACGCTCTCGGCCTGACAATCACGGACAATGGGGCCGGCTACGCCTTCATCAAGCGGATCAAGGAGGACTCGATCATCGATCGCATTGAGCACATCTGTGTTGGAGACCACATCGAGAAACTCAATGGCCAGAACATGGTGGGTAAGCGACACTTTGAGGTGGCGCGCATGCTCAAGGACATACCCACCGGCGAAACCTTCACCCTGCGTCTGGTGGAGCCAGTGCGGAGCGGATTCCAGGGCATTGGACCGCGTAGCGGGTCTAGGGCATCCGGCAGCGGAATGCCCGGAGGTCGCAACTACGGGAGTGGCAAGGAGACGCTACGGTTCAAGGCCAACGGCAATGCCCAGATCGAACCGCAGTTCGACGAGGCGACCGTGGCCGGGATAGAGGCCATCAACAACCTGCTGGAGTCCTTCATGGGCATCAACGACACGGAACTGGCGTCGCAGATCTGGGACCTGGGAGACCAAAAGTCCAACTCAATGGACTTTGCCGAGGCCATCGACAACTCGGACCTAGAGTCCTTTGGCTTCACGGATGACTTTATCATCGAGCTGTGGGGTGCCATAACGGATGCCCGGCGCAAGTCCACGATCACCCCCAAGTAACCGGCGACCATCCCGTCTTTGCCCAGAATTCCGGACTCGGATACTTCACTTAGCCTGTCTATTGGGGACCAATAAAGCGCCCAGAAATGTGGACTGTTTCTTAGTAATTGTCTACTTGTTTTAGAGCCTAGTTATATCTATCACACATCGTGCTATCATGTTACCCATATTCGAGCCTATGTCGCCTGCCTTTGCCAATTATTTAGTTGTTCGTATATTGCCCGCACGGTAATCTATTTATTATTATATTTGTTCAGATGGAGATAGAGGGGGAAGCGCTGATGATGATGAGGCATCCATACTATATATATTTTGGTACAATTTGTTCGATGTACATACGTATAACTGTATTTCTTTAGTTTTATTATCATTTAAACAATACAAATACATTTAAATTATTTAAATCGAATATGATTTAAGCGAATTTGTTTTTATTTTGTATTATTTTGTTATCTTGGTAAGTTTGTTTATTTGCTTAGAGGTTACCCTGATGACATAAGGGTATTATAACTTTTATCAAAGGTTTGCAATGCAGTGAAGTACTGTAAAAATACTATTGTTATATCAGTATCACCAGACGAGTCGATCTTGTCAAGTTCTACTCTCCGTTAGTCTTTGTTCTTACAAAAGTTTAGCTTTTATATTGTATTTCATTATTGAAAACTCAGTATATTCTTATTTCTGTTACAGGTAGTTTATATCATATACGTAACTCTTATAGGAGAGATCATATCATCTCAAGTAATTATAATTTAGGCATATTTATTAATATATAGAGCTGTTATAGCAAGAAATGAAGAAATGAAGGCGATATTCAAAGGGTATCCAGATTTCACTATCTCAAAGTTACCTAGCTTCCTGTCTTATTTTGTTTTTGATTCATAAGTACGAACTGCCAGGTTTTGCTCGTAGGCGGTGTTATCTTTTGTTGGCACCCATTGGCAATTTGAATGGCATTCTGAAAATATTCCATCGCTCGCGGCTGTGACGAGTTGTTTGCCTAAATTTCTGGTCGCGTTTTTATGACTCTTCTCAGAGATTCGCCTATACATTTTTGGCCAAGGACTCATGCGTATACTTCCTGCATTTAGCATCAGAAGAATTATCATCGTCTGAAAACATCTCCCAGTGACGTAGAATCGCACCACCATGACGCGATTTCTGGATTCTGATCAGATCGCACATACACACAAACACTCACGCCATTAACTCATTACATGCAAAGAGCTTTCGATTGCGCATAAACAGCTGCTGTGGGGCGAGCAGCTGATAAGCACAGTTATTAAGACTCGCCAAAAGAGAGCGAGACAGGGAGAGTGAGAGAGCATTGGAGAGGGAGAGTGAATGGGGCAGCTGCCGCTAGTGCACTTGCAAACACACACACACACACCAGTATGTTTTGCCATGGCAACAAAAGTTACATGACTTTCCGGTTTTACAGGTTTTGTTGTTGCAAGCTTTTTGGCTCTCTGCTTGGTCTCTCTCTCCCTTTCTGGTCTTCTGTGTGTGTGTTGGGGCTGTGAGGCTCTCCCACTCGCACTCAGGCAGGTGCCTAATTCGATTAGTCGAGCCGTCCCAACGCTCAGTCTTCAAAGAGAACTCGCCCGAGCAACAAGTGAACGGAAGAATCGGAGATCCGAAGAAACTGAAAAAAAAAGACTAAAGAAACACTAGAAGAACGCTTTAATAATATTGTGAAACTAGGGAAACAGAGCCAGAGTCAGAGTCAAGTGCTACGGAAACAGAGTGAATCGCGCGCTGCAGTTTCGCTAGTGTTTTCCTCAAGGACAGCGAATTTATTTCTGCCAGGTAGTGGATTGCGATTAACGGTTACAAACACCCAAAAACAGAAAAGAACAGAACCCAAGAACTTATTCAAAATTTCCATTATACTAGAGATACCTCGAGATCGGTCGAGAACGTAGCAGCAGCACGACGTCTGCAGACGTATTTCTTGGCAAGATCTTTGGTTAGACTTTGTGCCCGTGTTTGTTTGTTTGTTCGACACTTTTTTTCGCTCGCGTTCCCCGTTTGTTTGGACTTTGGTCGTGACTCAACAGAAATCAACAAACAGCCCCCGACAACCAGACCCATTAAAACACATATTATAGCCCCTAAAACTCGTCGCGAATTTGAGCCAATCTGCCTTGATTTAATATTATATTTGATTTGGTTCGGTTTGGGCGCTCAAAGTTTGCAGTGAATGTGTTATTGGGGCTGTGTGGACAGCTTATCTGGACTTGTGTGTGTGGAAACCCGACTCTCCTTTGTGTCTTTGTCCGGATATATGGCTCCTGAAGTTGGCCCCATTCTGGGGTTTCTTTGTTGTAAACAAGCTACCAGCTTTGGACATCGTAATCGCCTGATTTCCACGCGTTTCCATCGTATGTTTTTCGCTGTCGTCGACGCTCCGCAATTCGCGCTTTTCTTCGCCCGCAGCTTCGCAGGTGAAAGTGAAGCGGGGCGGCAACGCGTGACAGATGGCGTGATGTCTGGCAGTGTTTCGGGGTTGTGGGACTGAATGTGCGTGTGTATAATAGCAGGGACCAGCGATCTTAGGTGTCCCTCATCCTTGGCTACACTGGAAGAAACAGATTCAGTCTTTACGCTCGGATGTTGGGTGGCTTTCAAGCAAAACAGCTCATGGGAACCCCTACATTACCAAGACACGATTTAAATTTTTTTGTAAACCTACGAAATCTGTAAATAGGTAATATTTAAAATATATTTCGGTTTTTGTGAGTTATTTAAATTCCCATTCAATAAAAAGTATGCATTTTTTAGCGAAACTATTACTTTAAAGAAAGTGTGATATTAATACTTTCCTTAAAAATAAATGTAATACTCGAATACAATTATAAACTAAAGAAACAGTTGGATAATCCTTTTCTTCTTCCAAAAAAATGATTCATCCGCTTGGTATGTTTGCCTATCAAAATAGTTCCTATCAGCAGCATATCAAGATGTTATTTTTTAACACAATAACAAAAATATTTTGTAGAGGAAACTTAAAGATAGGGAAATTCTAGTTTTCAATAAAAATGTTGAAGTAGTTTCGATAAGATTAGAGGTATTGTGAAAGTGAAAGAAGTTTATTTACTAATAGAGCAAAAAAAAAAAAGGACTATTTATTCAGCAAACTAAAACAAAAACATTATTTTAACTAAAAAGAAAATTGCTAAAAGATTTTTAATTAAACAATTATCCCAAAAATACATGTTTAGCACAGGTCTTTATTTGATTTTTAATTGGAGATAATATATTTTAAGTGTTCTTTGTTGTCTGCGTTTGCTTATATGCAGATCGATCGCATAGCCTTATCTCAAATATTTTTGAATTCCAGTTAGTGCAAATAAAATACAAATAATCTAGTCAAGATTATCGAGTACGGATGGCCGTAGGCAGTACCGATATCGGCGACCGTTGGCCTCGCTGCCAAAAGCCAAAAATCTAGTCATAATTGTTTGCTAAAAACGCTTAATTGTTGTGCAATATTGGACATTGAACTTCGTGGCTATTCACTATTTATTAACGAACTTGTTTATCCGTCAAAGTGTGTGTGTGTGCGGGCTGAGTTGTAAAGCACACCGACCACTCGATATCGCGTGATGTCTTTCGGGGAACACACGATTAATTCCAGACTCACACAGTGTGTTTTATTCATTCGTGTTTTACCATTCCCAAACGGTAGAACACGCCACTGGTATCGATAGTAACCATAGTCGTCGTTGATAAGCAACGTTCAATGGGGGTTTATCACCCCAATTCTCCTTTGCAGACACTCGTAAATAGTTTTTATCCCAGATAAGCGGTAAAGTGTTCTTTGCCAGGCTTTAAACTTGCCCTGAACTTGTGGTAAATAAAATTAACCGCCAGCAGGGCAATTTATATTAATTGCAATTAAAGGTCAGACATAAATGCACAATTGCGGTTAATAAAATATAATCATAGTATACTTATAACTAATGATTAATATCCTATGTAAAGGTGACTCAGATATTTGCAAGACTAATATAAAAATATTTCTATAATATAAAGTAAAACCAACCATTTAAAGTAAAAAAAGCAATGTCGTTACGCATCTTTAACACTTAGGTTGTCTTTTCTAAGACGAAGACGCATTTTAAAGCCACAGAAACCTTTAGAATACGTGGCTTAAAAGTTTACTGACTAGCAGGGGCTGTGCCGACCCCTGATCTATACAATAAATCAAACAGTAGTTCATATCCCCTATACCTTGAATATATTGCCATACAATTTCACAATTTTATATAGAACGAATATATTCCCCATTCGAAAGGTATTTTTCATGTTAATACGGTTTGCTATGCCTCTGACCCGATCTGTAAAATATATACAGTATACACAGGCAGCTGCTTTGTTTATAATTTTCATTTCGCGCCTCCGACGTCACGTCCGCCGCTTGGCAACATTTGTGTTGTTTCTGCTTTTCTGTTGTCGCTGTGACATTGATGTTGCTGCGAGATGTTGCTAGCTTAGCTCCTCACCTCGCTCCGAGGCTTTGTCACCGGGCAAGACACTACGCTCACCTTGACTTTGAGCACAAAGAGCTCGGAACAAAAAAGGTTAAAAATAAACGAATGCAGCAATGGCAGTGATGGGGCTTCCAAGCACAGGATGCGGATGCCTCTGATGCAATTTGTCTATTTTCCGCAAGCACTTGGCGTTGCCAAGCCAAAAAAGAAAAAGAAACAAAAATGTCAGAATGCTTTATGGCCTATACAAATTACTCATAGCGTTTCCGCTCTACCCTTTACAGTTGCCGTATCGCCGACGAAGACGACAACGAAGCGGGTCCAAAGTATTGCCCGCAGAACGTGGTAGAATCAATTCCTTTGCCCAATAATAAGCGGCGCATTTGAACGCCGGTCTGCCCATAAAAATGATTGCCATATAACCGCACACCGCGGACGCAACCACACAAAGAGTCGGAGCTTTGCGATTAGACAAGCAGATTAGAGACCCAAAAAGGCTGTCCCCAGGAGAGCCACACTTTGCCGGCAAGGAGACAGGTCGAGGAGAGAACCACCAAAGATGAACAGCCTGGCACGAGTGTTCAGCAATTTCCGCGATTTCTACAACGAGATCAATGCGGCCACGCTCACCGGAGCCATCGATGTCATCGTGGTGGAGCAGCGGGATGGCGAGTTCCAGTGCTCGCCCTTCCACGTCCGTTTTGGCAAGCTGGGAGTGCTGCGGAGCAGGGAGAAGGTGGTAAGTAGAGGATTACCTAAAAATTAAGATATTTTCCCGTGTTCCCATCAAGCATTTCAGTTTAAGGAAATTAAAAATTATTTCTCTTGTACAAACCATTTTCCGGTTGTTCAAAATAGACAGATTTTCATGAAAAAACACATTAATTAAATTTCCCACCTCTGTTTTCAGGTGGACATTGAGATCAATGGCGCCCCCGTTGACATACAGATGAAGCTGGGTGACTCCGGCGAGGCGTTCTTTGTGGAGGAGTGCCTAGAGGATGAGGATGAGGAACTGCCTGCTAACCTGGCCACCTCACCCATTCCGAACAGCTTCCTGCAGTCGCGGGACAAGGGCAATGACACCATGGAGGACATCAGTGGAGTGGCGGCCGACAAGTAAGTGGGATTTTTACACCAATCTCCGCCAGCTTAGACTCATTCCGTTGCAAAACCATTATAGAAACGCTAGCGAGGAGCTTCAGCTGCCACTGCCGTTGCCGCGACGCAACTCCATAGACTTCTCCAAGGAGGAGCCCAAAGAAGCGGCCGTCGAGGGCGGCAAGTTCGAGAACCAGGTCTCGGACTACACGCAGCGCAGGTAGACCCAATGCCTTTTCATGTCCATTTCATCCAGAAGGCATTCCACTAACCTGATCGCTCTTCCTTTTGCCCAACACAGACACACCGACAACACGCTGGAACGTCGCAATCTGAGCGAGAAGCTCAAGGAATTCACCACTCAGAAGATTCGCCAGGAGTGGGCCGAGCACGAGGAGCTGTTCCAGGGAACCGAGAAGAAACCTTCGGAGACTGAGGTGCTGGAGAGCCAAAGCAAGGCGGCAGAGTCTGAAAAGGAAGTGCAGGTGGCTGACAAAGAGCAGGAAGCCAAGCCAGACCTAACCCTCACACCGGTCACCATTAGCGAACCCACCAAGGAGGTGGCTTCCAAGGGCAAGACCAAGAAGCGGCGCAAGAAGTCGCAGATGAAGAAGAATGCCCAGCGCAAGACCTCCTCCAGCAGCTCGGTGGGCAGTGCCGCCGGCGGCGATCTGGCCTCGGCGGAGACCGCCTCCGTGGGTGTGACCAACATCGATGAGGGCGATGCCCAAGTTTCCAGTGCCACTAACAACAACAACAATAACACCTCCTCGTCCAACGACGAGCAACCATCGGCTCCTCTGCTCACCGCCCACACCGGTGACGACAGCCCGCTGAGCGAGCTTCCCCACACTCCAACCACCAATCCACGCCTGGATCTGGACATTCACTTCTTTAGCGACACCGAGGTTTCCACCCCGGTGGTCGGTGGATCGGGTCGCGCCGCCGGCGGCCGACCCTCGACGCCCATCCAGAGCGACAGTGAGCTGGAGACGACAATGCGGGACAAGCGTCGCGGAGTGGACGAGGAGAGTGCTGCCGCCTCATGGAAGTGGGGCGAGCTGCCGACGCCCGAGCAGGCCAAGAACGAGGGCATCGAGGCGCAGATGGAGCGCCATTCGATGCTCAGCAACATGTTCAGCTTCATGAAACGCGCCAACCGGCTGCGCAAGGAGGTGGGCGTGGCCGAGGCCGGGGATATCTACCTGTCCGACCTGGACACCGGCAGTTTGGATCCCGAGATGGCGGCCCTCTACTTCCCGTCACAAAAGCCCAAAGAGCCCTTCTCGCCGCCGGAGGAGGATCGGGAGAGCGGCAACGGCACCAGCCTGCCGCACTCGCCCAGCTCGCTGGAGGAGGGCCAGAAGAGTCTGGACTCAGACTTTGACGAGGCCAAGCAGCAGCAGAAGGACAAAAAGTGAGTTTCCAATACACCATGATTTCCACGATACTTATTTATCCCTTGGCTAACCCTTCAGGTACTTGGACTTTGTGGCCATGTCCATGTGCGGAATGCCGGAACATGGCGTAGAGCCCTCGGAGCAGGAGTTCAACCGTCACCTGGTCAGCTATCCGGATGTAAGTATCCAAAAGCCCTGCGCTGTGTTCTGTGTATGTGTGTTCGAGTCCCATGCACTTCAATGCGCCCCACGCACTGCATCCCGCCTTGTTAACAAGTCTCTTCCCATGCCACGCCCTCATTCGCACCTGCGCTCGCTCTCAGGTGTGCAAAAGCCCCAGCATATTCTCATCGCCTAATCTAGTCGTACGGCTGAATGGCAAATACTACACCTGGATGGCTGCATGTCCCATTGTCATGACAATGATCACCTTCCAGAAGCCACTAACCGATGTAAGTTGCCCCCTGTACATGCCTCTTGTGTTGCTCGCTCGCTTCGGCTCGTGCTCTAACGCAAATTATTTTATGTCTGATCTGATCCCGCCTTCGACCAGGATGCCATTGAGCAGCTAATGTCGCAGGGCGGCAAGTGTCTGGCCAGCGAGGACAAGCAGGAAGCGGCCGCCCAGGCAGACAGTGCTGGGCAGACCAGGCGCTACTGGTGGAGCTGGAGGCGCTCGCAGGATGCAGCGCCCAACCATGTGGGCAATGCCCATGGCATGCCCCTTGGCAAGGATGAGAAAGGTAAGAATTACCTTTAATCATCACCAGAACTTCAGCTAAAGTCTTAATGTAATACCTCAGATGGCGATCAGGCAGCGGTGGCCACCCAGACCTCGCGGCCCAACTCACCGGACATCAGTGATCCAACGCTGAGCAAGAGCGACTCCCTGGCTAACGCAGAGAACACCTCGGCGCTGGTGGACAACCTCGAGGAGTTGACCATGGCCTCCAATAAGAGCGACGAGCCCAAGGAGCGGTACAAGAAGTCGCTGCGCCTTAGCTCCGCAGCCATTGTAAGTCCCGAGGTTCTTTTGGTCCTGCTGAAATCCTACTAAATGGGAAATTGCCCTGGTTTTTTTCAGAAAAAACTAAACCTCAAGGAGGGCATGAACGAGATCGAGTTCAGCGTGACCACCGCCTACCAGGGAACGACGCGCTGCAAGTGCTACCTGTTCCGCTGGAAGCACAACGACAAGGTGGTCATCTCGGACATTGACGGCACCATTACCAGGTCGGATGTTTTGGGCCACATTCTGCCCATGGTGGGCAAGGATTGGGCACAGTTGGGCGTGGCTCAGCTGTTCTCGAAGATCGAGCAGAATGGCTACAAGCTGCTCTATCTCTCGGCTCGCGCCATTGGCCAGAGCAGGGCGACACGCGAGTACCTGCGCTCCATACGGCAGGGCGATGTGATGCTGCCGGATGGGCCGCTGCTGCTGAATCCCACATCCCTGATCTCGGCCTTCCACCGCGAGGTGATCGAGAAGAAGCCGGAGCAGTTCAAGATTGCCTGTCTGTCGGACATTCGTGATCTGTTCCCCGACAAGGAGCCCTTCTATGCCGGCTACGGCAATCGCATCAATGTGAGTTGCGCCTGCCATTCCTTGGGTGTTTAAAGATCAATCCTAAAGGCAATTCCTTATCCTTGCAGGACGTGTGGGCCTATCGTGCCGTGGGCATACCCATCATGCGCATCTTTACTATCAACACCAAGGGCGAGCTGAAGCACGAGCTGACCCAAACATTCCAGTCCTCGTAAGTAGAGCGTTTCCTTCGATCCTAGCCTAGATGTATTCGCACATGTGTCTCTCTCTCTCTCCCATGTACTATATAGTCTATATATATGGTTCCGGTGTTGCTCATTACTGAACTCATGCCACATCCGATAACGTTAACCAAACCGCAAAAAAAAACCAACGCTAATTGGCTCAAAAGTCGTATTAACTTCATTTACGTAACGCTAGGTGTTTCCCCGACTAAGCTATGTTTGAGTGTACTTTCCCTATCTGTGTAGTATCTATTCATTGAACGAACTGCCCCAAAATGCACCCTCAATCGCAATCAATCTCAAATGAACGCCCGCCAAATCAAAGCAAAATTCAAGCATTCTCGGTGTTCAAATTTACACAGTGGCTACATCAATCAGTCGCTAGAAGTCGACGAGTACTTTCCCCTGCTAAGCAACCACGACGATTTCGATTACCGCACGGACGTCTTCGACGACGAGGAGTCCGAGGACGAGCTGCAGTTCAGCGATGATTACGACATGGACGCCGAGAAAGATGCTAGCGACTCTAACGATGACGACGAGGCCATCTATGACGATGATTTTGCCAACGATGATGGCATACAGGTGGACGCCTCCGGCAACGAGCAGTCCCCCGATGTGGGGGAGCTCATCATGCGGGTGCGCCGCGAGTCGGCCACCAAGAACAAGGTGGACCTGGCCCTGGCGACCAGATGGTCGTCGAATTCCCAGACCTAGTTGAGCTGCAGGCTGCAGCTGACAACAAATTGTGATAAGTTTTCTAACAGAGTTAGGAGTGTGTCCTATATACTAGTTATATATACCATAAATGTGAGTGCCAGATCTGCAAACTCCAAGTTTGCGGACCAGTTAAGTTTGGAAAGTATTCTGCAATAGCAGGTCTTTATGTTTAGCTTTAAGGAGATGAAATCTATAAGCAATATAAGCCAAGTTGACCAATAAAGTCTACCTGATATTTTCGCTGTGACGATGGTAATCTTTTATTTTGATGTGTGGCATGAGTTCTGAGCTAAATCCGGACTAGATTAAGGTAGCTTTGTAGCATATCCCGGGGCGCTTCTTTTTCATTGCCTACCCTCGGGCTGTGACCAGATCATAGCATAAACCCAGGCGCTGCACACGGTCTCATCCAGCATTTACTACTCTTCTTCAGATACTGCAGCATGACGTACATTGTTGACCAACTGTTCCCGCCGGTTAAGCACGACGAAGCCTCCGCGGAGTTCTCCAACTTCAACTATTGGCGCGATCCCATACCGGACCTGGATATACCCGAACTGGAGACGTCACAGGTGGCGCCCAGCAAGGTCGTCGAGATGGCCACCCTGCGACCCATTCCCGAGAAGTGAACTCCCCCCGCAAACCATACTATACACTTTCTATGAAGCAGATAGCGCTTTTCCCCATAGCTTTCCACCCCCCACTTCTTCTCTAGATGTGCTTACCAAAAATATGTCCCTATGACCCTGCATAAGCATAGCTGGCGGCCAGCATTCGTTGTTCGTTTCATCAGTTTCATTTTATATAGTATATTTTATTAAAATGCCTAGTTTCTAGTTAAATGTGGGTAGACTTGAGTTGTATTCCGAAATTGAGTTTATTTCTACCCGCAGTAAGTTCCTTTGAGACTCCTGCAAGTTCCAAGAAGCTGCAGTTTCAACTGGCAGTTGTGATTTTCGATTTCATTATTCATTATTATTTCCCCGTGTGATTTAATTTAAATTAAGTTCATTGTGATGAGGTTTTATTTGGAGTTTCTCTTTCTGAAAACTGTGCTCTAGACCAGACCTATGTATGTATACTTAACTGATAGTGTTTCAATACAAATAAATGCTTCGAAATTCTGAGAAAACTGCTCGTCTTTGTTTATGTTTACTTGCGGTGGTGGAAAGTCACCTGGCTATCTGATATCTGAGTGGCCACTCGATTCCCATGGAGGAGGTGGATAAACCACTCATTTTGCAGTGGAAAATTTTCAAATGTGGACAGCGGGGGCTCCTCATCTTCTATGACATCCCTAGGGCTGTGCGTTGGCGGGGGCGAATTTCATTTGTCAACGTAATTTTGCCAATTCAATTAATGCTCATTTAATGCAGAGCAGAAGCAGACTGACTCGGACCCGGACCGGGCCATCCCATCCATGCACAACAGCATACACATTGGCATACAAAGGCCCACGACGACACCGATGGCGACCAACGAAGTGGGCAGTTTAAGTGGCCACAAATGGAGGGTCCGTCGATCGGTCATGCAAACTCAGTGGCACATCCACAATTGGCTTTTTTTTTGTCTAGGGGGTTCGACTCTCCGAAAATAGGGAGGTGATTTGGATTTCAATTTTTATTTGTCTGAATCGGAAAAGATCAAAATTCTGATTTCTCCATTATTTTTATCACATTTAAGGAAGGGTAACGTTAATTCTGTGCAAAACGAGACACTTTTAAAAAAATGTTGTAGATGGAACTGCTAAAGTTTGCTAAATGAATTAAATACCCCATATAACAAAACATTTAAACAATTTTGTTTTTTATTTAAAAAATATTTAGAGGTATAGGAGTAAGTAAGATATCTTCATATAGCTTATTTTGTTTTCTGGGTTAACCGATAATGTATGTTACAGCCAGGAGAAGGTATCTCCCTTAGCATAAGGCACATCTTAATGTTTGTTTAAGATCAGCATCACCAAGCGAGTTGATTTAGCCATGTATGCGTCCTTCTTTCTGAGATAAAATGGTAATATACTAAACAGTTCTATTGTTTAAATGAAATTTAATCCTCCATCGCCTACAATTCGAAACACAATCTCTTTTCAATACAAATTTCGCCCAAGTGTATCCGAATCTAAGCAAATCGTAGGAAAATTTACGGGCATGATGTCTCTCCCCTCCGCCAAAGACCCCACCCATGCGAATCAGCATTATTATGTTTATAGGCTTTGATCGCACAGCCCCTCCAGACACACAATTGAAATTTAAGCAGATTTAGTAGCTGTTTATATTAATAATGTCGCTGCTTGAATCAGAATCAGCTGATTCGCGGCTAGTGGTTATGGTTTTGTTTGTAACGCACGGCCAAGTACAGTAGTCACTCGCCAAAGGCAACCTGGAGGGAAACCATTAATCCCTGGCTTAGTTTACCTGTAATTTCCTAGCGATTTACTACCTATTATTCAAGATATATCCCTATAGAAAATATAAAGAAAACCAGGCAAAAAGGACCTACAAACTTTTATGCCTAATTTAATCTAATAAGTTTTTAGTAGTCTCGATTTGATTAAAAAATTCCATAATGAGATTTAAATTACCGCCAGCGTGCGGTGGTGAGTGCAACTCAATTGAGCGCCACTCAGAGTCGCCCCACAATTGAGTGCGACATACTCACTTGGAGCGATGCTCGAAAGGTATAAAAGCGTCAGCCGGCCAGTGCACAGCCAACAGTTTCCTCCGGTTGACCACAGAGCGAGCAACAACATCTTCGAAAGAAACACCAAGACCAAATTCAGTATGAAGAACGCCATTGCCATCCTGCTGTGCGCCCTGCTGGGCCTGGTGAGTAGTTTTGAGGAGCAGAGTGAAAGCCTGAGGCTAACCTCCCATTTGATTTGCGATCACAGGCCTCCGCCGTCGAGTACAAGCTGCGCACTCCCGAGGATCTGCAGGCCGCCCGCAAGGAGTGCGGTGCCAGCAGCAAGGTGACCGAGGCGTTGATCGCCAAGTACAAGGCTCTGGAGTACCCTGATGATGAGATTACCCGCAACTACATCAAGTGCATCTTCATCAAGTTCGACCTGTTCGAGGACACCAAGGGCTTCAAGGTGGACAACCTGGTGTCGCAGCTGGGCCAGGGCAAGGAGGACAAGACCGCGCTGAAGGCCGACATCGAGAAGTGCGCCGACAAGAACGAGCAAAAGTCCCCTGCCAATGTCTGGGTCTACCGCGGCTTCAAGTGCTTCCTGACCAAGAACCTGCCCCTGGTCCAGGCCGCCGTCCAGAAGAACAACTAAGCACGCAGGCAGCACCCAGCACTTTCTACTCAATTCTAGAACCGCGACAGAAGAACATGCCATCGAAGGAGGGAACATTTTCCGCTCTGAATTGAAATAAAAACCATATAATAGTGCTTGAAAAGGAAGAGTGTTTCATTTATTTGGCTGCCACGCACATCATGAATAAGTTATTAGGCCTAGGTCCGCGACGACGAAGCTGGATCGGAGTACGGGATACCGGGCGGCGGACGTCCAGCATCATTATCATTCCCAAGAAAACCTTGTCCCGCCCAAAGGAAAGGCATTGAACGCTTGTTTAATTCGGATATATTTGTCATCTTTTCATTTCAGTAAAATGCAACTTCTCTTTTGTTTACTCTATATATTTTTTTAATATATAAATTCTGCACTTGCTTTTCTTTTCTTTTTTTTTTATATATATATGTTTTGTTGAATTTCTTCTTTTTCCAGCGTTCTTTCTGTCTTCTTTTGTATATATATTATTTTTTTATTATTATTTTCATCCTTCTTTTACTGAAGTTGCCATCTTTTAACTTCTTTTATTATGGATTTTGTTTCTTCTTTTCTTTTTCGTTTCTTTTTTATGTATATTTTTCTTTTTATTTTATATTTGAAAAATAAAATGTGTGAAAAGAGGGGTGTTTGGTGTATTGGGTGCTTCAAAAAACATTATAGCCAAGTCAAGATATATACGTTTTCCATGTTGATTTTTTAATATTTTTTTCGAGGTTTCTTTCTCTTTTTCGCCTTTTTACTTGCTGCAGATGCATTTTTTTTATATTGAAACGAAATATTTTTTCTGGCGCTTTCTCTTGTGACTTTTGTTTTCGCTTTTTTCTTTTTTTCTTATTTTCTGTTTTTTGTTTTATTTATTTAGCAAAGAAGTTTGGCAATGAAATAATGTTTTTTGAAATAATATTGTAAAAAAATCTGAAATCAAATATTTATTGGATTAAAGAAGAGTGTCGTTAAATCAAATAAAAGCTCTATTGGTCGTCCCCCAAGGCAATTTAGTAGTATGTTTTTTTTTTTAAATCAGTCAGTTTAAGTCTCATATAAAAAAAAATAGGTATGGTTCAAAATCCAAATATATTTAACGCAACACATGGTCCTTATTTAACGACCCATGTGGGCCTCTCTTTTAGCTTTAGTCAGTTAATATTAATATATCATTAAGGTGATCAGTTTTATATTTCTTTCTAGATTCCATTTACCCATTTGATTTCCTAAGAGAAAACGCTTAACGTAATCTCTCCACAACTCTCCATAGGTTATTATTGAAAGAGAGTTAGAAGTCTATGTGACTTGAGAAACTTTAAAAGAAGAGAAGAGAACTGAGATATAAGGTAGAGATTCGTTAAGGTAGAAAGCTGCATCAAAGTGTTATATATGATCCCTGATTTAAATGCATTTTATTTATAATAAATAATTCATTTTTATACTTAATTGTTCATTTTAATTACCCACTGTTTTTTACTAAAATGTTTGGTCTAAGGTATTGAAAGTCTCATAAAGAGAACCAGTATCCCAGAATTAATCCATATAGTTCTTTACCAAGCAAGTAAGCCACAAAAGCAGTCTCGTTCGTTAAAGTTCGTAGATGAGTTGAAGAAAATGAACAATACACTTACCTTACTACGGTTTTAATAAAACAATAATCAGTAGGGAGCATAGTAATTGGCGCGACCGCGGTAACCCCTTCTGAAACGAAAGACAGACCGGGATTAGCTTGGTCCAAGCGCAACCGGCGGGCGGTAGCCACTTACATTGCGCGTCGGGCGCCCCGGAAGGTGGAGTGACAGCACGACCCTCGGGAAACGCGGGCACCTCGGCCCCGGAAGCTGCCGCGGGCGAAGCGGTTTGTGGTGGAAAGGCCAGGGCGGTTGGTGCGCTTCGACATTACCTACAAGATGAACACAAAAAATACTTGTATGACACATTTATCGAAGACAAGGCAACCAAGCAAACGCACCTTGATTTGCCGACCCCGGAAAAGGGTCTCATTCATGGCCAAGGCTGTCTCGACGAACTCCTTCGATCCGAACTCGATGTACGCAAAGCCCTTGGGATGGCCGTCAGCCTTATTGCAGAGGATGGTGACGCGGTTGATGGTGCCACAGCCGTGGAAGTGGGCCTCCAACTCCTCGGCGGAGGCGCCATAGTCCACGTTGCCCACGTAGACAGAACGTGTGTCTATCTCCTGCTTCTCCTCGAGCGACAGCGGCACGGTGGCCAGGCCAGTGGTGGAGCCACCGGCCATCTGTTTGTCCACCTCAGACTGCATCTGCTTGATCTTCTCGGCCTCCTCCTCCATCTCCTTTACGCGCGCCTTGATGGCCTCCAGTTCGGGGTCGATCTGCATGTTGCCGTCGTCCTTGAAAGGGATTAGTAGTATCGGATAGATTAAGTACTGGCCAAAGGAACGCCCAAATCCAAATCCAAGCCAGACAAGGCGAAGCGACGCTTTGAAAATGGCGACTCTTTGTTGTATCTCGGTATCTCCCGCCGAAGCTTTGCCGGATGAGCTTTTCCAGGGAATTTGGTTGCTCGTGCTTTCGCAGGGCGGGAGCACCGAAACTGGTTTTTTGGCTCGCACTCTCTCCCTCAACTCACCTCGGTTTCTGCGGTAAGTTCGGCCTCCTGATCCCCGTTCGTCTCCTCCAGCGACTCCAGAAGCTGATCCTCATTCAGTGTGATATCTTCGTCAGCCATTGTTTTGTTTACGTTTAGTGGCGTTTACTAGTAAAGCTTGGTTTGGATGGCGCAAAAGCTCCCGGCGACAGTTAACTGCTCTCTGCCAAAGAGAGGGAGGGGGCGGAAAAAGAGAACAAAGAGAGTTAAAGGCTGAACGACCGAGAAAAAGAGCGAGTGGCCCGAGAGCGAATGCAAATGCGGTGAAATTCTTGGCACACTCAAAATGAACAAAAATTGACGTGGGAAAGTTGATTAACCTCGCCTGAACGTGGTTTTTCATTGTACACGGGATTTTACTTACGTTTAAGATATTTACGATACACGGGCTGCTGCTGCTGACGTTTTACTTCGCCCAAAATGGCCGCTGCACAGCGAAATTTTTGTGGACTTTAAACTGATGTTTCCCACTCTAAAGGCACCCAAATCGCAGCCTTCTCGTATCAATAAACACCTCGGATCTCTCTAGCACTCAATTCAAGTGTGTATTATGGTCTAATATTTACAAAATGGTCGAAGACACGTAAATTTTGCCACCGAAAACAGATTAATTTTCGCCTCGTTCCTAGAGATGACAGTTCGGTACAGTTTGTTGACAGTTTTTGGTATTTTTAGCGGGTGCATCTGGTTGGCAGCACTGGTTTGGGAACTCTGGTCCCACTGTCGGTGAAATTGACATTCAAAAGCCCTTCACTTGCCTTTCTTGTGAGGTTTTCGCTGGCGTTCCTTGGAAAATCTAGTTCTACCCGCCCCCGAGGCTACGATTCAAGGGTATTCAATTAGTCAATATAGCCCACACGACGCTCTTAATATAAAAGTGAACTTTTTTTTGTCCAGTCTGGCAGCACTAAAAAAGTAGCGCCTTTCGGTGTGACCAGCTGCCGTATATATAAGAAGTCGGGCGCATTAATCTCCTAAAATATAATAAAACAAATAATTTCAAATGAATGATTCCTCCGATTCGGAATACGAGGACGTAGAGTACTTGGTCTTCGCAGATTTCAAGAAATCCATCGAACCCAACGAGCTGAAGCACGAGGATGCGGCCATCAAGGTTATTGGGATCGAGAGCGATACTCCCATGGCTGAGGTGAATGGTCACATCTATAGGGGTCGCTACGAACACTCCGTGGGCACTAATTTGTTCTTTGAGAAGGACAAGCGGGAAGACAAGCCAGCCGGCGATCCTCTGTACGAGTCCGTGTGTCGCCAGCGGTACAAGTACGTTGATAAGTCTACCAAGGTGATATCCTTCGAGCGGACCTACATAGACAACTTGCAGCAGCTGCTGGCCGAAAAGTCGGCCAAGGCTGAAGAGGGCGAACAGGTGGGGCCTGAGCAGTCCCTTAAATTGAATATAACCTACAAGGAGGCGATAAACAAGTTCGGGGAGGATCCATAAGCGAGGTAAGGGACGTATATTAAAGGCAAATTACCATATTCAGCTAGATTTTTTTTTCAGCATGTTGGAGGGCTACTACTTGCCGACGGGTCCGCCCTTGCACCTAGGCAATTTCCTTGCCGAATACGAAAGAAAGCTATCCGGCGGCGACGGCGAATTGCCCTTCTTCCTTCAAGCCACTCCCGTGCTTATGGACGTCGGCGAGAGCTGCTCCTTGGATATGATCGACTCTCCAGAGGACAGCTCAGTCATCAACTTTCAACCCGGTGCCGACATCTATAGACCCGTGGTAACTCAGCCTCAGGAGGACCACCATGTGCCCAACACCTTTTCCGCTTTGAGCGAGCACAAGGCCAGGTCGAAGACAAATGCCTTCACCCGTACACCCTACTCCTACAAGATCAACCCGCTTATGTCGGAGGCCAACGATGTCGCGTTGAATGCCTACGAGCTGGAGATAAGTGTCCGTGTGTACCGGCCAGCTCGGGCCGCTCATCGGGGCTACAAGGTGGAGCTGCCTGTGTTCGCCCAGGAGTACCTCTGCCTGGGAAGCAACTACCTGACCGAGCTGCGGGACAAGATCAGTTGCATATGTTCGGGCAAGCGCTTTATAGACATCAGCCAAGACCCGGACGCGCCCTTGCCCGCCATCGACACAAATCCCGGTTACTTTTTCATTAACGATACCTTCTACAATGACATGCGGAACCCGAACAATTGCGACTACTCGGCGACGGTGATCCAGTGGGCAAGGAGTGCGCACGGGATGCAGGGCGACACGTTTAAGGTGCGACGTATGGAGGACACACGTTTTATCGACCTCACTGTGTCGCCTGGATCGCCGCTGCACTACCTGCACCACGGCAACTGCGAGCACCTGTTTGTCATTTCACAGATGGAGGTCCTAACGCCGCGCAGTAAACGCCCGGATCGCAGCCTGTATCCCTGCCCGCGCAGCTATAGCACCTTCAACCGCAGGACATGCTACATGTGCGGCGTCAACAGCTTTCACTTTATTGTCGAAAAGTCGTCGCGTCAGCTGCACGATCCCTCCTACCTGTGCCGAACCTGCTTCCTCAGTTTCTACTACGTAGACGGCCAGAAGGTAGGTCAGTTCAAGGCCTATCGCATCTACGATCACGATCCGGAGGAGCCTAAGGAAAACGAGGTGGCAGCGGATGATTGTTAACAGACTGATGTAAATAATGAACACTAAACTAGCGTTAAGTTCTTAATTTAGATAATTACATGAAAAACTTGACTTTTATTCGCAAACTCAATGAGTTTGAATTGATATTTTATTGTAAAATATTCATAGTTAGATTTAAATAAAATACACACATACATTGCAACAAGAGTAATTGGCATTGAGAACGGATTCATCGGTTGCCATAAAGCTGCCTAAGTTCCATGCAATCTAGATTGGCAAAGGGTTAGTGTTGTCCCAAGTTGGGAATACAAAAATGCAGACCGAACAATACTTTGTAGGCTTACGTCTAGCGTTAGTACATACACATATTATGCGGTAGTTCGATTTATACAAAAAGGATTTAGAGCATAGACTTGACCAAGACCAATGGAAAACAAACCAATAGACTAATTTTGGCCAATAACATAGTTATAGTTGTATAGTATAAATATCCTAGACGAGATACTAGTACTAGTGGGTACTTGGCAATACCATACAGTAAAAACCTGCACACTGGGCGTGCTTGTGGTGAGAGACAGTGCGTTTAGTTACTTGGGGCGTAGAAATGCATCGAACATCGAAAACATATTGCCAAACCGTCCAACAAATATATATATATATCATTACGAGTAACTGCAGGCTGTGATTCGCCCGGACATCTTTGGTGTACGTGCTTGCATTTGCGTTTCTTACTTCCGTGTTAAAGCTTTGACCAGCGGGCGCTAGCTCTGCCTAGCTCTGGAAGACCAGCTCCCGCTCCACCGACAAGTACTCCAGCATCTGGGCCGGGACGGGCAGCTGGGCCAGCTGCTCGCGCGACATCTGGCGCTGCAGGACGCGACGACAAAGGTCCTGCAGCTTGGGCATGTTGGCGTACCGGCTCAGCGGGTACTTAAGGATCACTGGGAACGGCGGCTGCATCTCGTTGGGCACCTTCACGAAGCAGACGAAGTTGTCGTTGGTGCAGCGGTGCAATATGTCGTCGATCATCTCCACTATTGACTCGTACTTTAGCTCCTCGAAGTGCCAAAAATCATCACGATACTCTAGCCTATAGTGCAGGGTCACATTTACAATGCGGAAGCTCAGCGTAAACTGGGAACCGCTCGTCTCCGAGTCGCGGACAAGGAACGATCCAGTGGGCTTGTCACTAAGCTGCCGCTGCGAGTCGCGCCTGGAGATCTCGCCCCAGTACCACACTTGGCTGAAAGCAAACAAAGAGCGTGAGTCATCAATCGCTGGCCAGTCAGAAAGCTGAGCTTACTTGAGCATCTCCGAGCAGGCCTTGTACATGACCTGGTTGGGTGAGTGGGCGTCATCGCGCTCCAGCCACTTCTTCCGGATGAAGCGCAAGTAGTCGTGCGTGAACGGCAACGTGGGCTCCATGCATATGGCCGGGGTAAGGAACTCATAGGTGGCATCCGTGGTCCCGCCATCGTCACAGTCGCCCATAGAGTGCCAATTGCGCAGGGAGCTGAGGCCCTGGCCCACCTTCCGGCGCAGTCTCGCGAACACATTTCGCTTCTCCCGCCGCCTGCGTAGGGTGCCCGTGGCCCCATTGCTGCAGCTGGCCATGGACGTGTCCCCCGCCTCAAGGACGCATACCTCGTTGTTGTTATTTTGGTGGCCTCCAGCTCCAGTGCTGGCGGATGCAGACAGCGCCGAGTCGGACTTCTTGCGCCTGGTCAGCGAGTGGAACCAGCCCTTCTTCTCCTTGTCCCTCTCCTTGCCCCTGTCCTTTGTGGAGTCTCCTCCGCCTCCGCCACCGCGCTCCTGGTTACGCTGGCTGCTGTGGGTTTGGCTTGGGTCGCCGTTGCTCATTGTGGAGTGGGATCGGAACGGAACGGCGTCCTCGTGGTGGTATCACATCATTGATCTAATTCGGAGCCATGATTAATGCCATAGAAATGGTGATAAGAATTATTTGTTTTTTTTTTTTGGAGTACACAAGAAGTGTGCAATCGTTATCGTTATCGTTGTCTGCAGAACGCTTTAGCTCATTTTTGGCAAGCGTTAGGACATTTTGGCGACTGGCTGCATGGCATCGAATGCATTTCAAATTAATTATTATTAGTGTTTTGTGGTCCCAAGTGTTGTCCATTGTCGTTTGTGAATATGGACAACTTCTCCATGAAGCTTGATTTGTCAAACTTTTTTAAGGATGAACGCCGACAGTCCCTAGTTTTTATTGATGCAAAGTGGCAAAACATCAAGGATGTGCAGGATCACATACAAAATCTGTTTAAATTGGTAAGTTGTTTGGGAAACATATGAAATATCGTATTTAATGTGTCTTTTGCAGAAGGATATTAACTTGCTAACAACTGATGGTTGCTTTCTGCCGCCGCGGGAAGCTATCCAAGTGCTTAAAGGAGCCCCGGGACTCAAGTAGGCGCATTTTCTCTGGTTCTCTAAAACTGTAACTCATCATTATCTTGGTCAACGCAGGGCTTTTAGATTCAGTGCTCCGGAGGAGAATGACTTCGCCAGCCCGGCTCCAGTGACCAAAACCAGCAAAAAACGCAAGTACACTTCAGCAGAGGATGAAGTCGAGCCGCCCAGCTCCACTCCAAGCCGCCCGTCGAAGCGTTCCAAAAAGAAGAGCTCGAAAGTGCCAGAGATTCCGGCAGTGACATCTCCAGAACTGAGCATTAGAGCCTTTGAGTTCCCGCTGAGAAGTTCACAAAACAGCACTAAATATGAGAAATCAAACGAGGAAGCATCAGCATCTTCGGTTTCTGGTCGTACCAGCTCCAAATCCAGTCGCACATTGCAAAATAAATCGGTAGTGGCGGCGGTTTCTGATCGTCCCAGCACCAAGTCCAGTCGCACATTGATAAATAAATCGGTAGAGGCGGCAGCGGAGGATCACAAGACCCTAGAAGAGGAACCTGCTCCGCAAAATGAGGTCCTAGCTCCTCCGCCCATCGTGTTCCGCTGCCCGCTCATGGAGCTAGACTCCAACACTGCACGCACTTTCGAACTTCCAGCTAAGAAGAACAACGTTGTTATAATTGAGAATATTGAAATTAAGGCGCCCAACGGATTTCATTTGGAACCGGTGGCCACAAAGAAGCCTGAGGCGACAACAGCCGATGTGGACATTGAAGGGGAGCCACAGCTTGCGGATGAAGAAGCATCTGAGCTTTTAAAGGCAGAGCCAAAAGCGGATAGTAACCATAAACAGGATGAGGAGCCGGAAGAAACTGTCGATGTCACCAATGTTACTAAAGCGGAAACACCTGAAATTGAGGAGAAAGTTGAACCAAAGGACATTTTACCATCTTCTGTTGTCCCTCCTCCCCCGGCTCGCTTTTGTGCGCAGAGTTTGTCTTCCGATTCCGACGACGACGATGTTATGGTCTTGGATGACACCAATGCGGACGACTCCGACTCCGATGTGCAGGCAGTGGCTCCCACTGAAGGTAAGTCCCAGTCTCAGCTGCACATGAGCGAAATACGAATTGTTGTTCTTACAGAACAGAAAAAGTCACGCTCGTCGAACATTATTCGCGACATGATGCAGAGCTCAGTACCCTTGGACGACTTGCCGAATCGGGGCGATTCTATAATCTTCAAACTGTTAAAGGTCAAGGGGAATCCAGGCTTAGGATTCACCGATTTTATAGCTGGCATCTGCAACTACGTCAACCGCCGCACCAAAGTCATCACACTGGAAATCATTTGTAAGACAGCCGAATAATTGTAGTCCTTAAAGTCTCTCTTTAATTTGTATCTTCAGCCTACCCATCGGAGTTCAAGCGCATCCTGAGCCAATACTCAAGCAGCCTGGACGATTCCGGTGACGAGGTCAAATGCCTAAATGTCAACATCAAGGATCTGAGGGAAACAAGGACTATCGTAGACACAATCGAGTGATTTGGCGTACATTATTGTTTGTTCTATTTCCAGGGGTTCGTAGTTATTTATAATTATGTATAATATATATAAAAAATGAAACAACATTGAAATGTACGCTTGTGTGGGTACCCCTACTTGATGTGCTTCTTGATCTCGTTCAGCAAGTCATCGGCCTCCTCGCCAGTCTTCACGCGGAGCAGTATCGTGGCCTTTGTCTCCTCGGGCGTGGGCATCCACACCATTAAAACGTTGTTTTTGCCCTGTCGATTGCAGGGCATCCCGTCGCTCAATATGAGGTTGATCAAGATATTACCCAGATTTGTGTCCGCCCGCACCACCAGCTGTGTCTTCTCCGAGTCTATGATTGGCTTCAAGTACAGTGTGCCAATGCCGCGGTCAACGTATTCGGAGTCCTTTTTTATATACACCTTGCAGCGCTTTGAATATATGGCATCATCCTCTTTGACCTGTTCAAGGGATAAGACAAGTTAGTTAACGATTAAGTAGCAAGCCTTAGAAGTCTATTTACCTGCTTGAACTCCACCTTTGGCGGCTTGTCTTCATCCTCCTGAGCCTCTTCGTCGACAACAGCCTCTGCTGCTGAAACTGGTGGCTTGATGTTGCCAAAGGAGAAGGGCGTAGAACCGGAACTGAAAGAAAATCCCGATGGAGCACCAGCTCCAGCTGCTTCGGCTGGCTTGCCAAAGCCCGAGAATTTCGAACAACCTGGCTTCTCTTCATTGTTGCTCTTTAGTCCAAAGCTAAAGCCATTTGTTTTCGGAGGCGAGACCACGGGCTCATCGTTTTTGGTGGCAAATGAAAAGTCATTCTTTTTAGCGGTAAACAAGGTTTCGCTCTTCTTAGAGCTACTCTCTGTGGGCAGGAAATTGAATAGGGCCCCGGGTTTCGGGACATCTTCCGTGGCCTTAGCCTCGCTGGCTGGCTTGGAAGAAAAACCAAAGATGCTGGTTGCGGCGGGAGCTGGGGGATTGGCGGCTGTCGACGGTGAAACGCTGGATGCGGTCGTGCCGAAGGAGAACATGGGCGTGGTGGATGTGGTAGTCGTCCCACCACTGGTTACTGTGCAGTTCGCCGTCTTGGCGAACGGCGATGTGGTGCCGCCGATAGGAGCGCTGGGCTTGCCTAAGGAAAATGTGGCAGTTGGCTTGGTTGCGGGCGAGGCGCTGGAAGCAGCAACAGATGGCAACGGCACAACAGGTTCCGAAGGTGTGTCCTTCAGCTTCTTCAGGTGCTCCGCGTAGCCCTCAAATACTGGGGTCAGAATGCAGTACACGCTCTTTTTCAATTCCTCCTGAAGAAACTTTAAGATGGACTTGTTCAACTCGGCCACGGCCTCGTGGTACTGGGATTCGCTGTTGCTAGAACTCGACGCGACGACGTTGGCGGTGGCGCTTCCCGACTTGGTGCTGGAAGGTGACGACTTGGCTACGGACGACAAGGACTCGCTACTCTCTTTCTTGGTGTTTGATATGGTGCCGAAAATGGAAGTCGTTGGCTTGGCGGCATCGGTGGTCGTAGCAATGCTGCTGCTGCTGCCAAAAATGTTTGTGGCCGGCTTGTCGCTCGCAGGCGAACTGAACGAAAACATGGGCTTGGCGGCCGCACTGGTGGTGGTGGTGGCCGTAGTAGTGGCTTTAGGTGCCGACAGATTGTCTAGGAAGGAGAAGGGCGATTTCGCGCCACCTATTGTATTCGCTTTGCCGAAACCTGAAAGAGGTTCATTTGTTAATACAAACTCACAGCACTGTAAACGCGGTTGAGCTCACCTGAGAATCCGCTGAACACGCTCTTCGCCTCAGCCGGGGCGTCCGCGGTGCCGGCGGTGGGTCCGCCGGTAACCATGCGGCGGGCCGCCTTCTTGATATTGCGTGTCTTGAGCACATCCTCGGGGGCCTGGCGGAAAACACCGCGCTCCTCGGGCTCCTCCTCTTGGTCCCAGTTGTCGTGGTTCAGGTTCGTGGTGGCCTGCCGCTTGCCAGCCATTTTATTCCAATCTTAGATTAAATTGCCAATGCCAGAAAATGCTGGGAAATGCACACCGCGTTTCTGCTCGATAAACACAGTATTTTCAGCGCAGCTATGAGCAGGCGCTATCGATAGACGGCTGCGCCCCGATAGGCCAGCGATTGCAATAGCCAGGGCTATCGATAAAGCAACAACAATCACACTGTACAACGAGAGAGACGCCAGCAGCACAAAATCGCAATAAAGCAAAAAGCATTAAATCACATCTACGGCTGGGTCGACCATGTTTAGTGCCGCGAATCCGCGTCCGAGTGCCTGCTCCAGAACCTGCCAGGTGGCTAGCTGTTAATGGCCCCGCCGCCCGGCCACTGCGCACTTCCCTTTGCCAGCGTTAATTGCGCTGCTCGCAGTACCAGCAAAAGCTGAAAAACCCCAAATCGCGAGAGGATGAGAACGCCAGTGCGTGGATATATGTTTGCGGATTGCAGTAGTTCCAGGGAAAGTGCTAGTGGCGACAATAACAATCACAATCCGGAGTGAATAATCGCGCAGAGACACGTATAGTGCAGAGGCGTTATCCTTGTTTCGTTTCTACTCGCTATCCCGCTCTACCTCTCCCACCACTCGCTCCTTGCCACGGCCTTGGGCGTGAGTTGGTGTGTGTCAGTGTCGCGTGTGTGTGTGTGTGAGTGTCTGTGTCCGTGAGTTAAGATTCGTATCCTGAGCAAAAATGCCGCCATCCCTGATAGCCGTGTCCGAGTTCGTGGAGGAGACGCGCTCCGATTACAGCTCGCCCACCACCTCCACCTTTGCCTCCCGGATGCCCGATTGCCGCTACACCGTTGGCGTGCTAGAAGAGGTGAGCTGGAGAGCCTTGAGGCTCGGTGTACTTTGTTCTCAATGTCCCTCAGGTAGCCCAGCGTTTCCCTTTATCCCCTGGCAGCCATCTCTCTGGGTTCGCAAATCAAAACAAAAGTTCAAGGTGGCCCCGATAAACAATTCACGGAATAAGCAGGTGTGTTCTGGGATTAGGAATCAGCCTTAGCCAGAATTAGAACGATTTCGTGTCGAATTCTTCAAGGGATTTTGAGAATCAATCTAGGAGAATCAATCAGCCATAAACGATGGAAATAGTTTCTTGAAGTATTTTTGGAGCCAGTTCCAAGATTCACAATCATAGAAAGCGGAAAGAATTGATATATTTGGTAATTTGTTAAAGCGTGAAAATAAATGAACCCATTTAATCAACCCATTTAAGCACCATTCTTGGGAAAAGCAACTTTATCTTGAATTATATTTGGATAAATGAGTTGATAAGCCATCGAGACATTTCAACTATATGACTATGGTATCTGATATCACAAGAAGTTTTGTATGGATACATTGTGCATACAATAATAATTATAATTATACAGTTTCATATCGAATAATTTTGATACAATTTTCCCTGTTGAATGTTTAAAAATATTTTAAAATGCATCTTAGGTTTTATAAACCCTATGTACTGCGTAGAAAACAGTTCAAACCCGAAATCGAATTCCAAGAAATTCCGTGAAAGTGAAAACCGGAGCATGACCATACGGTTTGGCCGTGCAATGCTGCAGCAAACGTGGTAGACGTAGACGACGCCCCCAGCAAAACGATGATGATTTTTATTTGCACAGGGGAAGGCAGGAAGGGAGCGAAATGATTTGTAAATTGGCTCGGCGCCAAAATGAGCCACCGCCTGTTATTATGACGCTCTCGCTCTCCCACTCGGCCACCAGCTGGCCCCTCTCTTTCTCTCGAGAACCGCCTGCAAGGTGGTTTTTCTCGGTTCCACAGAAATAGTTTGATGAAAATGCAAAGTGCATTCCTGGCTAAATCAATGCAGATGGGAGCGGGCGGGCACAGCAGAATAGGAGAGTCGGAGTGGGAGTGGTTGTTGCCACACGAGCATGCTGCAATTTCTATATTTAGTCGGAGCAGCTGACGGAGCCTGTCTCTATATAGAATCATAGCTCCCGCTCCCTCTGATAAAGAAAAGCATTCAACGCATATATGTATGTACATACGTTCATATATGCGGCCGGAAAAGGCCTTTGATAAGAAAAGCAAGAGCGAGCCAAGGCGAGGGCGTTGCGAGAGCTATTCCCGGCTGCTTAGCCAGGCACTTGGTCTGTGGAGCCGGAGCAGAACTCATCAACCGTTTTGTCACTACAATTTCCCCCTTGAGTGGCCCGATTCCGAGACTGGCTGGCATTATGCAATGCGTATATGTATACGTATGCTCCAATTCCCCCGGCAAATGCAGCTCCCGACTAAACAAAATTAGACTTAGATTTATTGGAACCAAGAGGCGTTCGTCGTCGCGTCATTCCAACTTCTCCGAAACAGAGGGCCGCGGTGCGCCGCCTTCTTGGACACACCACAGCATTTAATATTTAATTTCGCTGATGGATTTTTGGTGTAGCCCGGGCGGACTGCCGGTGACCTCCATTCCGCCAGTTATATGAGTTTTATTTCTTTTTTTTCGGCCTATCTCTCCCATTGCGTGTTTATTATATTGGGAGCAACTGTAAAACTGTCTAAAACGAAGTTTAATTCGGTTCAGCTCCGAGTTTCTCTGTATTTTTCATTCATTTAGCCGACTCACTAACAAAATGCTGCGGTTTCAGCCTTCTTCTGGGGCTTTGACTTGTTTAAAATTAGCATCTTTTGTTATCAAAACAGCGAAAAACTGGTCGAGAGAGGCAAGCCGGCTTCTCTTTGGCTTTTCTATACCCTTGCAGGGTATTATAGTTTTAGTCAGTAGATTGCAAAGCAGTAAAAATCCGTTTCCGACCCAATAAAGCTTATATATTCTTGAAAAGCTTATTTTTAAGTTGATGGGGTTACGTTAAAATTTTCAAAAATTGACCAAAAATTGCCTAACATTTTGATTTATTAAAATATTAAATTAGTTTTCTTTTCTTAACCTAGTAAAAACTAGCACTAAGAAGCTTTCCGAATTGAATTTGATGCGTTTTCAACTAAATTATGATATTTTATACTTTGGTTTGTCAAAATAATTCTCATATAAAGGTATGGATAAATTTCCATTAAATAAATTCAAAAATTTACGGATTTCTTAAAGGGTATTTTGACTTTATTAAGTGACCCCGTATGTATATATTTGATCAGAATAAAAAGGCCAATATTTCTAGCCATATCCGATCAATTTATTTGCCCCTTTTTTGTTAAAAAATTCGATAAGGGGTTAATCGTTAAAAGTTAAAAAAATTTACAAATATTTACCAACATTTTGATTTTTTTTATTTATAAATAAAAAGATTTTCGAACTGAAATTACCGCATTTTCGATCGATGCTATGGAAAACTGCAAGGGTATACAAATTTTGGCTTCCCGAAGCTAGTTTCCTTTCTTGATTGTTTGTGTTTTTGTTCTAGGCGTGCGTTGTTAGCATTCCCAGTAATTTACAGCTCCTAATCTGCTCATGACTAATCTTCTAGAGCGGAGCGGAGTTCGCTTGTCCCCAGATGTTTGCCATTATCGCTGCGGATCGAATTGCAATAGCAAACAGTTGTGCTTTCCTGGAGAGCTGCCAGTACAATAAAATTTAATCTAATCGAAAGAAGTATTTATTGGCCAGTTGCTTGCGTGGAGTTCATATTACATATTGAGTCCATTTCCGTGTGATTCCCAGGCCATTTCTCGTATCCCTCGACGGCTAATTCAATTTTTCAAACAACAACGTTTTGAATTGAAGGCAATTGGGGAAAGTCAATGGGTCAATAATGGGGGGAACAAACTCAAACAAACTTCTGGAAACGGATTGAAATAATCATGTTTTATGGGGTTCCGTTTCGTCTAAACATTACAACTCTTTGTATATAAACCAATAATACTCGAAAAGAGGGGCGTGTTTCATGGGGAAACGTACTGGAAATCAGTATTTTTCGAGTCTTAATTGGTGCATGCGGCTGCATTTCAAATGGGGCAGCGGCTCGTTCTGTTATTAAGTTTAATAATAGAAGTGACCTTGTCGCACATTTTCAATTAGCCAGTGCCATAAAACGTGGGGGAATACACCGCCGGAGGGGGCACAAGGGTTCAAGAGGCGCACTGAATACCTAATGCCGTCGATATTGACGCTCACTCAATTTCTGAGTATTGTTCATTTGGCGCCCATCGGTGGCGTTTCCTTTATTATTTTTGTCTGCCCTTTTTTGGCCGAGCTTGGTCATGTACTGTGGCTGCTCCTTTGCAACTAGGAAGGTTAATTTTTAAAGATGACTCACAGGAAGAGCTGAAAACAAATGAAACATCAACTTAAAAGATAACTATTCTCTTTTTGCAGCGCTTGGAGTTCGATCGGGAGGGTCTCACCAAGCTAAAAAAGGCGGTCAAGGCCATACACAACTCTGGGATAAGTGAGTACAGAGTCTGAGATAAAGCCTTGGTATGATTGCAAATCACCCTCTTATCTTTCAGCCCATGTGGACAATGAGATGTTCATGGTACGTTCCCTGGAGCGGCTGGGCGGCAAGGTTATCGAACAGGATGATCCGGACATTGGCGCCGCCATCCTCAAGTTCAGTGTGGTCACCAAGGAGCTGAGTGCCTTGATGAAGACTCTGGTAGATATCACTGGCTTGCTTCCAGCACTATCTCTGACCCATTTCGTGTTTCTGTTTACAGATGCAGAACATCAACAACATTGTTATGTTTCCGGTGGACTCCATGCTGAAGAGCGAGCTGCGCGGCGTCAAGGGCGATATGAAGCGCCCATTTGACAAAGCGGCCAAGGACTACGAGGCCAAGTTCATCAAGATCGAGAAGGAGAAGAAGGCCCAGGCCAAGGAGGCGGGCATGGTGCGTACGGAGATCGATGCCGCAGTGGTGGCCGACGAGATGGAAAAGGAGCGTCGTCTCTACCAGCTGCAGACCTGCGAGTATCTGCTCAAGTACAAGGACATCAAGACCAAGACGGGCATCGAGCTGCTGCAGCACTTTATCGAGTATTATCACGCGCTGAGCAAGTGAGTAGTGGACCCTGCCTACGTGGGGGATTGTATGCTGAATACTAATGAGACACCTGTGCTCTTCCCGTCCACAGCTATTTCAAAGATGGCCTACAGACAATCGAACACTTTGGCACTTATATCGGTGATCTGAGCGAGAAGCTGCACGAGATCAAGCAGAAGCAGGATGAGGATCGACGCAGTTTGTTGGACCTGCGATCCGTGCTGCGTAGCACTCCGGATTTCGAGCGGGTCGATAACGTACCGCCATCGGAGAACCGGGGCGGAGGAGCGGGCTACTCCCTCCACCAGTTGCAGGGCGACAAGCACCACGGCGTCACCCGGCAAGGCCATCTGCTCAAGAAGAGCGAGGGTAAGGTGCGCCGCGTGTGGCAAAAGCGACGCTGCCGGGTGACCAGCGACGGCTTTCTGGATATCTTCCATGCGGACGAGACCAAGCCGCCGACACGCGTCAATCTGCTAACCTGCCAGATCAAACCGGTGCCGGATGACAAGCGAGGCTTTGATCTAATTAGCTGTAAGTACTGACCCGCTGCGTCTTTCTTCCTCCAAGATCAACACTTTCCCGCCTTTCAGACAATCGTCCGTATCACTTTCAAGCAGAGGATGATGGCGACCAGAAGGCTTGGATGGCAGTGCTGGTCAACTGCAAGGAGAAGGCCCTGACCAAGGCCTTCCAGCATGCCAATCCCCAGATGAGCCCCAGCCTTGTGGAGCTGCAGAAGACGGTCATCCGCTACGTACAGCTGTTGCCGGGCAACGATCGCTGCTGCGACTGTGGATCCCGCAATGACGTCACGTGGATCAGCTTGAACTTTGGCATTCTCGTGTGCATTCAGTGCTCGGGCGTGCATCGCGACCTGGGCGTGCATCACTCGCGCATCCAGAGCCTCACGCTTGACAACCTGACTACGGCCAACCTGCTAATCGCTCGGGCCATGGGCAACAGCACGCTGAATGACATCATGGAGGCGAAGCTAGGAAGAGGCAAGCTCCAGCACGAGAGCAGCATGTAAGTTTTACCTTCTAGTTCCAGGCTGGACCTTCTGATGGGTTTGGTTGTATGTATTTCCAGGGAGGAACGGTACGACTTCATCCGCGCCAAGTATGTGGCCAAGCGCTATGTGATGCGGACCTGCTCCGATGACAACGATCTGCGCTGCGACCTGGAGCAGGCGGTGGTCAATGCGGACATGAGCCAGCTGCTGCAGGTGTGGGCCGAGGGAGCAGATCTCACCTGCTGTTTGCCCAGCTCGGATGCTGGAGAGACCGCCCTCCATTTGGCCGTGCTGCGCGAGATGGGCTCTACGCTGCATATTGTCGACTTTCTCATCCAGAATATGCCGCTCAAGGGTCTCAACAAGGCCACCAATCCGGCCGGCCTGCTGGATGTGACAGGGAAGAATACGGCGCTACACTTGTGCGCCCTTCACGATCGCCGCGAGTGCATGAAGCTGCTGCTACGCTCGGGGGCGGACTACGAGCTGAAGAACTCGCAGAACAAGACAGCGCTGGACATTGCCAAAGAAATGGGACACAATGGTTGCAGGGAGCTTGTAAGTTTTTCACTCCTCTCAGGGTGTATAAGCCATAATCAATTTGATTTCTTTGCCACAGATCGAGTGTGCCATAAAGCGGGAGAAGAGCGCCTTCGACCACATCAACACCGATTGGAATCTGCCCAACGAGGACGGTTCCACGGACTTTAGTGACGACGAAACTGTCATCGATGAGCGCGTAAGTAAAGCTTTTAATTCTTTTAAAATCCTAAAGCTGATTCCCGCTTTTCGTTTGCTTGCAGAAATCCCGTTCGCGTCCCCCCAGTTTTGCTGGCGGGGACTCGCCCGTTCTGCGCTCACGTTCCTCCACTTGCGACTCCATACAGTCCAGTTCTAGTCCAATCGCCAACTGTCCCAGCCGCCAGTTCACGCTGCCCTCTGGCCTGCCCAGCTACACACAGTCGGCTGGGACTTCGCCCAAGCAGCACATCAGCGTGGGCCAGTACCTGGGCAGTGCCAGCAATGTGGGCGGTGCCGGGAATGGCGGATCCAGTCCCAGTTCTGCCTCTAGCCAGAGCGTTCGGGCGGCGAGGAACAGCCTGAATATGCAGAGCGAGATGAGCAGTGGGCATGTGCCGGGCGGCGCCCGGAAATCCACGTCCACGGCCAATATGAACTCTCTGAAGAAGCGTACGGCGCCGGCACCCCCGCCCGGCACATTAGGCAGCGCCTCATCCAGCTCCTTTTATGGCACGTTGCCCCATCCGCCACGACACTCGCAGAACTTCGATGCCAGCGACATTCGCGCCATCAATCACAAGAATCAGTCGCTGGACGTGGCCTACGGCACCCTGCCGCATCTGCGCAGTGTGGAAGGCAGTCCGAGAGGAGGCGGAGGATACGGTTCGTATGGGGTGTCACAGGACCCGGGTGGATCGGGCAATGGGAGCAGCAATAGCCTCATGCCCGTCATGACCACCTTTGGCCATAAGCGTTCGCCCAGCGGCGAGTCGCTCAACAGGAATATCCATTTGGCTGGGGCAAAACTGGTCCTGCCGCCCACCGGGGAGCTGCCAACGCTAAAGCACGTGGACAAATCGGCCTTGACGCGGCCAAAGATTCCACCGCCAGGACCGCCATCAGGTTGGTATTTTGGTATTACCTTTTCAGCGAGTTGTAGGACTTACCTTTTCTCCCCCGCAGAACGTGAAATTTCCAACGGCCAATCGAACGAGAGCATCAGCTCTATGGACGAGGGTCCGGTGGCGCCTCCTCGCAAGGTAAGTTCTGACGAAATTCCTAAGTAGTGGGTGATTTTCCAAAGACCTATAGCTCAAAAACCCGTGTACCTCTTTCTGTATTTGATCTGTGATCCATCCGCACTTGGATTGCACAAACAAAAACAAACCATATGCAGCGCAAGCAACACAACGCACTGAGATGCCAGTCCAGCGAGGAGACGGTAAATGGCAAGCACCATCGCTCATTTGCACTTTTATTCTTTGACCAGCGAACAATTGAAGCCAGGGACCGTAATCATTATAAGGGAAAAGATACAAATCCATTTTTAATGATTAAAAATAATCATTAAAATAAAAAAAATCTTGAAAGATCGTCTAAATTCTTCTATAATTCTTTTTTTATGCGGCTTTTGGTTAATTTTGTTGCTTAAAAAATACATTGGTAGTCATTATTTACGGTCCCTGATTGAAACATATTCTCGTTGTGGCCGTTTCTGCTGTTGCTGTTGTTTCTCTACTAAGTGTCTCGTTTTGTGCATCTCTCTGCAAAGCTCTAACCCCATAACCCATGCGCCCGTGCCCATACTCACCAACTGTTCTCTATATTTCTTTGTGTGTTTATCTGAGTTTTTACTGACTTAATTCAAATATAGTTCTGTATGACTAATGCTTATGTCTTGCCACATCCTTGCAGTTAATTAATCAGTCTGCCAATTTTACTGACTACGAGTCCTGGCATACGGACATGGACAGCTCTGGGGGCGGTCTGGATCATTCCGCCGAGTCGAATGTGTCATCGAGTGACAACGATCGGCTTAATTCATCGCCAGACAATCCCTCGAAGACGGGAGGCGGCGGTTCAGGACTAGGCGGGAAATTCCATTATGTAAGTGGAAGTTCGGGCAATCCCTACTTGGGGGAGTACCTAGTTCTAATCGCAAAACTTTCTTAATCTTTTAAGAATGGCCAGCGACGATGCCGAGCTCTGTACGACTGCGTCGCGGACAACGATGACGAGCTGGAGTTCAAGGAGGGTGAGATCCTGATCGTGCTGAATGAGCGCACGGACGACGACAACTGGATGGAGGGCACTATCGAGGGCCAGCCGTCGAGAAGGGGCATGTTTCCCGTCAGCTTCGTCCACATGCTGCCCGACTAATCGGCGTTCTGCTGGCCAAGCGTGATTGTATATAGATATATATATATATATATTGATGTGTGTGAGGTGTATGCGTCTTTTTAAACTCTAATGATACATAAGACAAGTTTTTTTATTTATTATATTTTATCACAAAGCGTGCGACTATTTATATTTGCTTTGCCCAAGACTAAATATGTAAACATGTCTCAAGAGAGGAGTCATCTTACTCACTCGTATTTCAATTCCCTGATCTTGTTGTGTTAAGCTTTAAAACATGTCCTGCAAATGCTGTAAAATCTAACCTTATCTTAGCCCGAAACACGCTGTGCGCAAAAGTTACTCATTGTCAAAGGGGAGTGGAGTTGAAATGATTTGTATTGTATGCTTAAACTACATATATGCTGCCATATATACCGATACTAACGAAACTATCCACTGGAGGAGGCCCGACTTGGCTTACACATACTCGTACACAAGGATTCTAAATGTGTTGTTGATGGGGGAGGAGGGATTATTGACGGGAAAGTTTATAAAACAAACGTTAAGAGAGAATAAGAAATTATCCAAAAGCTAAACTAACCTTATAGCGAACCCAATGCTTATATATGTATACCAAGAGATTTGAGCGTAATTTGGCGAAAAGGCAACCATATAAGCCCCCTTTGTACCTAGAAGTTGTTACCGATTAAGAAGTACCCAATATATAAAAGGATATTAATATATTACAAATTATAGCGCTGTCAAAGAACAAACCAAGGTATCATCTACTATATAGATTCTAGACTTGTTTTGACCACACACACATACATATGATCGTTTTTTAAAAAGAAACCTACCTACACTGTACATAATAATTTTCGTAAGACACAAACCACAACTTTTTCTTTTCAAACACACACACACATATTTTGTACACACGTTTCAGTATTTATTTAGCAAAACCTTAAAACTTATTGATATTATATTTAAGTCAAAAATAAAAGGAAGAACATAACGCTTAATAAATATACACATATATAAGGTTGTGTTTTTACCAAAAATACAAGAGCTTATTTTAATTGTGGTATTACATGGATTGAATTAAAATATCTAATGAGTCTGGGTTAAGATTTAGGGGTTCTGCTGCCTCAGGAGGTGTCTCAGTAGCCTTGTCAATATTTTTCGGTTTCAGTTTTGTGAACTTTTTGAGTATCTCTGCATATTCCGCGAATACAGCGTACGAATCCCTCTGCAGAACAGTGTCCCCGGCAAGGTTGGAGGCCAGCAGCTTGGCCAGGTTCTTGTAGTCACGATTTGAGCGTAATTTGGCGAAAAGGCAACCATATAAGCCCCCTTTGTACCTAGAAGTTGTTACCGATTAAGAAGTACCCAATATATAAAAGGATATTAATATATTACAAATTATAGCGCTGTCAAAGAACAAACCAAGGTATCATCTACTATATAGATTCTAGACTTGTTTTGACCACACACACATACATATGATCGTTTTTTAAAAAGAAACCTACCTACACTGTACATAATAATTTTCGTAAGACACAAACCACAACTTTTTCTTTTCAAACACACACACATATTTTGTACACACGTTTCAGTATTTATTTAGCAAAACCTTAAAACTTATTGATATTATATTTAAGTCAAAAATAAAAGGAAGAACATAACGCTTAATAAATATACACATATATATGGTTGTGTTTTTACCAAAAATACAAGAGCTTATTTTAATTGTGGTATTACATGGATTGAATTAAAATATCTAATGAGTCTGGGTTAAGATTTAGGGGTTCTGCTGCCTCAGGAGGTGTCTCAGTAGCCTTGTCAATATTTTTCGGTTTCAGTTTTGTGAACTTTTTGAGTATCTCTGCATATTCCGCGAATACAGCGTACGAATCCCTCTGCAGAACAGTGTCCCCGGCAAGGTTGGAGGCCAGCAGCTTGGCCAGGTTCTTGTAGTCACGCTGCATGAGGCAATTCCTGGCCAGACGCAGCTTCTCATTGGTGGGCGAGCGGTTTTTGCCGTAGTATAGCTCGTAGTTAATAGGTCGAACGCACGATGTGTTCTTGTTCAGCCAGAAACTGTCAATGGGATTGGTTGCGATCTCGAGAGTGCGTTTTAGGGCATTGCTGGGAATCCTTTTGGCCGGATAGCTCGCAGCATTTATTTTCCTTTCCGGCTTCTTTTTGTTATTTGCCTCTTTTGCCTTCATCTTGCCAGATGCGTTTGGAGAAAGCTGGGAAGAGGTAAACAAATGCGCCTTTTTTACTTTGATTTGTATACGAATAAATGGTTAATTTTACACTTACCTTTTATAAATAAGCACAAATTCTCTATTTAAAAAATTAAAAACATCTGACATCTGCTTAAACAGCGATAAACAATGTTAACCCAACTAACATTAAAGGCGTTTAACAGGACTCTGGATTTAGGTGTTTTTTGACGGTCCTAGCAGAAATTGTAGGAGGAAATTTAGAAGCTTTTTCGAAGCATGTATAATTTAAAAATTAAGCTAAAAAGGGGTCAATTCGCTGTAAAAAATTGTTTGTTTAAAAAGTTGGTCTATCGACGACGACGTGCAGCTAGTTTTTTTTATCGATACTTTAGTATTTTGTCCGGGGTTTCAGTTTTAGGTGTTTTTAGGGGGAAAGCCAAATTTGCCTCTGGTCACATCCTTACTACAAAGCAATATTTTTAGGGTTGTCGAAATTTGAAAAAAATATCGTATCGATGATATTTTTTTTTTTTGGGAAGAGATGATAATAATATTTAAAATATCAAAAAAAAATTTCGATATATTTGATATTTTTGATATTTTTTTGTTAAATAAAAAAACATGGTTTTTCTGCACAATTAGAGGATTCCTTTAACTGTTGACAATTTTTCTTGAATTTTCAAAGATTCTGCGATTCAACAGTTAAGGGAATACTCTAAATAAGAAGACGACAAGTTTCTGCATGTTTATTTCGCAAGTGCGACGACAAGTTTGACCAATTTCCACTCGTCTTAATCACTTTTTCGCAAAGCTTCCACTTCGCTGTGCCGTTTGTTATGTTTATGTAATTAGATTTTACATTCATATTCTTTTTTTTAAAAAAAAGTTTCCTTTTTCCATCGAAAGAAAAAATATCAAAAAATATCAAAAAAAATATCATGATTTCGATATTTGGGCAAAAAAATTTCACGATATAAATATATCGTTTTCAGACAAAAAATATCGATATATTGATAATTTGATATATTATCAACAACCCTAAATATTTTCCGCATGCACCAAAAACCCAAATAATGCAAGAAGCGACATTATAATTGCTAACCTGTCTTAATTTGGATAGCCCTTGCAACATTGCCAGCACCTGGGACGTGACACTCCAAAGAGGCCACTCTGCGTCCGGAGATTGCCAGAATAGTGCGTTTGCCTTGAGGTCGAGAGTTGCCAATTTGTTGACGGCCAAGTGCAAAAATCGTGAAAAAAACATCATCTCTGGTCGCTGCTGTTCTTCCAAAACGTAAGTAACCAGCGAATTATATTTTAAATATGTGCGAATAGAGCCTGCAAACATTACACCAACGCACCGTGCAGAACAAAGCCAACCCGGTGCAGGAAAAGGAGTCGCTGCAGCAGGAGTAGAGGCGGAGAGGCGATAAGACCGGCCGGAGGCGCACGCAATCAACCCTGCGGCCAGCTGGGGCCCGAGCTATGAGCGCGGCCAAGAAGTACAAGCCCATGGACACAACTGAGCCGAACGAGAACACCGAGAACATCGCCGCCTGCCTGAAGAAGGCCGAGAACGCCGCCGCCGCTGCAGCTGCCGCCGCCTCGAGCCTTGGCCGTAGCGCCTTTGCCGCCCAAAACATGAACTCCGCCTCGACCAATGGCGAACGCCTGCCAAACTTCTCCAAGCTAGGCGGCGGCCACCATGGCGAGATTCGCGCGGCCTCAACTACCTCAAACCTCCTCAACCGGATGGGGGCCATTCACAACAGCAAGCCGGGCGATGTGAAGAAAATAGTGATAAAGAACTTTAAGGGTAAGTTTGTGGTCAGGCCTTTAAAATCCTCCACTTGACTCATTTGCATCCGTAGCTAAGCCCACACTGCCAGATAACTATTCAGAGGACACGTACGTGAAGCTCGAGGAGGCTGTTATTGCCATTCAGCTCTCGAAACCCATTAAATATTCGCTGGAGGAACTCTACCAGGCCGTGGTGAACATGTGCAGCCATAAGATGGACGCGCAGCTGTATACGAAACTCAAGGAACTGACTGAGCAGCACGTGAAGCGCAATATAAAGCTCAAGGAGCTGACCGGTGGCAGCATGGACAAACTGGTAAGTAGTTGGCTATGAGTAGGGGGAATGCTCTCGATCCCAACAACGAATATCATTGCAGGTCCTGCTGGAGAAGATCAACCACTGGTGGCTGTCGTTCTGCCAGCAGATGATCATGATTCGCAGCATATTCCTGTACATGGACCGGACCTATGTGCTGCAGAACTCGTCGATTCACTCGATTTGGGACATGGGGCTGGACCTCTTTCGCATCCACTTTGCCCAGAACAGCGTCGTCCAGAAGCGGACCGTGGACGGTCTGCTAACGCTGATCGAGAAGGAGCGCCAGGGCTCCACAGTGGATCGCGGCCTGCTGAAAAGTCTGGTCCGCATGCTGTGCGACCTGCAGATATACACCAGCTCGTTCGAGGAGAAGTTCCTCGATGCCACCAATCAATTGTACAAGGCTGAGAGTCAACGCAAGATGCAGGAGCTGGAGGTGCCCGAGTACTTGCAGCACGTCAACAAGCGTCTGGCGGAGGAGAACGAGCGTTTGCTGCATTATCTGGACTCGAGCACAAAGTATGTGCCATACTGGGAGTTTCCTTATCGAATTATGATTATTGCAATGATTATTCCCGCAGGCATCCTCTGATTTACAATGTGGAGAAGGAGCTGCTGGCCGAACACCTGACATCCATTTTGCAAAAGGGCCTGGACTCGCTGCTGGAGGACAACAGACTGAGTGACCTAACCCTGTTGTACGGCCTGCTGAGCCGGGTCAAAAATGGAACTTCAGAGCTTTGCGGCAACTTCAACGGATTTATAAAGGTGAGGATTACTCTTTGGGACCCTAATTCGAATAATTTGTACTCTTTCACTGTAATTATTTCCTAAAGAAAAAAGGACGCACTATTGTCATCGATCCGGAGAAGGACAAGAGCATGGTCCAAGACCTGCTGGACTTCAAGGATAAAATGGATGTCATCGTTCGCAACTGCTTTGAGCACAACGAGAAGTTTACCAACTCGTTGCGCGAGGCCTTCGAGTTCTTTATCAATCAGCGTGCCAATAAGCCGGCCGAGCTCATTGGTAAGTTTCCACTATCATTGCCTGCTCTTCCGAGACATGTAACCCGGTTCCTCCATTAGCTAAATACGTGGACATGAAGCTGCGCTCTGGCAACAAGGGCACCACCGACGAGGAGCTGGAGAAGACCTTGGATAAGATAATGGTTCTTTTCCGCTTCATACACGGCAAGGATGTGTTTGAGGCGTTTTACAAAAAGGTAGATGTCCTCAACGGTTCATCTTTGCACTTAATTAAGTTCAATTTTTCCTGCAGGACTTGGCCAAACGATTGCTGGTGGGCAAGTCGGCCTCGGTGGACTCCGAGAAGAGTATGCTGTCCAAGCTGAAGCAAGAGTGCGGCGGTGGCTTCACGTCCAAGCTGGAGGGCATGTTCAAGGACATGGAATTGAGCCGGGACATCAACATTGCGTTCCGCGGCCATGCGTTGAGCAATAACAGGGACGTCCATAACCTCGACCTGTGCGTGAGCATATTAACCATGGGTTATTGGCCCACGTATGCTCCCACAGAGGTCACCATGCCGCCTCAGTTCATCAATCCGCAGCAGATATTCAATAAGTTTTACTTGGAGAAACACAGTGGCCGAAAGCTGCAGTGGCAGCCAACGCTGGGCAACTGCATGCTGCGGGCGCAGTTTGATGCGGTAAGAAAAGTCTAATCTGCTTTTATTGTCTAGAAATTTATAGTTTATTGCTTGTATAGGGTCCCAAAGAGCTGATGGTCTCGCTGTTTCAAGCGCTGGTCTTGCTGCTGTTCAACGATAAGCCAGTCCTTAGCTACGAGGAGATTCTGGCCGCCACCAGTATCGAGGATGGAGAGCTGCGCCGCACGCTTCAGTCTCTGGCCTGTGGACGCGCCCGGGTCATTACGAAAACGCCGAAGGGTCGCGATATCGAGAATGGCGATCAGTTTGATTTCAATAATGAGTTCACAAACAAGCTGTTCCGCATCAAGATCAATCAGATTCAGATGAAGGAGACTGTAAGCTCATTCTTATTAGCTGGTTACTGCTTTTTATATATATTTATTATTATATATTTCAGAATGAAGAACAGAAGGCCACAGAAGAGCGCGTTTTCCAGGATCGACAGTATCAAATTGATGCCGCCATAGTGCGCATAATGAAAATGCGAAAAACGCTAAGCCACAACCTACTCATCACCGAGTTGTTTAATCAGCTCACCTTCCCAGTCAAGGTGAGTGTTTAGGGGGAGATTATTTATCATTATTTTTTGTCACTCCTAATTTGTATTCCTTTTTCTACTTCCATCCAGCCTGCGGACTTAAAGAAACGCATCGAGTCGCTCATCGATCGCGACTATATGGAACGAGACAAGGACAACCAGAACCAATACAACTATGTGGCCTAGGTAACACATCCACTATTCGATTCGATTGTAATTCGTATTCACCATAAATGCATACATACTGAAAGTCGGATGAAATGTTCAAGGAGTTCTGGTTGCGTTTCTTCAATAACTATGTAGATCATTTACCACAAAGCCCTCCCCGCTATTGGTAGTCTAGTTGCTACAGTTCTCTTTTTGTAAGTTACCTTATCAACCAATAAATTAAGCGTTTTAATTTCAAGCCAAGCGCGTCATCCCTCGAAGAATTCACAGTGAATAAAAATCAGAAGGGAAATTAATTGTATTCGGTTTACAGTTTAATGGATAATTGATGATTCTCCTTCAATTAATTAATTAGAAGGGAGGAGGACACTTGCAGGCTAATTTTCTAATGGAAATATTTAAAAATAATTATAACTCGTAATCGTAACTCTGTATGTCAAAACGAATACGCATAAACTAAATAGTTTTTTATTTACCATAAATAAAAAAAATTACGTGAAAACATTAAAGTGCACTGTGTGTGAGTGTTTCATTGGCTTAATTATTACAATATTTGCCTCGAAAGATCACCTTGTTAAGCATTCAGCAAAGAAGGATATCAAAGCTGGGAAAAAATCGATTTCAACAACAACGATCCTGATTCGGTTTTAAAAGAATCAATGTATCATAAAATATAAATATCAAACTCAGTATTAATTTTATCTCCTTAATTTATTCATTTACAAATTGGTTTATTTATTTAATCGACTTTTTTTTCTAAAATATCAAAATCAATGTGTTGAGAACCGATTTTTTCAAGCTTTAGGTTATAGTATATACATTTTGGTAACGGGTAAAATTAGGAAATTAGGTAGACATATATATATATACAGATCAGAAATAAATATTGCAGGGTCATACATATGTATAAAAAACGACATTGAGGCTGGTTTAGGTATCACAATTTCTCTCCTCCGCGTGCAAATTAAAGCCGCCAACTTGCAAAGTTCTCAGTGGCTCTTCCTTAGATATTTTACAAAAATATATAAATGTGACTTCGATCGGTCGGTAATACCATTTACGCCTCCACGCTGTTGACGCTGTACTGCGAGCTGTCGTACTCGGACACGCTGTCTGAGCCGTAGCCACCGAATCCGGCCACCGGGGGCCTCACGCTACCGCTGCTTCGTATCCCGTGATCCCGCAGCACGTCCGGCACATAGATGGGCGCCGGTCCGGCAATCTCAACGATGCTGGGACGCCGCGTAGCCGCACAGCGTTTAATCGGCGACATGAACGTGAACAGTGTCAGGGTGATGGCCAAGGTAATGATCAGCAGCAGAAACCGGGCCATACCGTCGTCGCCGCGGAAGTAACAGAGCATGGCCATAACCAGCACCAGGATCACCACCGAAAACTTGGTCATCGTAACAGCTGTCGAGTGGATCTTGCCGCCCTTGCGTGAGATCATGTTCGAGGGTCCGTAGGCGAAATACAGATTGTGACGGTCCACGAAGTGCTTCAGACAGATATAGACCATGGCAAAGGGCATGATGATGGGGCAAAAGATGCTGTATACGATGGCAATTGTGAAGACGAGCGTGGTCCAGGCGTAGTGGGTGCCGAAGGGGAACTCGATCAGGATCGACTTGCGGATGTAGGGGGTCTCCGCCTTCGAGTTTGCCTTCAGCAGCGACCAGATGTAGACGATTAACTCCGGGAAACGCAGCAGCTCCAGCGCCGTACCGATAAATGCAGCCGTGATGATGTAGTTCACATAGAAGGATCCGCGATCCGGCAAGAAAATGCACTGCCAGCGTCCAGTCTCGTTCGTAAATCCCCACTCCAGCAGCGCCTGGGCCGAGGTCAGTCCCAGGGAGGGCAAAATCAGGATCATGAGCAACAAATAGCCAAAGCACTTGGTCATGATCGAGTAGTTCTGCTTGGAGCGAGTGTAGTGCCCCATCCACTTGTCCGAAATGGCCACAATCACGGGCATCAGGGCGGCCAGTGTCCACAGCATCAGGGTGGGCAGGAACTCGGAGACCAGTGGCGAGATCTTGCCCTCCGTATCCTTCAGCCAGGGCCGACTGTTCAGTAGGTTCACCACCATGGCCGGAGTGGTCAGGAAGAAGAGTACCAAGAAGAGCACGACGTTCACGCAAAAGAACTTCAGGTACCAGTGGCTCTTGTTCACGTTCAGGTTCTCCCAGAAGAGGTCATCCGGCGAGGGGGCGAACATCATGTGCCACTGGCGGTAGGTGCCTGGCGTGAAGTGGGTGACAATGTTCTGCGCCTCCTGTACAGTCGACACGGTGAGGAAGGCAATGTCTAGGGGCTCGTTCATCGTAGAGGCGCGTAGCCGGGCCACGTCCCCTGACAATTTCCTCTCCTCCCTCTGGTAGTACTCGTAGGCGTTCTCCTTTTTGCACGAGCACATGTCGGGCTTGGCCTGTTGAATTTGAAAAAAACATTTTATAATATGACATTTTTTCCTTAAGATATGGTTAGCAAGAGAACCTACCATGAGGGTGTCCTTATCCCGATGATGTTCGCAGTACAAACGAGCCTCGTGCACTCTCTCAAACTCTGCATTCCTCACATATAGCCGCGAAATGTTATACGCTATGGTTACGTTCTCGATGGTGACGTCCGGGAAGAGCTCCTGCATGTAGTTCCGCACCACGGTCTTATTACGATCGCTGGACGAGATGTTCGATATCATAATGGTCCTGGTGGCGGCCTTCTTGAAGGCATTCCTGCCCGAGGCTCGCCGCATGATGAGCACCACGAGCGGAATGTACAGAATAGTGACGATCGTATGCACCCACAGCCACGGAGAGTCTGGCGAGAGATTGGCCATCGTGGTGCGTCCGAATGCATTTACATCGTACGACGAGTCCGTGGGTCCGTTCAGGAAGTTCACTGGCAAAATGATGGCCAGCGAAACGACGGTCACCAGAGCCATGACGGCCATTAGGTGCTGCTGGAAGGACAAGTAGTGCACGGCATCCGGCCCAGTGTGCAGCAGAATCGTTTCCTTGCGCAGCTTCAGCGTGACTCGGATCCAACCGAAGAGACCCTCCTCCGGCTGCACGGGGGACAGGGGCGTGGAGTCGCCGGAGGGCTGGGAAGCAGAGCTTGGTCGCGGCGAGGCCTGTGCCGCTGAGGTGCTCGGTTGCGGATCCACCACACTGGCGGCCCGCGAGTAGAAAATCTCCGTCCAGCGCTTTTTACTTCCGTTGCTGTTGACCAATGCCAAACGTCCAAAGTCGCCCGCCCGGTGACGCAGCGTCGTGAACAGCATGATGAGCAGCACCCAGAAGATGGTGTTCAGTATCAGGGTCTCCGGTATGCCATTGTAGGCGCTGGTGAAGAACGAAGTACGGTTCCCCACTGCCTGGCAGTAGGAGTTGTTCGAGGGGTCCGACATCGAGAGCAGCTGCAAGTTACTCACTGGAAAAAGCACACAAAGAGGAGGTGGTGGCAATTACTCAATTACCATTGTTTGTTCAGCGCTCGAAGAGGTGATAATGTATTGGCGGGGGAAGCCTAAGCCTACGCCAGCAGCTGATAACAAGAGCCCAGCTGATCGGCATTTGACTGCAGACTATGCATGCCCTCGAGATGGATTCTTCTTTACTGGGTCACTCGGTCAAGCTAGACAAAGTCCACTGTGTGTAACCCCAGACCCAGATGCTGGTCTACGAGATAACTATGTCTGCGGTAACAGATTGGTCTACTTAGTAGATATTCTTTGTGCGCGTATAAGTGGGGCTCATAAATCCCATTTGCACACCGCAGATACAGCGTATCTTGTGGGGAAAACAGAAAAAAGCAAAACGAATGGCGAAAGGCAACAAACAAAGACCGAATCTACAAAGTCGGATTTAGAAATGATATAATAGACGTTGAATCAAACATGTTTTAGGGGCATGGGCTCAGCTAAGCTAAAGGGGGTGGAAAGGGGGTGGTTGCGGGGCCACCAAGACCACCGCCTTCCCGTCTGCTCTTCATCGCAGATGCGTATGAATCATCGGAAGTACATTTTCGCCTTGGCCCTGTCGCGTGGCAGTTGCTCAACTGCAAAAACAAAGACACACACTGCACTCGGTGGCTACTTAACCATTGTTTGTGCTTATTTAATTATTTTTCACTATTTAAATGCTGTTGGTGTGTGTGTTGGTGTTGTCATCAACTTTCTTTGGCTTCGCCTTGCTTTCACTCTGCGATTACGGCACTGAACTAGCAGTAGATCTCTACCTTGGTGGCCAAAAATGGTTACTCTTCAGTGGCACTTCCGGCCTGATTACACATTAAAAAGCTGGTTTACACTCTTTCAATTTCACATCAATAAACAGCAGCTGCAGTTTTGAGTCGTAAAAATTGTTCGCAATATAGCCCCGTTTCGCTCTCTCACTGTTGGAGATGTGCCTATCGCGTGCATATAGTGTTGTTATCGATATCAATATCGCTACGTAGGTTTGTGTGTGGGGATTTTGAAAACTATTAGCTTATTTATTACAAGCTTATTTGCATAAACAAACGAAAATGTTAACATTTGATGTGTAAAATGCTGTTAGGTTTAACTATAATCCAAAATGTTAACGGTAACTACTATAGCTTCTGTTAACAAAGTTCCACCACTAACCAAATCGCCAGGACAAGCAATTGCAACCCTGTGTTTTGAAATACGCTACAAATTTTAAATAGTTTTCGTGTTTTTATGTATTTTTAACTAGACTCTAGCAGCATTTCCGTTTACTTCTTTCCTTTTGGTATGTCAAAATTATATCAAAATACTCTTTGCAGTTGTTTATTTCATTAACTTTCACAGCTATACACTAGGAGACATTTTCAAGACTTGTGACTTCCATTTCGGTACCAACAAATCGTCCGCCATGGTCTCTACATCGCTATCTGAGCCGCGCTTCGATATCAAGCTGTTGTCCGGCAAGACAGTGGTCATGGTGGAGTGTCCGGGCTACGAGACCGAGCTGTTCATGCCACAAATCGTCAAGGGACGCATCACCTTCCAAAACATCATTCCCAACCGACGGTGCTGCCCCGAGAGCAGCATGCTACCAAGAGAAGACAAAAGAGGAGCCGCCGCGGTAAGGGGCGCGAGGAGCACGCCCTTGCGCCTCTCTCAAACAGTTAATCTATCAACGCCGCTGGCCAAGAGCACGCCGTCCAGTGGGTCCACCGTGCATTCCCGTGTCGGCAAGGAGAACATTCCGCCGCATCTGACGCCGGAGCTAGGGCGCTGCCGTCCCGTCCGTATGCCATCGCTAGATGACTGCGATTTGAATTTGGACTTGGTTTGTGCTTCATCTCCCGAGCCGCAGGTCGTGCCCGCTTGTCGCAATCTAAATTTGGAGGCCAGGATCTCTCCCCTACCAGCTTGCAGCTATAACCTAGCCACTGTACAAACCAAAGAGCCCGTGCTCTCAAGGACTCCGCCGGTACGGACCTACTCCCGCAAAAAGGCTGCTACGCCGAGCAAAACTAAGCCTACTGTCTGGTCGCCTCTGCAAAAGAAGAGAAAGACATCCACGGTTTCCTCCACCAAAGGGCTTAGTCCGACAGTTAAAGTGGTTATGCGCAGCCGCAAACTGATAGTGGACAACAAGAAGACACTGGAACCCCGGGATCTTAAGAAGATTACGCCCATCTCAAGGGAGATGATCACACGCAAACAGGTTACAGGCAAGACGCGGAACCAATTTAAGGCACTGAAGGTCACGGCCTTCGACCTGCTGACACAGCCCGCTCTGGGGATCATGGGCCACGAACTGAACACACAATTCGAGCAAGCCTGCGTGAACAAGAAGGCCACCACCCTGCCCAACTACGCGGAGGTGGCGGTCACAGAGCCGCTCAAAATGGACTACCAGGTGAAGACCCTGTTAGCCAAGCAGAGGCGGATGGAACGGGACGACCAGCAAAAGCCAAAATGCGCAATGATGCCGAAGAGCAAGACCAAGGTTTGGAGTTTCTAGAAACCGTGAAATCTTGATTGTACTTAAACAGATTAGTCCAAATGTTTGGCAAGCCATAGCCATTCAAATCAGATACGTATTCGTATTAAATGTAAGCCCATGTCAAGTGTGGAGCATGGTTTACTTGATCTCTCTTTTAGGCTGCAATTATTGTGTACACATTCTTCCTAGAGTTTTCTTTATATATAAATATGTATATCTATCTTAAGGCTAGCCTAAGTCTACATCAACAGTGGATAATTATGTATGATTTTGTACGACAAAGCCAGTTGTGAGGCCTTCTAGGAGCTGCGACATCGGAAGCAAGCCTTGAAACCTCGCTTGACGGCCCGAATATTGTGGACGACCTGCTCCTGTGAATATATACAGTGCGTAAGAAGTCTTGCATATACATATAATCTGTACAGCCCACTGACCTGCATAAGGTTGAAGCACATGGCAATTACGGCCATGCCCAGCAGCAAGTATACGGCGCAGAGAATAAAGCTCACCTCAACCTTATCCCTATCGGCGGTTATCTGTGGAGAACAAGAAGTAAATAATTTATAACAAGGAAGAAAGCTAAATATCCTTGCAGTTTTCAATTGGATTACATATTTATACCCTTGCAGGGTATTATAATTTCAGTCAGAAGTTTGCAACGCAATGAAGGAGACGTTTCCGACCCCATAAAGTATATATATTCTTGATCAGCATCAACAGCCGAGTCGATCTAGCCATGTCCGTCTGTCCGTCTGTCCGTCCGTCTGTCCGTTTCTACGCAAACTAGTCCCTCAGTTTTAAAGCTATCTGAATGAAACTTTGCATATAGTCTTCTATATACTCTCACTGCTATATATGTCGGAACGGGCCGGATCGGACGACTATATCATATAGCTGCCATACAAATGTTCAATAAATTTTTAGAAAAAAAACTATAACTTTGCTGTTTTTCAACATTTTTGCACCATTTTTTAGATATAGTCATTTTATATTATTTCTGATTTTTGGTAAAAATTTTATGAAAATCGGACGACTATATGATATAGCTGCCATAGGAACGATCGGGAAATTATTAGGAAAAAAATTATTGCTTCGTTGTTTTTCAACGTATTTTTATCTACTTTGGAATATCAGCTTTTATTATTCTAGAATTTTGGTATAAATTTCATAAAAATCGGACAACTATATCATATAGCTGCCATATAAACCGATCGGTAGATGTATACAAAATGTAAAGCTGGGAATGCAAAACTGTAACTGTCAAACTGTAAACATAATAAGTATAGGTAAAATGTAATGAAATAATATCTGCAAGGGTATATAAACTTCGGCGTACCGAAGTTAGCTTCCTTTCTTGTTTTTTACAGGTTTACAGTAACAGTTATACATTTCCACCTTTACATATTTCTCTATAACCTTTAATCGTTTCTATGCTAACTATATGATATAATATGATATGATTTTCATAAAATTAAACCAAAGTTTTTAAATAATTCAAAATGTCCATATCACAAAGTAGAAGAAAATATGTTGAAAAAGCGCAAAGTTATAAGTTTTTTTCTACAAATTTGTATTCAGATAGCTTTAAAACTGAGGGATATGGCTAGATCGACTCGGCTGTTGATGCTAATTAAAAATATATCGAAATTATAATACCCTGCAAGGCTATAAATATATAATTTTGAACACCTTACCACACGATCGCCTGGCACGAGATCGCCAAATCCAATGCTGCTAAGCGATATGAGGCAGAAGTAGCTGCCATCCAGATAGTTCCAGTCCTCCCAGCGCCCAAAGAGCAAGGCGCCCCACAGGATATACCTTCAGAGGAACAGCCCTTAGTTGTTAGCTATCCTTTAAAAAGCGAATTTTCTTACCCAACCATTACGAATACGCAGACAGTGACTGGGACCGTAATCTCATCCGTGCTACCTCGGATTTCGCGCTCGATATCCGAGTCGGAGTCACTGAAGGGAATGTCCATCAAGCTGGAACTGTGATGGGAACTCCTGGTGTAGTCACTGCTGCTGCTGTTGGAGGTGGTGGTGTTGCTGCTACTGCTGGAGTAGCTGCTGCTTCCCCTGGCATTCTCCATGTCATGCATTTGCAGCTGCAATAAGGAGATACTTCAGCTGAATATTTAAACAAATTTTGGACCACTTACTGCTCTGGCCAGCTGGCGCATTTTTCGTCTCTCGCGGATGATCCGTCGCTTGGCCACACCGGGACAGATGCGGCACAGGCACACCTTGGAGTATATCCACTTGAAGGACTTGGCCAGGACGTCGCCAATGTTGGAGAGGTAGAGCAGGAACAGCGGCATCCCGATTATCGCATACAGAATGGTTACCAGCTTACCCCACTCCGAGTGGGGCGTGATGTTGCCGTAACCAATCGTTGTGATCACCGTCAGCGAATAGAGAAAGGCTCCTGAGAAGCTCCACTGCTCGACGTCGGGTCCCTTTAGTTGCTTCTTCACTATGGCCCGCTGGTACTCCAGCAGCACATCGTTTACCCTGGATATTAAAATGGTTTCCATGTTTCAATTGTACCCTGGATTATCTTCTGATGATGTCTTACCGCTTCCTGTAGGCATGGTGGTCGAAAAAGCTGATGTTCTCCGCCGTGAGCTCCCAAATTCTGGTGAGACATTCCCCGCTATAGTTGCGCGCTATGAACCGATGTGGCTTTTCTAGCTTCAGGCGCTCGTACTCGAATATCTCGATGCCCTGGAATATGAATGCCCCGCCAATTATGTAGAATGTGACTAGCAGGATGATGCCCACATTGCTGAACATAAACGCCGTAAAGTGGCGGCAGTGGTCCTTGAAGCGCTCGAACGCCGGCTTCTCCTTCCGGCGAAAGGAGCTCCGACGCGAGGACATCTCTTAGCTGGTCGCTTCCGCTTCGGTTTCAGTGCCAGTTCCCGTCTCGATTGGCCTTCCACTGGCGCTAGCCTGGACATGCTCGGGTCTGGTATCGGGCCGATACTCGCATAGATCACGACTCCAAGGATTTCCGGCTGCCTAAAGCTAAAAATACCCAATGATATATCCCATTAGTTCATCCCCATCTTCCCCAGCGCAGAGTGGTAAATAAACAAAGGCAGCAAGGCTACTCTATCAAAGTGTTTGGCGGCATAAATCTCCCCGAGGAATAATATGCGTGGCGGTGATGTGTGATCTGTTCTGTGCTGTGTGGTGTTGTGTGGGTGGTTTATTTTCATGGTCTGGGATTATCGCGAAATGTACGATCTTTGCTGCTGGTACTATATTTCTCTAGCTCTGGTGATAAAATATTATAATCACAAATTGCAAAAGATTTAATTGGAAACTAGCATTGATCTCTGAAATCATCAAGATGTAACAAGGACATAATTAATTAACTAAGTAAGTAAAGCTGAAAACATTTTATCCATTTAAAAAAAATATATATTTTTGGGAATAAGATGTAAAACGAAGTGGCCAAAATTACATTACTTACATTCTATGCATGGGACAGGCAGAGAATACAGTTTTTGTCTATCTTTAATGCTAATTATAAAGCTAATTTTCAAGTGTAACCAATTATTTAATTAGTAGTAAAAAGAGTGCTGTTAAATTTAGTAAACAAAAAAAATTTTGTTTCTATAAATAATATTAATGCCCAGTAAAATGATCTTTAGCCCTTAAATTAAATTAAAATTATGTTTATAATCAAATTTATGAATTTTATAATTTATAATTTCAGTGGCTAAGAATTTCAGGATCAATAAATTGTTAAATTATGTATATTTTCGCCCATCTCTTATGCTAATTATACACCCAATTTTTAAATGTAACCAATTATTAAATTTGTTTTAAAAAGAGTGTTGTTAAATTAAGTAAACAAAACAGATTTTGTTTCTTTGGATAAAATTAAGGCATACTAAAATGATCTATAGCCCATTAGATCTTCTTTAAATTATTTTTATAATAAAATTTATGAATATAAAATTCGCATTCTGACAAATCTCTGTGGCTAAGAATTTTAGATCAATAAATTTTCGGAGGTGAGCGCCAGAAATTTCAAATTCCAATTTAATAAATGTCCCAATAAATGTAAACTAATGCGGGGCTTTTTGCCTAATTGATTATATTGATATTGGACTGTATTCCGAGCTGATTGAGATAATCGGCGGACTGTTGGGAATTCTGAAACTGCATGTAACTTATTCGGTTTGACAGTTTTCGAGAGAAAAAGTCAAATATTTTAGCTGAACAGCATGAATGGGATTTTATTTTTAATACATTGTGCTTTCTATGTTTCCTAATAAATGGCCAACATGAACATGAATTATTGGACTACAATCTTGGCAGCTGGCCTATGGAACAGTCACATCATCTCATCTCATCTAACAGAGGAGGAGCAGACTCATCCCGCCGCCCGTCCCCTCGGATTGCTTGTGTGTGGTATTTCAATTTTCTCGCGTGGCCGGTGGGATGACACTCGCCTCTAGATTCGAGAATTGATGGCGTAGCCGTGGCTGTGGCGTCAAATTGGAGAGTTCCTAACGATCCGATGCGCCACTGCGTCCCATCTCATCTCCGTCTGCGGTTGCTGAAATGCCGCAACCGTTGTTTTTGTTTGGTTTTCAATTCTTTTTTTAGGGTTTTATTTAGTGGGTGTGAAATACGAGTTCATTTTGGATTATTTTTATAAACTTCTGTTTTGGACGGGGCCCCGACAGTCATTTGCTTGATTTGTGGCTGTAGCCTCGCCGATCTCTGGGACTGGGAGCTGAGAGCTGGGAGCTGAGAGCTGGGAGCTGGTAGCCTTGGATCTCACCACCTTTACGCATTTCTGGCAGCGGCTAGGTGCGCGTCAGGTAAATATGTGTATTTTTATTGATTCGCTCAAGCATAAATTAAAATCAATTTGCAATCGATGTCTGGCCGTGTATTTACAGGCCAAAACATATTGTGTACCCGTACCCCGCCTGTACATACATACATAATTAAAAAATCCAAACACAAAACAAACACAAACTAAAAATCGTGGCGAAATGTGTTTCCAATGAAAATACACAAGCCGCGGAAGGAAAACACATTAGTGGATGTGGGATGCCATGCCTTTGGCTTTCGCAGGGCGCGAATCCGAGGGGCTGACATAAAAAAGATGCCCACTGTCAATGGGGATGTTTATGTTTTCGTTGCAATTAAGCTATCGTCGAGGAGAGGTTCCACACTACCAGGTCCAGGAGAATATGACGAATGCCAAGTTAGAGTGCATTTTGTGGCCGGCAATTAAAGTGCAGTTCTGGTGAGTTTGTCGAGATATTTTTGGCATGATGTGCCGGCAGGCGGCAGGCACAGTCATTAGCCCGAAATGTCTGTTTCTCGTAGCATTAAAAATTTTAATTATAATTGCTCTGAGCACTTTTCAGACATTTATGCTAACCCAAATCCAAAGATTACCGACAAAAAGATCAAAGCAGCAAGCGAAGGAAACGGCCAGCTAATGTATTGTAGTCTTTTTTATATCGACGAAATCTTGTATTATTATTCTATATATTGGGTGGAAACTAGTCGAGCAAAGAGGCTGCTTCTGGGAAGTAAAAGCTGCTTGGACTTGGCCAATTGAGTTGCCTTTTTAGTTAGCAACTAAATTACGTCATGTCCTTGGATTTCTGTTTATGCGAGAGATGATGGAAAATGATTGGAAACACACTTCTGATGCTGTGTTTACATTCACAGTTCTTGGTAGTCTCTGCAGGTGTGCCCTCAAAATTGAGTTCATCATTGCGAAAGTCTCCTCAGCCAATCCCCGGTGTCAGTTGTCAATCATTCTCCTTGGGCAGGGTTTATTTCATTTGTAGGTCCTTCGGCCAGCACACTTGCACAATTAATTCTCAACATTTAATTTGCCATGCCAAGAGGAAAATGCTTAAATATGACAGACAGCCACAGAATGTTAAGTGTCAGCGGCTACACGAGAGAAGATTTTAAAATTTAATTACAGTGAAAAATCTCGGTGACAATGCGGGGGAAGCAGCGGCATGGAAAATAAGAAATTACGGCGACGACATCATCGCCAATGGCACATTGATGGCCCGAATACGTGGCGACCACGTCCGACATGACGGATCGGCCAGGCACCGGCGGAGCGGATGCGGATGGAGGTGTGTACCTTTGCCAGAACGTGTGTGCGAGCCAAAAACTAATTTTCGTGCATTGACCGCGGCAGGCTGGACGAATTGGTTGCGTATCGAGTTGCTGCTTGGGCGGGCAAAAAATCTTAATACAGTACATAAAAAAAAACATCTACATTTTTGGTAATTTAAAAGAGCACAATGTTCTATGACCACTGTAGTTTTTAACACTTAAGCCTTTCGTTTTCAAAAGCATAAGAGAGCACATGAAAAATTATATTAAATTATGATAGATTAGATATTTCAATTAACCCATTTTTGCAAAACAATTTTCTGTATTTTCTTCTGTACAAATAATGTGATTTTCTTTTTTCGAAAGTTTTTATCTCTCCTCCAGCTGAATACCCTTTTCTTTACCTTACTTAATAAGTCTTTAAATAAATGAAAAATAAATGTTTTTAAGATTACAATTGATATTCTATTTTCCCTTATAGATCTCTCTGCATGAAACTATCTAGTAGTACATAATTTTGATAGGAAAAGGATTGGTATACATATGTATATGATTTCTGGCAATAACTGGAGAATCTTATGCTCTCAAGAAGACCTGAAAATTAGCATTCTTTAAATTAATATCATTATATGATTACTTTTGGGACAAATCAAATATTAAACACCACACAACAAAGTCAAAAAAGCATTAATTTCAAGGTTTATTTGAATTTGGTTAAAAATCTAAAAAGACTGAATTTAAAATTTTACAAATTTTAAAATGGTAATTTTTAACAATTAACAATTTTAACCTCTTTTAATATTTTTAAAAAAAAAAAAAAAAATATATTAATAATAATTTAATTTTTTCAATTATTTATAATTATTAATACCCTGAAAGGGTATGAACATCAAGATATTAGTTTTATTGATACCAATTATAAACAGGGTACAACATAAATCAATTGGGTTTTGAAATCATAAAAAAAGCACAGCTATGCTATAAAATGATCATGACAAAGTATAAGTTCTTGTTTAGTTATAAAATAAATATAACACAAAAATCTAGTAATAGATTTTGAGTATTACTTTCCGAGTGCCATTACTGCCTGTCTTCAAGTTGATCCGCGTTTCACGAACCTGTTTATTATGGCTATTGCCTCCGTCGGCTGATTGTGGTGCTGATGGAGATGGTGATGCCACTGATGCTGATGCAGTAGCTCCTTGCCAGATGCTCACCCGTGACGTCATGCGGCTCGGCTGGCCTTTGTTGGGGCTTCGGCTGCTCCGATTCGTTTATTTTAGCAGCTGATGTATTTCGGAACTATGCATGTGGAATATTATTTATGTTTGGGCGCTCTGTATATTATTTTATCAGTGTTATTCAACGCACGCCACGAAATTCCACCGATCAGCTATTTTACAGATTTTCCTTAGCCATAGCCTGTACCCCGATTTCGATTTCAGATTCGCATATCTCCGGATAATCTGCCCAAAAGAACTTCTTAGCCCCGGTTGGCGTGCTTGGTTCTCTGTTTATTTTTAACCACACTACACTTCACTTCACTTTTCAAATCCGTTGCCGATCCAAATGCGAAAGCGATCCCGGAGCAAGTGCCTCATTCGCCGGCGGAGGTGCGCTCTGCTCGACGTTCCGCTGGCCACTGGCCGGACTCTCGCACCCGTATTAATAGACGCGGCACGGCGTACACAAAGCGTCTAACTTGACGCGCTACCTGTGACGTCGCTGCGCCTCCATTGTTGGACTCGGAATGGAAGCCGGCGGTCTTTCGCCACCGAGGATACCGCAGCGAGAGAGCCAACGGAATTCCACTCTCAGCCGGTGGTGCCGGTCGCCACGATTCGCTCATGCCCTGCACTAAAATATCAGCACTATCTGGAAATAGATCGATCGAGTTAAATATAGATTGAAAATCAAGAAAGCTTGAGGATAAAACAGTTAATTTGTCTGGGCCGATCTGATTAGCTTAATATATTTAATACATATGTACATGTTAATGTGAAAATCTGTGTATAAAATACAGGCCCAAAATTATTGGGCTGTATCAGCGCCGATTCCGAATCTGAATAAACCGGAAATCGGATTTAGCCTCCACGACAATCGTTTTGGTCCACTGGTCATAGGTAGCCCCATAACGATTGAAAATTAACGCATTGGTAATGGGTAGAATGATAGTGACCACAAAAAGCTTAACCAGCGACCGGAAAATGGCCCGTCTGATATTGAGCCTCCCTGCCGGATAGGCCAAGACGTTCTGTGCCTGCCGGTAGTTCAGCCCACCGTTCCGGCGAAACTGCACCACTGCGCCTGCGGTCACAATGCGTATCCCCATCAGCCACTTGCCGGGAGTGGTTCCATTGCAGCAGCTGGTCCACAGCGGCTCGTAGCAGAGCCCGGCGAGCTTTAGAAGCGTCCTGGCGAGAAGCGTCTGAGGAGATAAAGATGCCAGAAAGTAGTACATGATCACATCATCCGTCACCACCCACCAAACCAATTCCTTTCCGATGCCGGGAAACTGGCTAACAAGCAAGCGCGCAATGAGGACCTTCAGAAAAATAAGGAGGTAGATGTCGATGGCCTGCGCTACAGCTCGTTTCCATAAGGGCGCCAAAGTGACCAAGTAGCCGCTCCGCCGGTGTCTTAGGCGACGATGATCAGGACGATTATTTTGGCCAGGGAGTATTCCAAGAGCTCCGGCTTGTGCAGCCGCTTGAATCGGGCGCGGCTGGTAAAGTCCAAAAGTATCTCTGGGCTGGCCTCCGTTCGGTGTGCGAAAGAGCTGCGGGTATTTGGCAAGCAGATATGCCGGGAACCCCAACATGGCCTCCTGGGCCTGATGAGCCTGTTTGGCCCACTCATCGAGGCTGGCAAAGTAAGCCTCCTTGGCACACAGGTTTTGCTCCTTTGACATTATGTTTTACCTCGATTATTTAGGATTTTATTATTAATTCTTCTTTATGGTGTCGACTTCCAGCAGACTTAAATAATACAATACCCGGCGGCTAAAGAAATAAGTACAGAACAATTACAAATTGCCACAATTTTAAAATAAAGTTTGAAATGTTTACCTTCGATACCCGGAATATTGTTAAGAATCGATGTATCGTGAGCTGTCAAATCATCGAAATACCGATACTATCGTTAAAATATATGGGGTCGTCTTGTTAAATATATTGAAAATGAAATTACAGTTAGTAAAATCAGGTTTTGTAAATAAGAAATGTCCTTATATTTTTGGAAAATATTAAAATTAACAATAATTGTTGGATTCTGCTAATATATAAATTGCGGTTACTTTCTCTAGTACTTACGCAGTTTAGAATACAAGTTTCTTGTTAATTTTTAAAACTTCGTTCTTGTTATTATATAATTTAAGTTAGTAGTTAGCAATTTGTAATAATTTTTAGTAATTTTTAAGCGAAAAAAATACGATTTCAAGTTTATTTTTGTTATACCGATAGTTACACCGATATGCTGTCCGAACCCAATCGATAGTATCGATAGGGCCATATTTTGACATCTCTAATCTGGTGGCCATCTTCCTTTCTAGAGAATCGCGTTTGCAAAACGACGTGTTTAAAACCTTTTCAAGTGTTTTAAAAGGTAATTAGCCATGGAAAATAGTTAAATACGTCGCAGAAAGCCGCCACCAAACGTCCTGTGACCCGGCGCGTGGAGGCAGTGACCATGGGAAGCGTTAAAACGCAGGCCGCGAGCGCTCGGTCACACGTGGAGACATAGGAGCTCCGAACGGACGGCTGTGAGGTTATGTTGATTCTCACGGAGACGACAACAACAGCCCGGAGTGGCGGCCAATCTGCGGGGATCCTGAGTGAAGAAAGCCACTAATTACTGTCCATTGCATTGCAGCTCCGTCAAAATGTCCGGTACAACCGCCACCATCCGCACCCGCAAGTTCATGACCAACCGCCTGCTCGCCAGGAAACAGATGGTCTGCGATGTCCTGCACCCTGGTCTGTCGTCGGTGAACAAAACCGAGATCCGCGAGAAGCTCGCCGCCATGTACAAGGTCACCCCCGATGTGGTCTTCGTGTTCGGTTTCCGCACAAACTTTGGCGGCGGCCGCTCCACGGGCTTCGCCCTCATCTACGACACCCTGGACTTCGCCAAGAAGTTCGAGCCCAAGTACCGCCTGGCCCGTCACGGCCTCTTCGAGCAGAAGAAGCAGACCCGCAAGCAGCGCAAGGAGCGTCGCAACAGGATGAAGAAGGTGCGCGGCACTGCCAAGGCCAAGATCGGTACTGGCAAGAAGTAAGCGCTGCCCCGCCGGAAGACCCCGCGGGTGGGTCACTTCAGTGGGTTGTCGGCTCGCTGGAAACGCTCCCCGACAATTCCCAAAAGCTGCTGGTTATGCGTTAGTTACACTTTTTTATCAACCATCCAACAACGGACAAAACAAAATCAGTGTTTACTTTTGGAGCGGCTTTTGTTTGTAAACTAAGGAAATAAAACTCTAAAAGTATACAAGTTTTTGTGGTTAAATGATTGGGAGTGTGTGCGCGTGAGCCCATTGATTGTGGAAACGATTATATCTGTAATTTATATACCTGGAAGGAAAGCCATTTCAATAATCCATTCTTAGCACCGCTTCTCTTAATTAAATAAACAAAAGGAATTTGTTATAAATCTTTGTGCTTGCAAGAAAATTGGTCTAAAAGTTTATTTTAATCTATTTAACAAATACTGAAAATGGGCGCTTACAGAGATATTAATTAAGGAATTGCTATGATAGTTACTATAATGTGTATAAACTTAATATAAATTAAATTAATAATTATTTTCTGTTACTATTCATAAAAATACCAATGAAAATGAAAAGCATGTGCGGTCGCACTAAAATGTGGTAGCTTTTGGTATATTTGTAAGAAATTCGTATATTTTTGTAAGCCGGGTGGTATTTTACAACGGCCAAGTCGCAGTCACACTGAATACAGAATATTTGTAAAAAAATTTTTAAAACATTTTAAATGATCCTGCCAAGTCCTGCGGGGAACATTCGGGACAGCCAGCAGCAACAATCACGCGCAGAGGCCGCCGAACGTGCCTAAGAATGTCTAGTTCAAACGGTGGCGCCGCAGCGGGGGCGGAGGCAGTGGAGGCGTCGCTTCCCCTGGCGATTGGATTTGCCCTGATTTCGAGTGAGTGCAGGGAGATAGATGCAGGGACAGCGGCCACCTCGCGGAACAGTCGAGACGGGCGGAGAGTGCAGCGAATCTTACCTTTCCCCGATTTTGCAGCTGTCGCCATCTAAATTTTGCCCGCCGGTCGCAGTGCAACAAATGCGATCGCGACCGTGATAGCAGTGATAAGCCAGAACGGGAGCGGGATCGGGAGCGCGGCAACGGAAGCAGCAGCAGCAGTAGCAGCTCCAGCAAGAAAAAGCTGGGAACCGAAATTGGTAAGGCGGCGGCTGACAAGTCCCGGGGCCTGTTCAGCGCCGAGGATTGGCAGTGCAGCAAGTGCGCCAACGTGAACTGGGCTCGCCGGCAGACCTGCAATATGTGTAATGCTCCCAAGTTCTCGGATGTAGAGGAACGCACTGGTGAGTCCTGCAGGCTCTATTTCTTCCTTTCCCTGCAGTCCTCTAAAATCCTATATTACAGGTTTTGGCGGAGGGTACAACGATCGCGGCGTAGTGGAGTATAAGGATCGCCAGGATTCGGACAGCGAGTACGATGAGTTTGGGCGGCGCAAAAAGCGAAAGCACGGTGAGCATCGTGAGGACTCCAAGCGAGCAAGGAGGGCCAGCCGCGATGAGCAGCCGCTGGAGGAAGAGGACGACGACGAGGATGATGAGGGCGACCTGTCCAAGTACGATCTTTGGGGAGACGACGACGACGACGACAAGGTAACATCGTCGGAAGTCAAGAGCAAGGAGCCCACGGGCAGTGGCGACAAGGGAACGACCAAGGAGCGCAAACGGGCCTCTCGTGACTCCACATCTTCCGTTTCCTCCTCCTCGTCATCGTCTAGTTCGTCTAGCTCCAGTGACTCGTCGTCGAGCAGCTCGAGTAGCGGCTCCAGCCGAGGAAGGCGCTAGCCTCCATCTTACCGTTTAGGAACTTCACCTTAATTGCATCTGTTTTTACACATTTCTACACGGCAATGCCAATCATTGCACGTTTATTTATTCGCCATTATGCGCTGCTCTGGAACGTGCTATGCGGTACGATGTCCAGTCTCTACACTAAAAGTATAATAAAACGTATAATTTAAGAACATCAGCATTTACATTTATTGTAAGACTCCGTAACATTAAAGAACGGGCCTAATTGAAGCCATCCTCGTTTTGTTTCTGGCTGCTGGCAGCTTCCTCCGCCTGCCGCAGCTCCTTGAGCTGGGCCAGCTGCCTCTTCGATTCTGCGATGTGCTCTTCGGTCACAGTCACTGGCACGTCGCAGGAAATCTGCTCCTGTCGCACAAACTGCATCTTTTTGATGGCCTCCTCCAAGAAGGGTATCTGCTGGGCCTGCAACTGCTTGTGGTAGGCCTCCAGACGCTCCTCCTTCAGGTTTTCGCAGTAGGTGTCGGTCAGCTTCTGCAAAGACTCCTTGCGCGTGATCCAATGGAATTGTGCGGGCGGTGGCTTGTACACCAGGTCGAGCCTCTCGAGAATCCACTCGAAGCGTGGATAGTCCCAGCGTCTCAGGTATTTGAGGAACTTTTTGCGCTTGTCTATCAGCTCCTTGAGTCGCACCTTGATCATCTTGTCGCGCGGATGCGAGTCCATGCGCTCCTGGTAGCGGCGAATCACCGCGGTCATTTTGGCCACTAAAATTCTGTGAGTTAGCAAACTGGAATTGGAATTGGCTGTCCACAAACATACACTTGGCTTCCATGGATCCGAAATCCTGAGCGTGCCTCTGCACTTCCTTGACCATCTCATCGCGGTAGAACTTTGTGGTCAGGTAGCTGGCGTTGTTGCTCAGCAGGAACTGGGCCTTTACAGCCTCATCGGCTTTTTCCAGCTCCTTGCAGTCCCTGAACTCCGGCAGGATCTCGTTGGGGTTCAGCGGTGGCAGCTTGCTCAGATCGCCGCTCTTCTCCGGCTTGAAGCACGCGATCTTTTCCGGTCGCACCCATTTGATCTTCAGGTCGGACTTGAAGGCATATTCACGGACAAACTGGCGCGGCACCGCCTGCGCTACGTTCAATAGTTTATTCATTAAATTGTGTTTATTTGTCGGAAAGTCGTCGAGGTTATATCACAAAAAAGGAAAATAGTGGAATTATCTGGTCACATTGTGAACAGCTGTTTTGTACTAAAGCTAATCGACTAATCGATTTTTGAATTATGCGATTATTTTAGTGTGTACACACTTATTTTTCATTTAACTCGTGTTTGCCATCCCTAGCCTTTATCAACAGCTGGAGCACATTTGTTGCTGTTTTCTTTTCTTTTGTCTTTCAACTTGTTTCGGAGTTATTGTGCGTTTTTTGTGACTATAGAGGTGAATCTCAGCATGGCGCACATGTCCCACATGCTCCAGCAACCGTCAACGCCCTCCAGCGTAGGCTCCAGCTCCTCCCGCACTATGTCTCTGATGGAGAAGCAGAAGTACATCGAAGACTATGACTTTCCCTACTGCGACGAGAGCAACAAATATGAAAAGGTGGCGAAAATTGGCCAGGGAACCTTCGGGTAAGTGGGAAGTCGTCCTTTCAGGCTTGCATTCATTATCCTTCTTAATTTCCAGGGAGGTGTTCAAGGCCCGCGAGAAGAAGAGCAACAAAAAGTTTGTGGCCATGAAGAAGGTGCTGATGGACAACGAAAAAGAGGGCGTGAGTCAACAAACAATTACACAAAATCATGAAATACACGAATTATGTGTTATTTTTCTAGTTCCCCATCACAGCGTTACGTGAGATCCGAATCCTGCAGCTGCTGAAACACGAGAATGTGGTGAATTTGATTGAGATTTGCCGTACCAAGGCCACAGCCACCAACGGCTACAGATCCACATTTTACTTAGTTTTCGACTTCTGCGAGCACGATTTGGCTGGCCTCTTGTCCAACATGAATGTCAAGTTCAGTCTGGGCGAGATCAAGAAGGTGATGCAGCAGCTGCTCAATGGCCTTTACTACATACACAGCAACAAGGTAAGTTCCGGTTGTAGAGTCTCATGACAACATGACCCACTTGTTAAATCCCCAGATCCTGCATCGTGACATGAAAGCTGCCAATGTGCTGATAACCAAGCACGGCATCTTAAAGCTGGCTGATTTTGGTTTGGCTCGTGCCTTTAGCATTCCCAAAAACGAGAGTAAGAATCGCTACACCAACCGTGTGGTGACGCTGTGGTACCGCCCGCCAGAACTGTTGCTGGGCGATCGGAACTACGGTCCGCCTGTGGACATGTGGGGAGCCGGATGCATCATGGCCGAGATGTGGACCCGCTCGCCCATTATGCAGGGCAATACGGAGCAGCAACAGCTGACCTTCATCTCGCAGCTATGCGGCTCCTTTACGCCGGACGTGTGGCCGGGCGTGGAGGAACTGGAGCTGTACAAGTCCATTGAGTTGCCAAAGAACCAGAAGCGTCGCGTCAAGGAGCGACTACGTCCGTATGTCAAGGACCCCACCGGCTGTGATCTGCTGGACAAGTTGCTGACTCTGGACCCGAAGAAACGCATTGATGCCGACACGGCACTCAACCACGACTTCTTCTGGACGGATCCCATGCCCAGCGACCTGAGCAAGATGTTGTCCCAGCATCTGCAGAGCATGTTCGAGTATCTGGCGCAGCCAAGGCGCAGTAACCAGATGAGGAACTACCACCAGCAGCTGACCACCATGAACCAGAAGCCGCAGGACAATAGCATGATCGACAGGGTCTGGTAGACTGGTTTCCACACCCATTTGTTGCAGTAAGACTCTCACTATCAACTTAGTTTAAGGTATTAGGTTAGGATCATAACCATAAAGATTTGCATTTGCAAATAAAACTCCTTCAAATGCATAGTTTTCTTTATGAAATTATTAGAGTATTTAAAAAGCGGCTTTCCACTGTTAAATTTCCGATAACTCCGATAATTATTTCCCTGCTTAGTGTGTACACACTGGTGGCAAAATGCACGTTGAGCAGCAGCAACAAAAGGTAAACAAGGCCAAAAAGGTGGATAAAAAGCAACGACGATGTCTGGCAATCATCAAAAGCGACTGCGAAGTGATCCCTAGCGAGGACCCCACCACCTATCTGGCGATCCTCAACGTGGGACTCAGCAATGGACTCACCGAGGAGTGTCTACTTCAGGCGGCGGCCGGCACAGGTGGCAAAGTCACCGAGGTGGTTATGTTACCGGGTAAATCGTACTGCTTCCTGGTCTGCGATACTCTAGAGGATGCGCAGGCCATATACCAGGGAATGCACAACGTCTCCAACATAGGACAACAGGGAGCTGTTGCCTACCTCAGTTACGTCATGGGATTGCCCGCCCTGGCAAGGAAGAACGACTGGAATAGACCCTTGCCCAGTGGACTCTTGGTGCTTCCCGACTTTGTCAGCGAAGAGGAGGAATTAATGCTTTTGCGGTCCATTTCTGAGGATGGGCGAGCCTCTGAGGGAAGTTTAAAGCACAGAAATGTGAAGCACTTTGGGTTCGAGTTTCTTTACGGCGTCAATAATGTGGATCCTGCAAAGCCCCTGGAGCAATCAATACCGTCGGCATGTGATATACTTTGGCCACGTCTTGAGAGCTCCGCTTCCAAGTGGGACTGGAGTACGCCGGACCAGCTGACGGTGAATGAATACGAGCCGGGCCATGGCATACCACCTCACGTGGACACACACAGTGCATTTTTAGATCCCATTCTCTCGCTGTCCTTGCAATCCGATGTGGTGATGGACTTCCGGCGCGGAGAGGAGCTGGTTCAGGTGAGATTACCACGTCGCTCCCTGCTGATCATGTCCGGAGAATCTCGCTATGACTGGACGCATGGCATCAGGCCAAAGCACATCGATGTGGTGCCAAGTGCTTCCGGAGGTTTGACCACTCAGGCTCGCGGCAAGAGAACTTCTCTTACTTTCCGGCGCCTGCGAAGAGGACCCTGCTCATGTTCATATCCCACGCTCTGTGACACGAGACAAACCAAAGCTCCAGAGGAGCTATCCCTCACTCTGGCTGCTCAGGCTGTCAGCCTGGAGCAGCGAAATGTCCACGAGGTGTACGACAAGATAGCAGTTCACTTCAGTGAAACGCGGCACTCGCCTTGGCCCCAAGTAGCCGATTTCCTCAACTCGTTTCATCCCCAGTCTGTGGTGCTGGACGTAGGTTGCGGCAATGGCAAGTATCTGGGATGCAATCCTCAGCTCCTGGCCATTGGTTGCGATCGCGCCCAAGGTCTGCTCGCAGTGGGACGTCAGAAGGGGCAGAATGTCTTTCGGTGCGACTGCCTGAGTGTGCCAGTGCGCTCTGCCAGCATTGATGGCTGCATTAGTATAGCTGTTATCCATCACCTGGCCACTGGAGAGCGTCGGCTGGCCGCTCTTCGTGAGATGGCACGCCTCCTGCGACCTGGTGGCCGCGCTTTGGTCTATGTTTGGGCCAAGGATCAGCGAAAGAATGACAAAAAGTCCGCATACCTTCGGCAAAACAAAGCTGTTAATAAGGAGCGTACCACCGAACAGGAGCAGCGTCAGAAGCAGCAACAACAACAACTGGAGCAGCAGGTACCAAATGACACCCCGCTGCCCGTGCACACCAATCGCACAGAGTTCCAGCAGCAAGATGTCTTGGTGCCCTGGAAGACCAAGGATGAGCAAAAGACTACTTTCTTGCGTTACTATCATGTCTTTGAGGAACAGGAACTGGAGAATCTGGTGTCGCAGCTGCCGGAGGTGCGAATAGTTAGGAGCTACTACGACCAGGGCAATCACTGTGTGATCTTCGAGAAGAAAGACAAATAGGTATATATATGTAATTCGTTTATTTGATTTCAAAAAATACACATTCACACACAGTTTTTCTTTTGTTTGTTTAGTGTTTTTGCCATTTAGCGAATTGAACGTAAACTAAAACTTAGTTAAGCCTACTGTCGACGACGTCCCATCCGTGCGGATGTGGTGTTTCTGTTTATTGTAGCTTTGGACCATAAATTGACAATTCCTTAATAACAACGTTTTGTGTTCCACTGAAGAGTATTTCCAGTTGGTGTAGGTACAAGTGCGGTGTGTATGTACATTTGTATTATTTCCATTCTTTCATTGTTCTTGGATAGTTTTGGATTGATAGATTGATAGATCGATAGTGTCGTAACGAGTAGGTGGATAGATAGATAGATAAAATTTGAAGTATCATAACTAAAATGTATAGAGACTACCTAAATCAGTGAGTGGGAGCAATCTGGAGCGGGAGTGGTGCTTTTCTGGAGCTTCCTAAGATAATATAACTCCCATATATCTTCATTCTTCTGTATAGGGTAAACTTCAAACTACAGAGACACATCTACACGGTCCTTAAAAACACACTTATAAGTCATCCAGGGCACTTACTTACTCGACAAGAACCCTACTTCTAGTTAATATTCTTTTAATGGGTCGCTTACTGCTAATTATGGACTACGGTTTACAGTTTCAAACGTTTCGCTTTGGTCGTGGGTACAGTAGAGTATCTGATATGTTAGCAAGTAACATTTTGGACTATGTGATTTCGTCTTAAGATTACAAGAGCTAACTATATATAGCGGGTGTCCTAATATCTCTAAGGTACGTACGCATTAGGGTCCTGCATGAGCCACAGTTAAAGGTCAAGTAAATCAAATTCAAATGTTTGCAGATGGTTAGAATTTTAAAAGCTATCTGTTGGTTTTAACTTTCTTTAAATTAGCTTGTTTAAAATCATATAAACCTTGAATTGAAACGAATAAATTTGACTTTAGTCGATTTAACTTGGTTAATATGGAATAAATTTGCTTTGAATACATTTGATCAATTATATGAATAATAAATAAATGTAATTTTAATGAAATGAACTTGATTTGAATAAACTCTTGTTGTAGCGAATAATATTCGAATATAAATAGCTTATTTAAAAACGAATTAACTCATTTTAAATTGAGTGAACTCGATTTAATCAATTAATTTATATGAATTATTATTCAAATCAAATTGTATTTTTAATAAATAAACCCAATTTAGATAAAATGATATACAAATATACAAATAAATTGAATAAGATAAATTAGACTTGATTTTAAAATCAAAAAGAATTGATTCAAATCGGATTAATTTCGTTTGAATTGAATAGGGATTGAGGGATATCGAATACTCTTGATTTGAAATCAAATAAATTTGATTCAAAATTGATTCTAATTATTTGAAACCCTAAAGACGACACACCTGTTGATTCCTGCAGGACACCTAATACGCACACAAGTGAATTTACTGGGTGTATAAATAAATATATGTATATGTATATATTTAGTATATCTAAATAGATCGCGTGTATAACAGTTGTGGTGCCCAAGTAGTTAGTTTCTTTTGTTTTGTTTTTTTCGTTTTTTTTGGCTAAATGTATAGGAGAACAATTAAAGAGAATTGATTTCAACAGCTAGGTGAGTCTACGGACTAGGTTAAACCAGAAATTCATCGTCGTCGTTACATTAAAGCCTGATAGTTTACTCGTTAGTTGTTAAAGCTGATTTATCAGTTAATAGGTATGTATACACACATACACAGTTATCGACTTAAAAAGTTCTACAGGTTACCGCCTACCATTGATTCCGTTTATAATGTACATATGTGTATACTTCAGTCGTTGTTGAATATACTTACAAAGCTTTCTTTGCCTGGTGCTGACCATTGGTACAATATATCTTTTTGTTCCTATAACTACTCCTTCCCTCGCTATCTTTCGATTTTGTTTGCATATTTTCCCTACTATAAAGCCTCTCACCGAAACACTTATTTGAGCAGCTGGCATACTTTCTCCGTCTTCGAACTCTATGTCGACTATTCCAGTAGGATTTGGATGTGGCTGTGGTTGTGTCTGGGGGGCGTGTGTGGTTTCTAAGGGCTGTCCAGGATCCAGGGTCCAGTTGCCTTGAGCGCGAGCTTAGATAAATGTTTCGGCTGCCATTTGTTACAAGCACTCCGCCAGCGGCGGCTTCTCAATGGGCGGCGAGGGGCCCGAGACGGAAACCATTGGCACGGCACTGATCTTGGGCTTGACGATCTTGAGCCCGAGGCTCCCCAGATTCTTGGGACTGCTGTGCGGCGACGAGGAGGCTGTCGAGGATCGCTGGTGCACCAGAACCCGGGGCTTTGCCTCGATGGCGATGCTGGGCGAGGAGGAGGTCGACACGCTGGCCGTGGCCGTTGCACTGGCCAAGAGGGGCACATGCACCAGTTCTTCCACCGTCTCCGCCGAGTCCTGCGATTCGTGAACCACAGCGGCAGCATCGCTGTGGATCAGGGCAGCCGTGGACAGCGTGTCACCATCATCATCCTGCATGTAGGGTGGCGGTGCCTCCAGCGAAATGCTTCCCACAACCACATTGGCCGTGGTTATGGCAGCCGAGCGGGCCAGGAGGCTGGTTACGGCCGTGGGCGACTGCTTGCCATCATGGATGACCGGCAGACGAAGGAGTTCTCCCCCCGTGCCGCCGCACTCCCTTAGCTCAATGTCGTTGCTGTCCTGCGAGAGGTGCTGCTGCTTGCAGGAGTCGTCGTCGGTGCGCCAGGGACGCAGGCTCTTCTGCAAAAAAGGGTTTTCATTTGTAAAAGTGTATATTTTATAGGTCATGGATTCCACTCACCCTTCTTCCGTTATCCGTGATATTCTCCGCACTCTTGGCTTTCCGGCAGAGCACGCTCTGGGATCCGTGCCGGCGGAGGAACTCAATCGAGTCGAAGCCACGACCCTCCGAGGACACAAAGATGGCCGAGTTAATCCGGCTGCGCGTGCATCGCTCCGATATGGACGTGGAGTGCTCCTCAGCCAGCATGTGGATGTGCTGCAATGAAAGGCGGGTCAGTAAGGATCTCCACATGGCAGTGCCGCATCCTCCGGTCGGTTTCTTACGCGGCTATTGCAGTGCAACGGTGGGTGGGCACATTCACTGCTGTCGAACTGCGTCCCGGAAGGAGCAGAGAAATAGAGAGAGTATAGAGAGATAGAAAGAGAAAGGAGACAGTAGAGCGGACACTTCCAAGGGGGGCGTTCACACACACAACAATAACAACACACACAAGCCCGGACAAGGACCTCCCGCCATCCTCCATCCACTGGAACAACAAGAACGAGAGAGAGAGCAAGCGACAAGCGTGGGACAAAGCTACCTCTGGCTGGCTACTGAGGCTAACTACGGAACGACACGAAGCCGGGACTCAAGCGGAAGCGGATTGCAATTTGTGATTTTGATTTGCTGTGAGAGAAGTGAGCGAAGTGAGCGGGTGCGCGGGCCATGTCCATCCAGTGAAGGTAGCTGCAAGTTCTGTACAGGGTGAGATATTGGGTGATGGGTGCGATTTGGTGCTCTCCGGTCTGCAATCTGAGGTGGAAGTCGAACTCGAACTGGAACGGTAACTCCAACTCCAAGCAAAACCACGTGCAAGCTGCATTGTGCTGGGACTAGTGTTGGGAACACAAAATTGTGTTTACTTTTAAGTGGACAAAATCATGTGGCTCACTTTTTTTTGGGGGGGAAAAGCATCAAAGTAAATAAGTTACTTAGAATTATTGAACATTACTTATTAAAATAATTCATTTGCACTTTAAAGTATTAAAAATGATCATAAAATCTATCTTAATTAAAAAACAAAAACAATTAGATTGTTTTTATGAGGCCTTTTTCATTAACTTACAGTTTTGTAAATTAACATAATTAATATACCAATAAATCATTGAGCCTTTCAAAATAAATTAAATATACAATAAATTACGTATACGCCACATGTGTCAGCAGATTTAATAGCGTTTTTCAGAGACTCTCTTAACATAAAACCATTTTAATTTTACTAATTATATATTTATACCCTAACAGGGTACTACGACAAGAAAGTATTGCATTTTTGATTTAGTTATGGGTTTTTTAAGCCCAAAAAGGAAGCATAAAATGTCAATTCGAAGATTTTACCCCTAGTTATGATCTCTTTAAAAACCTCTGTTTAATTTCAAGAACTACAAGGAAGGCTAAATCATCCTTAACTTCCATTTAACTTCTTGCGGTGTGTATGTCATTGCTTACAATATAATAACACCACGCATTTTTATTGCAAATCGATTCTGAATTCTCAAAATGAGCAAAAAAGGTAAATTTTGCATGAAAATATCTGCAGTTCCCCCCCCCAAAGTGAGCCACTTCATCTGCTTTTGTGTTCCTAAACCCCAACACTAGCTGGCTGACTTACGCTGGCCGGCTCGCTGTAGTTGCTGTGGTTGAGCACCGACGACTCGGTGCGGATGGTGTCGCTGGCCACCATGCTGTGGTACTTCTGCAGCTGAAGCTGCAGCGTCGACGAGCCGCGACTCTCGCGCGATCCCTCCCGCGAGCGATCCGCGCAGGAGTACTGCCTTCGGTACTGGCGCCTTCGTCGGCCGGCGCTAGCAGAGACGACGGACGATGCTCCAGAAGCGCCATCGGTGGTGGCCCCCAGCTGGTGATCAGCGCATGCCAGCGGTCGAGGCAACAACGGAGGCGGGCGAAAGTAACTGGGATCGTAGCTAAACTGGCGCCTCCGCCACTGATCGTACTGTCGGTAGTGGCTAAAGAGGCGGCGACGTCGCAGGATTAGCTGTTTCTTGGCCTCCAGCACCTCGTCTTCCTCGACGAAGGTGCGCTCCTGTGAGTTCTTGAGGATGCCGCGCTGCTGGGCAAACTTCCGCTGCTTGTGGGCGCCCGCCTGCAGAGGCAGGATACGTTGGACGGGCTCTCTGTCTCTGTCGCGCTGGAGCAGCTGTTGGTCCTCCAGGTCCTTGTCAAGCGCCTCATCCGCTGCCTCCACCTCGATGTCCTCGTTGCCCACCTCTAGGCTGTCCACATTCTCCAGCACATTGGCACCCACAATGGACTGGTTGTCCACGCTGGGACCGCGCACATAGGTGTTCACCGGTGTGCCATGACTATGGCCATGTCCATGGCTGGAAGCCGCACTCACGGCCGCCGAGGAGGCTTCGCGGTGCGCTGGTTGCTAGCTCTCCACATCCGCCTTGTGCAGCAGGGCGAACTGGCAGCCGCAGTCGCGCTCCAGCTCCCGGCGTGGATACTGGAAGCAGCGATCGAAGAGGCCGCAGCCCTCGCACCTGGGCAAACACTGTTTGATTGGCCAAAAGAAAGCCAAGGGAGAATCGGAAGAGGAGCAGCAATAGCAGTAGCAGGAGCGCAGGAACAAGATCAGCAGGCGAGAGAGCGAAGTGAAAGTAGGGAACGTTTGGTCAGTGAGATCTCGGGAAGGCGCCAACCTGAACAGCAAAGCTCGAAACCAAAAACCAAAACTGCTAAATGCGATTAAAGGACAGAGGAACTTCTCTAGCTCAGGGAAATCAAAGCTGACTTGGTAATACTTTTTTAATTTGTATCAAAAATTTAAAAAAATATATATTTAAATCGTGATTTTGCAACGTTAACAAATAATTTTAATAAATAGGTACTAAATATTATTTAATATTAATACCCTAATAAATATTACTTAGACTTTAAGTTATCCAAGAAGCTATCAAATACTTAATAATAAACCCTTTTAAAATACAAAAATGTACTTTAAATTACCCATAAAAAACATCAAATCGTTTTACTTCGACCTCAAGTCAGAGAAGTTCCTCTGTTTATCTATGGAATGTGGATAGTACGATAGTACGAGTTGTAAATTAGAGGTGTTTCTCATTTGCATAGCGCATCCTGAGCTTAACGAATCTAGGTGGAGTCTCTAGTTGACTTCGGTTAGCCGAAGACCTCATGCACTGCAGAATGACCCAGAACGAAGCCAAAGTTCTGGGGTTCTGTAGAGCATATGCCCCCAGACTGGTGCCAGAAGCCTACGGAAAAGAAAGCTGAAAGAAATGCAAAACTAGCACGTGCTTTCTTATTAAGCAAATCATAAAGAAAAGTAGGAAAAGTCTAAAAGCTAGGAAAACGCGTTGAGATATTATTTATAAATATTATTTATTTAAACTATTAAAAACCCCCGCTTAAATCAACGGACCACAAGACATGGGGAAAAAATATATCTAAAGCAGAGCCATTCTCGGAAAATGCAAAAAGGATATCATTTCTATCGGTCGTTCGGGGTTTTTTGTGCACAGATTAAAAAGGAAATGGTGTTCTGGGTTCAACAAGAGTCAAATATTTACTTGAAATTGATGCATAGAAAAAAGCGTATAAAATGCAGAGATATATAGATATATATTTTGTTTTGGTTTCGTATAATATGCAAGTAGTTGGAAGAATTTGTTATTTTGAATACCTTGACAAAGAAATCGGGGTGTAGGTTCTAAAAATGAAGCATAACAAAAAAACGAAATAGAGATAAGTTCCTTCGCGAATATGTATGTATCCGAGTACTTCTAGAAACCCCATTTCCCGCACCAGCAACCATCATCATCAACATCATCATCATTCCCAACATCCCTCTACGGATTCCCCGCGGACTACGAACCTGGTGTGAATGTTGGCCATTGCATCCGCCAGCGCTGCACACTCCTGTGCCTGGCACTTTGAGCTGTTCATGCTTATAGTCCGGCTGATAGGGCAGCAGCATCCGGATTTTGCCCCAGCGATTGAAGAACAGAGCAATAGCCCCAGCCCAAACCATCAGCACGATTAGGACAATGCCGATTTCAACGCCGCGGATCTGTAAAAGGTTATTTACAAAATAAGTACATAAATTAATTAATTAACAATTAAATATATACACAAAAAATGCATAGTTAAATGAATTCATTAATTAAGTTGCATTAAATCCAATCCTTACTGTTGGCAATTCCCTGGTGGTGCCATGTGTCAGCGTGTTTGTGGCCGTGGAGGTCACATCGTCGCCAAAGATGCTGGCATTTCCGGTTCCGTTGCGACCGCCATTGCTGCCATTGCCATAGATACCCGGCGGAAAGTCCTGCTGCGAGGTGTTCTTGGGCAGATCTATTTTACATAACCAATATATTATGATTCCTTCTGAGGCTCATATATCCCTCTAAACTCACCCAGCGTCTTGAACTTGATCTGGCCCCGACTCCGGTACTTCTTGCCCTGCCAGATGGCCGTCACAACGAGCGAGTACTGTGTGCTGGGCAGCAGGCGATCCAGGACAATGGCCTCGCTGCTGCCGGCGACGTCCTGTACAACCCTGTAACTTAAATTAATTCAATTACCACTCTCGAACGGCAGCTAAGGGGGGGAATGGGGATAGGTGGTGGACTGTGCCCGGGATTGTGCAGTCGCGTAGGTGTAAGAGTGTCTGACCACTTGGGTGTATGTAGGTGGGTGTGCGTGTGCACAGAGAAAAAATAATATACATATCTTCAGAAGAAGGCAGAAAGATTTTACCCATTTTATATAACCCTTTATGGTTTCCTTTCTAATTAGAAGTTAATTTTAATGAATTATTTAACAGCCAACATCCCGTTAATTAGAAATTCCATACTCTGTATATACCTATATATAACCTAAATTTATAACTAGTTCATATCTGCTCTCTCTCAGTGTGTTTGCTCTAATTGAAGAAACTACAACAGTCCAGGACATTGAAATATGAGGCAGGTCCGTGTTGGTAATTACAGCATTGGCCAATATTTCACTTTGTCACTTTCGCCAGAGCAGTTACCAAACATGTCCTAGATTTGCCAATTGAGCTCACATTACCCAGGCCCCGCTGCTGGCCAGGATCCAGGCCTTCTCCTTCTCTTCCTTTCCCCCCCAATGCGTGGCAGCAAAAGTGGCGCCGACTTCTGGCCTCCGTGCACTGTCTCCTATTACTATATGGCTATAACAACAGTCGGACAAATGATTCATTATTCATACATGTATCACATGTACGGATGGTGTGTGTTTGTGTGTACTTCCACGAACCCAACTAACATATATAGATATGGCGCAATGGCCCCCAGTGGAACCGAAGTCCAAACAGAGAACAGAGAACACAAAACAGAAGTGTACCGCATTTTGCTTGTACTGACTTGGCAGACGAAACAAAAACAGCGACCGGCAAACGTAAATGTAAATGTTGAAAAAAAACAAAACACAGGTAAACATTTCCGGATAGCCGATTTAATAATGCCCTGAATGCATGCGGGCAATTCCGAAAAAATCGTGCAATTAAATATGCAGCTTTTAAATTGTTTGTAATATATGCGTTTTTGAAATTAATTAAAGCAACTGGTTGCTTATATGTATATTAATTTAAGCTTTTATTTAGGAGAATAATATAAGGCTGACGTGTTTTATTGCAATGTTTTAAAGCTCAAAAATATCTTTCATATTTTTTAAAATTAAGAAATAAGAAATAAATTTGGTGATTCTAATAGAGACTACGATCTCTTTTGAAATAATTATATAAAGATTTTAAACTTCAATCATCAAAATTAATTTTTTGGAAAAACCTTGTTAAACCCTGCCAAAGAGCAATACAGCTACCAAAGCTCAACCTCACGGAATTCGGCACCCAAAAAGAAAGATAGTCTCCAAATATCCAACATTAAATTATATATTAAATTCTTCTAAATAAAGTAGCTTTAGATTCAGTCTTCTAAATATTCCTCTATTATTTTTTTGTGTTGCTGGGAACTTGATTAAAAAAGTCCATTTTTTTTTCCTTTTCCTGTCACATGCTGTTTGATTTTGCAACCATGAAATTGCCACTGCTGATCTAATCAATATGCACATAATTAAGCAAAGATTTTTCCATATTAGATAAAGCTTTGAGTACCCTTCAAAGCCAGGTATTCAGGTTACAGTAAGAGCCTTGCTGCTTTAGTTAAATTTAAGAAAATAAATGATAAGATAAGAAGATCTTATCAGAACCAAATGATATTATGTTTTAAATTTTTTAAGGAGGTTTCTTTCGTTGAAAATATCCACGGACTTTTATTATGAAGCTGCATAAAGAACATAAATTTAAGAGCTTATTCCATAATTCAATAAATGACAAATTTCTTAAGCTTTGTATTATTATAAGAATTAAGTTACCCAATGTTAAATATATTATTAATAAAGGCTACACTGCTGTTGAATTTTTTAATATTTTAAAAAATTATGGAAAATTAGATATGTTTACCTTGACTTAAACGGGTACTTTTATTATAAATATAATTTTAAATTAAATATCTAGGCCATCATCTTGCAGAGAAAAACCAATATCATGAACATTACAACCAAGAAAGGTCGTTAGGTAGCTCTGAAACCAACTGGAATCCCTACATCCCTCCCAGAAATCCTCCCCTCATCCCTACAATTGATACGCTATAAGGACTTAAGCAGGCACTTACGCTTCATTGTGAATTTACATCTGGCTGGGCCGCAAAAAACGGGAGCTCCACTTCCACTTCGCACTCCGGCCAGCGGCTAAATAATTGATTAGCCATGCCGTTTGCACATGTGTCGCATCCATCTGCACGCAGCCAATAGACCCTTTCTGGCCGCAGGGTAACTGGAATTGGGCCAGTCGAGTGCAAACACCGCCCATCCCAGCCATCCCGAGCTGATCCGCTGCCATATGTGACAGTGACAGCGCCAAGCGAATGTCTAAAGTTTCCACGTTAAAGTTTTCATCATGTGGCGACGCCTGGGGCAAATCAAATTTAATCCTCGCCCCCATGTCGCTTTGACTTGGCTATTTGGCATTAAATTCGCTCGGAGGAAGGCGCTTATTATACACAATTTAAACTCACGCGAAGGCTCAAATTTTCTGGGGCGGATCCCGTACCCTTTGCCGGCCCATAAGAAAATGCAGGCGAGCAGGAAGGAAGTTTCTAATTTTCTCGCCGGCTTCTCGCCTCTCCCTTTACGGCCTCTGGGCCGGTGGGTGAGTCATTTGGAATTCAGAAATATGGCGGGATGAATGTGCATTTCGGCTGGGCTGTTCCTGGTTTTTTTTATTTTATTTTTAATGTGCCCCCTTTGTGAGCTTAATCCAGTTCGTTCCGGTGTGATAAATAAACAATTAGCTTACGGGACGCCAGAAGTTTCGTATTCGTTGCTCAAACTTCGCAGTCACAGGCCGACATGCATACAATATGTCATACAATATATATATTTGCCCACGAAGGACGCCAGTGTCGGTGGGGCATCAGTTGTTATTTAATAACTTATGACGTTCGTGGACTGGTTTTAAAAACTTTACTTTATGAGTGCTTGGCGCTAACAGTTATCGGGTCTCGTTTGATTGGTTGTAAAAGAGTTACGCCCGGCATTTGCATTTTCATTAAATGAAAAATTCAATTAAAAATACGCATACGCCCCGTGGGACAGCTCTATCAATGTTCAATGAACTAAACAAGAAAGTGAAGGGCATATGGAATAGTTATCTATGCCAACACAAATTTCCTGATAGCTTATACCTCCCTATGTTCTGTGTACAAATCAAGACTTGTAGGTTATGCGTCGGTGTTCCATTTCATTTCCTGTTACTGTGCACTTTTATGGCTTATTCTGGAAAATTTATGTTGTCATCGCACACAGAACGACAAAGACGAAGCAGCAACTCGGCCGAAGGCACTCACAAATCTCATCCGCTTAGCCATTACCCAGAGAAACTATAGCAACCCAAGTACAGAAACATATGTGTGTACATATAGGTTATTGGTGGGTAACTTCTATAGTAGCTAGGTAGCGGGGCCTTGACATTTCAATTTTAATAATGTCAAATTGGCTGTAAAAAACGCAGATAACGATAATGAATAAAATCTAGCACACGGCTATTGATTGCTCCCGCCTACTTCTACTTCTCCATTGTCCTCCGTCTCCTTCTAGTGCGCACATGTCCTCCCCGCCCCCTTTTTAGGACCCTTCCTTCTGCCACCTCCTCCGCCTCCTCCTCCGCAGGGACAGTAATTGTTATTAATTATTATTGTTATTGATGGTGCTTGACATGCTTGGACGTATTGAACTCCAACCCCCTACAACGGACACACATTGTTCGTCAAGAATTTCATAAATCCACTTAGCAATTTGGAGCATGCAGGGAACACTGAGAGAAATACTATCAGGTATATTTTATTAAAGTTAATAAAGAAACTTTACTACAACTTTAACGTTGGCGATTTTACTGAATTCGAACTTGGGAATTATAAGCACACTTTTCGAAACAACTAAATTTCGTGGACATTCTACTCTAACTTTCTTAAATGTTTTTGTTTTATATAAACTTTCAGTCAAAATGTTTTAAATATAAATAAACTTAAAAAATTGAAAATTATATTAAACATGGACTTACGAGAGATCTTAGAAATGATCGATATTTGAAGCGAAGTTCGATATATAAATCGATCTTCAAACGTTACGATAAATGTGCCAAATAATTGCAGGAAATAATAATAAAGAGATTATCAAAAATGTAAGTTTAAAGATGTTTCAATTGTAATTAATATAAAAATATGTTAATTAATTTAATAATGTTTATCGAATTTCCTTGGGATCACATCGATAATATTGATATTTATAGATAATGAAATATTTTAGATTTATTAAGTATCGATATATGAGTTTATTAACGTATCAGAGTTTCTTCTCGATAAACAAGTCTTTAAAATTATTAAGAAAAAAGTTAACAATAAATCTTAATGTAAAATAAACTCTAGCTTCCACAACCAATTTTTCCCTGTGCATCGATACGTAGATAGCGACGTATGTATGTGGCTATATGTGCTCTACCTGTAGTTGTCAGAAATGTCTAGGACAAAAGTCTATTCCACTTGGAGGGCTCGAGCCTCGAACCTAAGGCAAAGCCCAAGCTAAAGCCAAAGGGAAAGCCAAAGCTCGAGCCGACTCACCGTCAACGTGTCTATGTACTAATCATACATTATTCACGGGCACAATTTACTCGAAAAACGGCAGGAAGATAGAGCCCACCGGTCGGGTCCGTAGACCGCCAACCGCCCACCATAATGACTGGCAGTCGGAAGTATGTAATACAACAAAAATCGATAGGAAAGTAACACAAAAATTAAAAACAAACTGACTAATAAATAATGACCGGGCGAAGGGACCTCCACTCTACCGAAAAGCCAAAGCGCCAGGGCAACACAAACAAGAAGCACAAGTTTTGTAATAAAATTTTTGACATAGGCGTGAACCTCATGGAAGACGGACGGAGAGCAAAAAAAAAAAAAAAAAAAGACCAACAACGGGGCGAAGGCTTAGCATTGGAATGGCGGGCAGTAAAAGACAAAACACGCTCGTGCAGCCAAAACGCACACACAGCAACGGCGGCGGCAGCCATTAAATTGAAAAACACCTTGGCCAACAGTCAGCAGCGGACTGCAGTCAAAAGGCACAAAAGCCGAGCACTTAACTTATTACACGGCCGGCATTTCATGGCAGCGCGAATGGGCTAAAAGAGCGACGCGGACGAGCTGAGCTGAGCTGCCACGCGGACTTGGGCCCAGCACGGAGCGGAAGTGCTTAGTTTGTTGGCGAAAATATGCAAGCCATTCGGTCCAGCCCTACCTCCTATGGTCTTTACATGCACTAAGAGAAGAGGGAATGCATATTTAATTTAAGAAAGAGATATTCTTAAGTAGTGAAAGCAAATTGCTGCTTGGAATCTGGCTAAAAGCATGCTTAAAAGTATGCAACGAATTGGGGGTTATAAATTTTGTGTTCATTTGAAATATTTTTTTAAGATGTGTAAGTTAGACACTATTTTAAGGAATATTAAAAACTTTGCTAAAATAATATTAATAGATTTTAAAGATAATAAAACTATAGACATTTCCGTGGCCCTTCAGTTCATAAAGTAACATCTTTCAGAATAATTCTAGAATCAGTTCAATCGAATTTTATTTCACTGATATTTTTATACCACCCTGGAAAATTAAAGTTATATTTTAAGGGATAAAGATAATCATTTTATATACTATACCCATACAAAAGTAGATCATTTTAAAGGAGTTTATATAAAGACTGAATAAAATAATTTTATTTGTCATCTAATTCTTATTAAATGTTAAATAACAGTACCATAACAATAGAAATAATTGTATATTTCAATTTTATCTTTACCAAGCTCTAATATTTTTTCTCATATGTGGATACATGTATCATATAATATACCGTATTGTATATATAAAAGCTTGTTCTTCCGGTGGCCACGCAACCAACTCGGGCGTTGAGAAATGGCAATCAACGCGGATGCAAATGGGAAGCATGTGAAGGTGGCAAAGGCAACGGCAACGCCAGAACCCTGGCCCCAGCAAGATGGTAAATTGCTGGCCAGAGACAGCTGCAGCTGAGCTGCATCAGTTCGGTAAATCATCGAGAATATTTGCCAAGAGAGTTAGCAGAAAATGGCACGCCAACAAAGTCCCTGACATATGTATGAGCACATGAGCATGAGCTTCCTGAATTTTGACTGCAATAAACATGGCGGTTAAATAGAGGAAAACTGTAACTTTGGCAAAGTCAAGTTTTTCGCAAATCAAAGCCAATGAAGTGGCAATAATTTGGAATGCATAAAGTTTGTAAACTTTGAAATATTAAAGAAACAAAATGTAGTTGTTAGTTGACTTGGTTTTAAGTCAGTTTCAAGGGTACTATAACTTAAGCTAAGGTATTTTTTCATTTAATCATATTTAAAATGCTTACAATTTAATTTAAAGAGATCTCTGCTTATCCCTTCTTGTAAAAATAATATCTTTTGCTCAATTTTAGCATGAAAAGAAGGAAAAACTTCGCCAAAGACCCAAAATAATTGGAATTTTTCCAGCCAGCCAGCCAGCTGATATTTGCAATTTGGCATAAAAGTTTGCCGCTCTTTGCGGCTCTTTGTGCGAAATTTCGCATTTTTCTGCCCTGTTCCAGTTTGTTTTTTAAATAACTTTACTTCAAGTACACGCCGCCTTTTGTTTTTCTTTTGGCCTGCATTCGCGGTCAATTTGGCCTCAAGTTTCCCATTTTCGTGCTGTTTTTGCTTGCTACTGTTTCTGGCTCCTTGGGGTTTTCCCGCCCGCTCCGTTTGGCTTACTTAGCTCGGCGGCTTGTTATTTAGCTCATGGCCAAGCAAACACTCGCACGCCGCACACACCGCACACAACGCACACCATCACAAACTTTGGACTTGGATGCGGGGCACACACAATTCTGCTGGCGCAGACAGTGTTCACGACTGACCGCTGCCACGCCCCCCTGCCCCCAGGCCCCGGGCTATTGGCCACAAAACTCACTCCAAAACCAACGTCAATTGCAGGCAGAGTTTTTCCTCTGTCCGGACGCACTCTGCATAAATGCAATTGCATTTCTCTCAAAGCACAGAGAGAAACGGGATCAAGGTTGTGGGATTAAGAGATTTATCTTCTTGAATTGCTTAATAAATGTCTCTTGCGCCATGAAATGATTTTTTAAAATTTATTTACAGATGCAGAAATGAAATTATTAAGTGTTTTAAGCAATTTTGTAAATACTTTTAAATACAAAAATCTGTATAGAATTAATATTTCTTATTCTTGCCTTCCCTGAGTATAAATTTAAATTAATATAAGAATCAACATGATAATCATCCCTGTATTAATTTAAAAAAAAGTGAAACACACAAAATCTCCAGTTATTAAACAAAATATATTTAAAAAAATAAAACCTGCCATTACCTAAAACCACATTTAATAGAAAACTTATAATTAGATCCCCGAACCAGACTAAAATCTATCCTTTATGCTAAAGATACAAGTACCTTTTTTTTAGTATACATTTCCACCTACCTAATTAACTTGAAAAATACATAAAGCAATTCAAAAAGTTCAAATAAAGTTAGCATAAAATATAAGCATAGAAGGGGTTCAACTTCATACGCAAAACTTTCTCTTTCGGTGCACTTGGGTAGCCTCAGACGGTCGTGAGGACCTTTTAAAACCCGTCAGTTTGGTTGAATAAGTGAGGAAAGTGTGCTCTGCCATCATTTAGCCAGTCAAGTGGCCGAGTGGATTGAGTTTTAGCTTTGTTAGTAGTACCTACCTGTCATCCGTTGGCTTGTACGTCACAATGTACTTCTCGATGGGATGTGCCTTCAGATCGATTTGCGTCTGCCACGACACACGGACCGCCGTGGGCGTCAGAAAGGTGACGGTTATGTTCTCCGGCGTAGCCGGAATGGTGCCTATTATAACAATAATTGCTTGTTATTATGCTATTATCCCCGGTAAACGATTATACATATACATATATATTGAGTGTATAGTAATTCAGCAGCGCCAGCCAAGTTATTACGTCTGGCGGGATTAACTGGGGTATGTGGTTGGAGCCGTGTCGTAAACGACATTCAGCCCCTAAGTTGGGTCATAAAATTAGCAGCTTTTCGGCTTTACTTCAAGTCCTCTTTGGGCCAAAGGAAAACAGATTAGATGTGACAGTCTGCCCTGATCCCGCTGCCAATCAGTTATCAATTGACCAGTCTGGGGTAAGTCTGGCTCAAATAAATTTCATCAATTTTAACAGCTGCCTCTTGGTTCCTATTTATGTCAGCAGCTTTAATTTGATTTAACGAAATCTTTAAATTTAATAAATTAACCAGAAAATGTATTTATTTTAAATGTGTTACCGATTATTAAAGTATATAAAATTATCAAGAATACTCTTTAATTTGGCCAGAAAATTAATTTATTTTAAATAGATTTACCTAACTATTCAGTAGGATTAAGTTATCAAGGAAAGTTTACAAAAACTAAGAAATATTTTGGCCATCAATCAATAAATTTAGAAAGACATTTGACCTACATTTCTTTACAGCAGACTTTAGACAATAAAATACCTAATGCCTACATTTGATTAAGTATTTTTAGTGAAGTTTTATTGCTTCAGACAACTTGAGCATTGAAGGCCCTAAAAATCAACAAAAGATTAAGCAAGACAGCTTCAAACTAGTTTTCAGTTAACCATTTAGTTATAGTTTTTAAATTTCTTAAATATTTATTAACCATATCACCGTCTTCTGTTATTTTACTGTTAAAATCTCCTATTTCTTTGAAATATATTAATGAAAATTATCTAAAAGCTGACAAGAAAACGTGTAATATTTTTCTTAAATTTGGTAACTTTTATTATTAGTTATTAAAATCTCTATATTTATCAAAGCAAGAATGTTTTAAATAAGAATTAAAATTATAATAAGTAATAGTGTTATATATTTTATTAAACCCTTAATTTATTTAACCAATTTTAACCCATCGACCCCTGACTCATTGACAGCCTGTTCTTGGCAATAAAGCACCTTTATTTTTATTTTAGTTAGTAAACTAGCTAAAAATAAACCCAGCTTGGACACAAACAAACTAACGCTAACTATTGCTGGCCCTATTCCCAACTGGAATAAATGAGTTTATTAAAGCCCCCAGAGCTGGAGCTGGACCTGGAGTTACTTTTTGGCAAATCCGCAACATAGTTGCTAGTGAAAGCAGGGCTTAGGACCCTAAGTTCCGGAACTTAAAGGGGGAGAATAGTAGGTACCAGGGAAAGGGAGCACTACTTACCCGCCAGGCAAGCGTTAACAAACAGCACGGCTATGAACACAAACATGCTTCCTCCGTACGAATCCGAATCTGCTCGCCTTTGTTGTTTCCTCAGCTGCTTTCGGCGGCTGCTTCTCTATATATTTCCTCTATATATTTCCCAGTTTCCCTGCGGGTGGGCGGCGGCGTTTTCTCTTTGCTAGGGTTTCCGCTTGGCTAATTCGTTGTTGCAGTTTCGTTGCGGTTTTTGCCTTTGTCAAATAGTTGCTGCTTCTGCTGCTGTTTTGTTTAAAAATAATCTAACTAAACATAAAAATCAGTCTTGCTTTAGTCCCGCACACTCCTTGCTTTTGTTTCTTGTTAAATCAATTTCTGAAGTTCTTTAAATGTTTAAATGTTCAAAAATGTTGCTCAATTGTGCCGCTGCAGCTGTTCGATTGCCATTTCCATTTCAATTTCCGCTCGTTTAGTGCCTGGCTTTCCTGCTAATTGACTTTGTCAATGACATTTGCATTAAATTTCCTCCAGCTCTGATATATTTATGTCCTTGGTGGTTGGGGGTGAATTTATGCGTGTATATTTTTATAACACATTTTTATGGGTCTCGAGCTCGGGCTGGGGCTGGGGCCGGGTCTGCTCCGTGTGCGCGTCCGTCTCTTCAGTGTGTCTCCTTTTTTGAATCGTCATCGAATCGAATCGCATTTGATGAACGTTCCGATAGTACGCTATTATATAGTGAGCTTCTTGGGAAAGTTGCTGGGGTGAGGGGAGGAGGAGCGGGGAATATATTCCAACAGTTTTTCTCTGTTTCGTGCTCAGTTCAACTGGGGAATTATTCACATTGCGTTCGCTTTTTGTTTCTATTTGGTTTGTGTTTGTTATATTTTAGGTATTTGTTGTTTTTGTTGTACTTGTTGTATTTGTATTTTCTGTTCCTCTGCGGCTTTGTGTTATTTTTCCTGGCTGCTCATTGCTTTTCGGTGTTGTTTGCCGCCGCTGCTACTTGGGCTTTATAAAAATCAATAACAAAAGCGACTTTTTGTCTGACAGCCGTTGATTTGGATGGCAACCTAAGTGAGTTTTTGTTTCTGTGCTTCCGTTTTGTGTTTCTATTGAGGTTTCAATTCGGTTTCGGGTCTTGGGTTTTGGGTTTTGGACTTTGAGCCTATACCAAAATTAATTCAATGCGAAGGCCCCCAGGCGACCACCTGCCACCTGCCACCTGTCGTCGCCGAGTCCCTGCGTTTCTTCTCAGCTGGATTCCTTTGTAATTTCTGCGGTTTCCTGCCGCTGTCGCCTTTTATTTAGTTTGATACATTTCGTATTTTGTTAACAATTTCGGCATAATTGCCAAAGCGTTTAGGCCGCATTGCTCGCTCGCTCTCCCGCCCCGCTCTCAGTGCGTAGGTATGTGATGTTTTTTCTGTTTTGATTTCGATATTTGTTTTTGCTTCCCTTTTGCGGCTTGCGGCATGCGGTTAATTATGGCCCCGCTTTTGTTATTGTTTTTGCGTTGAACTTTGGGGTTTGGAGCGAAGAGGCTGCAATAAATCAGAATGGCATTAATGGGCCGAAGGCAAAATATGCGCATATATTGTACATATATATTTGTGCAAAAACTATACCAGGTGTTTGTGTGTGCGTGGAGCATTTACATTAATTATAATGAGCTGTGTTCTCGGCTCAATCACAATTAAGCGAACAACGCTTCATTCGTTATTCATAAGCCAGATCGAAAAGCGAAAGAAAAACAGAATGAAAGGCAATTACATTATGTGCTGCATACTTTTTGGGGCCGCTTTAATTGGCATTGCGCATACGCCATGGGGGCCGCCCCAAAACTAACCACACAGACACACGCTTACAACAGACACACACGTACGCTGCATATCTAATGTGTTGTACATAATCCCATATTCAATCCATGCTTCATCTGCTGCAGACAATTCAATTTGTGGATTGTCCTTACCCCGATCATGCGTGTGTTATGTGGGAATTTGCCTTTTCCATTTTCCCTTTTCGCCTTTCCTGCCTTTGTATTAGCATGCACGAGTGGAAACTATATGGTTAACATGTCTGTGGCTCGTGTTTCTCTCCCTTCATAATAGTTTTCACCACGCCTCCCTCAACCTGTTGGCCATATAAATTTTGAGTCCTGTTTTCTGTGATTTTACGCCTTTGCCGTACAGGGTAAACCAATAACGTGCAACACAAGTGTATCGCAAGTGCCTGCAATATTTCCTTTTATTGGCAGTGTAAAGGAATATCGTGCCCAGAGGACTCTTACCGATGCCACTTGCTGGGGAAAACCAATTGGGGAAAGGGCCATCAAAGGCCTGTAAAAAAAGGGACCCGCTCTTTATGGGGCAACTTTGAAAAGGAAAAGTCCTGAAGGGACCAAGAATTTCACGATGGCCACAAATCTGTTTCCCTTAAACGTGTTGATTGTGTTTAGATATTTGAAATTTACGCAGCATAAAAGTTACTCAAAGTTCGACAAATACTTGTGGAGTAGAAAACCCATCATCTCTATGGCATTTAAGAGTCGTTGAAACTTTATTACGTTTCCTGTCATGTCCAGCAGCAGCAGTATTATCCTAAGTGACTGATAATCTTTTAATACATCAAATTGTTCAACTTTTAATCATTTCGTTACAAAAATGAGCACTTGCACTTAGGTAAATAACTTCAGTTAGCAGCTGTCATGGCCAGTATCAACATCTCTCGACCACGCCCTGCTTTAATGTCCGCCTCTTGACCGCTCGCCGCCCGGCAACCGCTCGATAGCCATTAAATTTATGCATTTATGTCTCATTTTTCGTCGGACGAGGAGAGACGGGAGACCCTTAAAAGTTTTATGAACTTTTGGCATACACTTTGGCATGCTTGAGGCTTTCGGGGCAAAGATAGCGTCAGCCATGAGAGAATGTGTAATGAGTGAGCGCACTCGCTTTGCAATTTAAATGATAATTTTTTTCGTTGTTGCACGCAGTAAGAAGTAAATAAGGAATTAAATTTAAAAATTCCAAGGCAGTGGATTACATTAAAAAAGGGAATAATAAAGCAGGACCCACGCAGTGTCGCGTATGGGGAGTGTGTTGCTAAATGCCAACAAAGCTGCAGTTGTCATAAAATGCAAATCACATTTTTCTTATTTGTAAAGCTATTAAAATTAAATAAGAAATTATAAAGGAGAGGACCAGTAGAGGTTTTCTCAAGGTGGAGGGGGAATTGTAAGGAAGTCTTATAAGGCTAGCAAGTTATTATGTTGATTTTCAAGATGTTTGATATTGAAATTAGCGGAAAAAATAAAAAATTTGAATGCATTTTCTCATCATAAAATAAAAAATCTGTTTAATAAAAGTAAATAAGAAGGGAATAAAAGTTCTTAAACATAAAATACGTACCAAAGGATTTATTTAAATGAAAGAAATGTTTTTTAATAAGCAAAAATATATAAATATGTAAATAAATACGTAAAAACTATACAAGATACTGCAAAATATTTTAAAGTATTTTATATATTTATTTTATGCCGCTTTTAAAATAAATAAATGAGTCATTATTTGTTTAATTTAATTCAAACTGTCAAAATTAAGATAAAAAATAATATATTTAACTTGTTGGCTTTGTAGGAAGGTATGTTACTATTATAAAAACTATAATCTGACTTGAAATATTGTGAAATATAATAAGTATTCAATTGTAATTGTCATTTTCATTTTAAAAATACTACCAACAATAATAAACAACAAATTTAAGAGTGTTCTGAGTGTTTGTCTGGCCCGAAAAAGCTGTCTGCTGGTAATGTCATTATTTTAAAGTAATAAAAGAATTAATTTTTAATGCCAAACGTATGTTTGTTCATATATAAAAGCATACGTATAAATGTCATTAAAACTGGGAATAATAAAACTGAATTAAAAACGGGTGACGCATGGCGGGAGAGGGGCCAAAAAGGGGCGGAGGGATATTGGGTGGAAATTAGGGAGCGAGTGCATGCATTCCCGCAATGGCAAATAAGTAGGTGAAAGCAGTTATCGTAAAATGAAAATGGCGGCTAGTACGCGCTGTCGCTTTCGCTTTCGCCACCGCTCTTAATTATAGCGACGTCACATGCACACACACACACACACCGCATAAACACACTCGCACACACACACTCTCTCACCCATATACCGGAGCTTCAGTTGATAATTTTTTATTGCATACACTGCGGCGCAGAGCGAGAGAAAGAGAGAGGAAGAGCATGCGACTCCTTTGGCATTTTGCGGGTCGCTGTTTGGCTTTGCTGCCAACTGGCTTTGCTCAGGATTGTCAGACTGGCAGACAATAAATCAATCAGCTGAGCCAACATCAAATTCCTGCGCAGACAATGCTCCTTTGCCATCTATATTCCAGCATAGTGGCGTAAGCGAGCGCTGGTGTGTGTGCGCTATTAACAAAAAGGTCAACTTAGCCGCTACAATTGAAGCCGAAAGCCGCGAACGTAGGGAAGACGAGGAGCGGCGGCGGGCAGCCGCTGGAAATTGGGGAAAATGAAGGAAAAAGGCTTGTGCGCTGCGCTCAAGCTTTTACACCAGTGCACACTCTCAAAAAATGTGGTGTTATTTGACCTTTTTTTTAAAGGCCTTAGGCAGTTAGGCAGGGTCAACACTGCGTATGTGGAATATTTTTTGGTGATGTATGGTGGTATTTTGGCCTTTTTGTTTAATACATTTTATAATATAAATTGCTAAAAACTAAAGTGCTAAATGTGGTGTTATTTGACCTTTTATTTTAAGATATTAGCTCTTAGGCAGAGCCCACACTGCGTATGTGGAATATTTTTTAGGTGATGTATTGTCGGACTTTGGCCTTTTTTTACTGAATTTTGTTATATAAATTGCTAAAAGCTAAAGTGGTAAATGTGGTGTTATTTAACCTTTATTTCAGAGCCTACACTGCGTATGTGGAATATTTTTTTGGTTAAGTATTGTGTGACTTTGGCTAATTTTTGTAATACATTTTGTAATATAAATAGCTAAAACCTAAAGTGGTATATCTTTATTTTTTTCGTAAAGCAACGACTATAAATATAAATAATAAATATTTTACTGATAAACAATTGGTCTTTAAATAAAAACAGAAAACTCAGAAAGCAATTGTAAAATAGCTTTTAATTTCAAATAGTACCCAACAATTTTTCCAGTGTAACTCTATCGTGCTGACATGTGTGTGTGTGCTTGTACAAAACCATGTAGAGAGAAAGAGAAAGCAAAAGAACGGGCGAGCGCATGCTATTATGTCCTGGCTTGGCTGTAAAAAACAAAAAAGAAAACGCTAGAGAAAATAAGGGAAAACACTTGACTCCAATTTCGGCGAGATTTTCAGCAGCAGCTCTGCCGGCAAGGGAATGCGATGGAAAAGCGAGAAAAGCGCGAATGCAGGCTGCCAAGGAAAGAGAGTGATAAAAAATTAAGCGCGAAATGGCAGGCTCAAGTTGGCTTTAATTGAATACTACTTTCAGCTTTAACCTGGCGAAAGAAAGAAAGAACCTGATAAAATAAGAATAATTGGAAACAATGAATGTGTTTTGTAGGGGAATCTCTCCGTTTGTATAGCAATTTTTCCTTTTTCTTTTTTAATGAGATGTCTGTGGATCCTGAACTTTTAGGTAGAAAAGAAAAGTTTAGTTGAAAAGTTGTAAAACTAGTCTAAAGGCTGATGCAATCTCAGGCAATGTAGCAAACTTTATACCACATAATACAAAAATAAATGCAACAAAGAAGGCCCTAAGGTGAAAGGATAAGCCCATGAGAATTTGATAATGTAGGAAAGTTATTAATCAATTTTACAGATTTAGTTTGCTTAGCCTAAGCAACATATGCAAACAAAAAGGACTCTAAAATCTAAAAACAAAGTTTTTATTATATAAATAAAGAAGTTGTTTTACTAAGAAAATGTACAGTTTAATGTGCTCTTTGTAGTTATATTAAACCGGATAAAATATACTTTAAAGTGTGTTATTTGAACTACAAAATTCGTAGAAATTCCTACAAATTATTTCCATTTATAGTTAATTCTTTGAACTACAAAATTCGTAGAAAATCCTTGAAATTGCATGTCCTGGTAGCAACAGAAAAGCTTCGTTTAGATATATCTGTTGTATACAATTAAATTCTTCTTTCTTTGTAATTGATTCAAAACAAATTACTTTTGAAACAACAACAAAACAACACACGATTCTAAGCTATTGAAGCATCAAAAAGTTTGAAGAATATAGTTGGAGACAATCAGGTTATAAAAGTTTGACATGTGTATAGAGTGAAAATCAAAAGACAAACTTTCTATGATTGAGCTAGGCCAGTTATTTTGGTTATTTATTGCTGAACTTGAAACATAATTTGTAGAAAAACTTAAAAGTAATATAACATAATGTGGAAAATAACAAAGAATATAATAACTTTAGAAACGAAAGTGAAATCTATTAAACAAATACATTTTCTCATTTAAAGATATTTGAGATATGTACATAGACTCAATAATAACCAAATATAATATAAATATATTTTTGTATATATGTATATAATCTCAATTAAGACCTCCTTCTGTTACACATATGTTAAAATTTTATTTATGAATGAAAATCATAATGAAAACACATTTCCAAACAAAAACAAGATCACCTGAAAGCTTGCCCCGGGTAATGAGTAATTCTGTAAAATTTAACTCACTGGTTTAATGAACTTTTTGATTGATTTATTTACCGCGGGGAATATGTATTTACAAACGCATTTTGTTTATATTTACGGGTGGGCTAATGGGGCCCAAACAACTTCCAGCGATGAAGAAATTTACATATTTAAGCTGCCAAACTCTGCGGCATTCGACGCCAGTCCAAAAATACCGGGAGCAAGTCGTGTCCAATATATATAGAATTGGCTGCATATATATGTATGTACATATCTAGGAAAGGAGCAGTGCCACATGGTGTGGCAACGGTGCAGTGCACGCAATGCGGCGGCGGCTGTGGTTGCGACGGATTTAAATTTAAATTTGAAATGAACATTACGCTTTCCGGGCATTTGCCGCGCCGATTTTCCCATTTTCTTTCATTTGACCTGTTCTAGTTTTTGCGGTGAATGTGCGGATATTTACTATATATAGGTTTATGACTGTGTGTGTGTGTGTGTGTGTGTGGTATGCTTTTGTTAAAAACGATTTGTTTATAACAAAGATCGGCTATTACGTGCGACTTGCTATGCCTCGAATGGATGGCCAAATGATGGCAAATAAAATGTGGAGGTATTGGGAGAATTGAGAGATGAAAGATGAAAAAGATTTACGGCTGTGCAAGGGCGAAGAATTAACCCAACACACACGAATTCAACACACAAGTTCACAAAAACAAAAACAAACTCAGGTTAATTGTAAATTCGTTGCTTATTTGCGCAAATAAACGAAACAGGGAGCATTAAAATTACTTTTTAATTGCCCCACAGCTGCGTCGTCGCTGCCTTTCTTCTGGCCAAGTTGAATGGCTGACAGAGTCCATTAGGCCATTTTCCGTTTCATTTCATTTTCGCTTTCGTTTTCATATCACTCTGTCTGGCTTGGCTTTGCTTTTCTTTGCTCTCTTGTTTCCTTTTTGGGGTTTAGGTTTTTGCAATTTAATTGGCTTAAAATTCCAGCGAGAAAAGCCGCAAAAGGACTCCAGGACTCGAGCCCTGGTTTTCTCCCAGCACTTGTTAATTGAGCGACTGTCGCAAAAGTAACCGCCAGTTACACAGAAAGTCAAGGAAGGGAAACAGTTTTTTGATATATGTTTTAAAATATAACCATAAGACATTTAAATTAATGTGAAATAGCTAATTTAAAATATTTTCAGGTTATTTTCAACTAGGAAAGTTTTAGCAATTAATTTACTTATTAATAAACAAGACAAAAATACAAATTGACAACATTTAAATGTATGGGAATGGCTAATTAAAACATTAAGGATCTATTTATAAACAGCAAAGTTTTGGCAGTTAATTTACTTATTTGTAAACAAGAAAAACACTAAAAAATTATTTCTATTAAAACAAGATAAAAACCACAACTTTTGGTATTCTAAAAACCAATTTTGAATACAAACTTTAAAAATAAATAAAACAATAAAATTTAAAACTTTATTTTTACTTTAAAACCCAAAAAAAGTGTCTTTAAAATTCAAAAGAATTCAAGATAATTTTTAAGTTTCTTCTATATATCTTAGATTCATTTTAAAGCCTTTACTTTTTGCTTTTTTAAATGCTATTTTTTTCCCTGTGTAGAAACAACCATTTTAACCGCTTGCGGGACCCTTGAAACACTCGCAAAAACACACAACACTCACACAGACACACAATGCCAAGCAGCTCTCAAAAGTTACACACAAACACAAAAGTTACAAGTGAATTTTGGCTTTTTATTTACTTTTTGCCGTCGGACTCTGGTTTAACCGGCTCAGCCGCCACCTGCTAGTGACACGCCTCTCTCCGGCTCGCCGCCTCCTCCTGTGGATCCCAGTCCCAGACCCAATGTCAATCCCAATCCCTACTCCAATCACAGCTGAAAGCGCGTGCATCCGCTGATAACGCCGAAAAACAAACACTTCACTGCGCTCAGTATTTCCTTTCTCTGTTGTCTGTTTTTTTTTTTCGTTCGGTTCAATTTGCTCTGCTATGTGTAGCCTCTGTCACTTCCACTTCCGTTTCCGTTTCCGTTTGCTCGTTGTGCTGCGGCCGACGCGAAAACTACTACTGAAATGGTCAGAGCAGAGCCCGCATGCAAGCCAAAAACGACAACGAAACGAGAGAGAGAGAAAGCTTTCCACTGCTGATGGTGTTGGCCAATTGTTTGGCTATAATATGGCTAAAATGAAGGTGGAAAATTCCAGGTGGGAGGTTATAATCGTATTTATTTATTTATTTAAATATTGCTTAATCTAAGTGACAAGTTAATTTCAAATGAAAGAAGTTGGCTTACTTTCTTCCAACTTCACCTAGACATATGTAGATTGCAATGAAAAAACTAGGTATGAGGTTTCTCTTTTTAGAAAATATTGTTTTCTTTTAAACCATTGCTGCTTTCATGGGTATAAACTGCCTCAATTGTTTTCACATCAAAACAATCTATATTATATTGAACACATTTCGAATTTAATTCAAGTTTAGTAAACCAGTTTAATTGTAATAAATATATTTACTGAATACAAATGTACACACTAAATTTATTGAAACATTTTCAATCAAAACAGAAAAACTGAAGTCTTAAGTGATATAAACACCGACTTTTAAAGTTTAAGGACTTGATATACACAAAATATTTCATGACTTTATACTTCTTACAATACTATTAAAACTAATTTGTTATATATGTTATTAAAAGGCTTTAAAGCAAACTTTCCTAAAACCCAAATTCCTATAATTTATGAATATATTGTAACCCTAAATTGCTGTGAATATTCAAGACAGAAAAAAGTATTTCGTCTGGCAGTGAAACCATTAATCAAATTATAAAAAAAAAACATTGCTCCCATGCTAGTTTCCCATACCCAATCCCCTTACCCTTTCTTAAGTAATTTCCCAATTGGGTGAGCTCAAACCATATTGGGCATCTCCAACTGGTAGGATTGTGGACACAAAAGCTCTCTCGTGCGAGCATTTCCCCCGTGGGCCAAGAGTGCTTGAGTTAAGAGAGGCCGAGCAGCTTTTCTTTAACTAACAATTCCTTGTGTTAGGTCGTGTTCGCTTTGCCAAGGCGACGATTGTCTTCGGCCTCTTCGGGGAAATTTGGGGGATGGTAAAACAATATTTGGGGGACTGGCCTGACTGAATGACTGACTGACTGACTGGCAGAGTGACAGACAGACCCATATTCCGAGCCAAAACAAAGAGAAAAGAAAGCGCATTGCCAGAGTTCAAGTGCGATGGCGGTGTGTGGCTTTTGTTTTTGTTGGCCAGGAAACGGGCGCCAATTCCAACGGAAATTTCAGTGTTGTTTTTAGCAAGCGCTTAGCTCTGTTTCCGTCTCCGCCTTCGCCTTCCCGCTTATCTGTTGGTTTAAATTAAAAGCATACTTAGCGGCGTTTAATTACTTATTCATGGACGCTCGCGGCCAAGCTCTGATTGGAATAGAGTCGCCTCGTCGCCCTTGCCCCTCCATCGCTCGTGTTGTTGTTAGGTTCTCCCTATTACGGATGCCATGGAGTTAACTGTCGGTGTGGGAAATAGGCCGAGAGCTCCGTTCCCTAACGATTCCCAAAGTTCCCAAGTTGTTTGATCGAATTTCAGTACTCTCCTTGGCTCGTCGTCTGCCTGTCAGCCAGTTTAAATTGTAATCCCGCGCCGTTTACATATATTTTTTTATTTAACAAAAACCCGTAATCATGGATGACATTAAGCGAACCTCGCTGAACAACAGCACGGTGACAATAAGGCCGCGGCTCATCTACGGTCTGCGGTCGGACGTGATTGGTAATATCCACTTTAACTTGACCAAGGAGGTCATCTATCCGGTGGAGGGTGTCCTGGCCTTTCACGATTACGTCCAGAACAAGCAGAGGTTTCTCAGGTGAGTGTTGGGTATATTCTGTGCTATATGATTAATTTTTCTAGTATTTATTATCCTCCAGATTGCCAGAGGACACCCGACCGGAAGTCATAGCCATCAGTTCGCATCGAAAATTGCTGGCGGTGCTAGAGCGTCATTCAAAGAAGTAAGGACTAAGGAGAAGTGTATAGCTCCAGAAATGGGGCTCTCATGGGGTCTAAGATCTGAGAAAGTTGATGAAGTTCTTCTTGTATCCGCAGAGGTGCTTACACAGTTTTCCCAAAGGCCTCTAGTCCTTCGGTTGGCTTCGGTTACCTTTGTGTGAAAAGCCGTATGACTTTGTGCCTTTGGTCGCACTCTGTGTGAGCAGCTCTGAGGTAAATCTCTAAAATACCATATCTGAAATTTAATTTAGTTTAATTAAATTCAATTAAATGTATGTTACTCTCTCCCCTTAGTGGCCGTTACATATCCGTTTATGAATTGGCTACCCTTAAGAAGCGTCGCCACCTAGAACTGCCCAGCAATCATCGCAATGCGGAAATCCAGCAGATGATCTTCACCAATGACTCCAGATCGGTGGCATTGGTCACCCATCCGCCAGAGGAGACTATAATCATGTTGGTACTGGATAAAACAAGCACGGTGCTCGAGGCAAGGGCCACGATTCCAGGTTCACATGGAGGAGCCGAGTGCATTGCTGGCAATCCGGCTGACTGCAGCTTTTTGGCTGTGGGCGGGGATCGCACCCTGCTGTTGATGAGCAAATCAGAGAGGGGTTTCAGCATAAGCAATAATCTGAAGGTTAAGTACAGGGTCACCTCAATGGCTTTCCTATCGCTGGATCTACTGATGGTGGGCACCTCGGATGATCAACTGATTCTCGTGGAGAATGGCGAGCAGAAGCTGGCGCAAAAAGCCAGCGAAGCGGACACCGTTGATCTAATGATCGATCAGGAGGTGTTCGATCGAGATCGGGAGATGCAGGATCACCGTTTTCTACCCACCCAGACGGTTAGTCTGCCGGATAAGAGAGTTCTTTGCATGACTGCCTTTCCCAAAGGCTTCGCCTATACCATTTTTAATAGAGCATTTGTTTTCGAGCGCGTTTCCAAGTTCAAGTTTGAGAGAAAGACTATACTGACGGTGCCCACGAATCTGTATGCGGAGCACATGTACCAGATACGGAATCTGGCCATTGATCATAAGCAGGAAACCGTGATAGTGACGACGTCTCACTCGCAGATCTATGTGGGCATACTCATAGTTCCAGAGACTTTAAAGACCAAGCAGTTGAAGTTTGAGCCGCTGGGAGTGCTCATCCATACGGGGGAAATCATAGCCATTTCGGTGTGTGCCTGGAAGCCGATTATCATGACTGCCTGTGAGAGAGGATCTTTAATTAATTCCAGTGTCTTTTCTATTTAATTTAACTTTCTTTGCAGCCAGGGATCAAACTATAAGGATCTGGAACTATGAGACTGCCTTAGTGGAGCTGGTACGCAAATTCCAAGTCGATGTAAACATTGTGGAGCTTGGTCTGACGGGTCATATGGCGGCCATTGGGTTCTCCGATCAGCTGCGCATAACCCAGATCTTTATGGATGATCTTAATGTGAGTTTCTCCTTGAAAGTATACTTTTATTTCAAGGGTTAACCTTAATTTACAACCTTTTCCTTATATAAAACTAATCTTAAATCCCAATTTTCCATTCTCCTTCTCAGATTGTGAAGACCTACAACTTTCCGCACTGCAATGCCGTGCGCTACTCCAACTATGGTCATTTGATGGCCGCCGCTTATGACAATAATATAGCCGTCACCTCCGTGTACACCCTGGATGTGGTGATCAACCTGAAAGGTCACAATGGCACAGTCCTCTCCGTGGCCTGGTCACGAACGGATAAATTCCTGATTTCTGGCGGGGCGGAGGGTGCCATTTACCTCTGGGACATTGAAACTGGAGCGCGAGTGCAGGAGATCGTGCAGAAGGGCACGGAATATGTCACCGTTTCGTGCAGCTTCAATGAACCTCTAACGATATTTGCGGGCACCAGCTTCGGAACGATCCGCGAGTTCCAGAACTCGACACTGGTGCGGGAGATAACGATACCGTCGAGGAACAAGGGTTCCGTTGCTGACATGTGCTTGGCCAGGTCGGATCTGATTATGTTTGTGTCCGATCACGAAGGCAACCTGTTCAATTTGCAGCTTCCGTTCTTGGAGGCAGGCGGCGGAACCTTCACCAACTTTCGCTTTTTTGATGGTCCTGTAAATAAGATGCGCTTCTCCTACGACGGCACCATGCTGTTTGCCATCTCCAGCAAGGGAACGCTGGCCATCTGGGCGATGGACAACATCGAGGGCAAGGTGGCCTTAATGGACCAGGATTTGATGCGCAGCCAGGAGGTTCTGATACCGCGCAGCCAACTCAATGATAAAATAGAACAGATTGCCAACTTGGAGCTGCGACTGAAGCAGCAGGCGGAGGAGTTCCAGTACCAGTTGAGTCAGAACGAGATCTTTGACGGCCAGCAGCTGCAGGAGGTGCACAGGAGCTACTGCTCGGCTCTGGAGGAGCTCAAGGAGCTGAACAACGAAATCGAGGCCAGGCACACCGAGGAGATGAACCACATCACGTTCCAAATCAATGCCCTGCGGGAGGAGCATCGCGTTCAGCTGGACACGCTGGCCAACCAGTATTCGGAGAGGATGCTCATCGAGTACCAGAAGTTCACCAATCTGCGAGAGAACATGCTGGAGCTGCGCGAGAGCTACGAGGATAAGCTGAAGAACTCCACGGGCACGCTGCAGGACACCGTTGAGGCTCTGGAGAACAACTACAAGCAGCAGCTGAACGAGCGCAAGGAGCTGATTCGCGATCTGATGAAGGAAATGCAGGACAAGAAGTCCGAGTTCATCGAGTACTGCCGCGAGGTGGAGCTGGAAAACGATCGCAACATGGTGTCCACCCAGACGGAGTACGAGAACAAGCTCACTACGGAGCGAAACGAGACCCAGATGTGGCGCGGAAAGGCTGGAGTGCTCCAAAAGAAGTTCGAGGCCCAGAGTCACGAGATCGACTCCCTTCTCGAAGAGGTCGAGGTTCTCAAGGAGGAGCATCACAAGTCCCAACGGAACATCACGAAGCAGATGCGTAACATAGAGGAACTGCAAAAGGATATTTCCGATCGGGACTACGCCATCAACGGCAAGGAGAAACGCATCCAGGACCTGCTGCACAAGAACCAAGAGCTGGACAAGTATAAGCAGGTGCTGGGCCACAAGATCGCCGAGCTCAAGGCCCAGATAGAGCCGCGCGAGTTCCAGATTAACGACAAGCGCAAGCACATCATCGAGATGGAGGCAGAACTGGAGGGACTCAACCAGAGCAACGTGCAGCTGGAGCTGCAGCTCAAGGAGATGCGCGACAAGTATCTGAGCAATGTGGCCGAGCTGCGGACGGAGCGTCATCGGGCCAAGGCCTCCAGGGAGTGCCTGCATGCCATCTGCTCGGACATTTACTACGTGGCCGGGGAGATTAACTCAACCGAGGGACTCAAGAAAGCGGTGCGGGAGCTGTTCCGCAAGCATGCCTCCGACGACGAGCTAAAGAGATTCGTATCCCTGGACGCGGAGGTCAAGGACGAGTTCATGCGGCAGCGCAAGCAGATCGAGAATGTCCTGGCCCGCTACAAGTCGGTGGCCGAGGACAAGTCTGTGCAGAAGAAGTACGACAAGCTATTCAACGAAAATGTGACCCTGATCGCGGAGATCGAAAAGCTGAACGAGACCAACAGAATGCTGCGCAGCAAAGTTAAGGACATACGCCGCACATCGAAGTCTTAAAGTTCCTGGGCGAAAGCTTAATCTATAAAAATATGTATTTCACATTGGACTTAAAGAGATATTTAGTTGAACGGCTATACATACATATACAAAATGGCATTGGTTTCGATTTGATTTTGGGTCTAAGCCTCCACTAGGACTTTCTTGGGTTTGCTGCTAATTGCTTTGGTTTTTGCCGGCTCCTCTACGGATTCGCTATCCGCCGCGGCGGGCAGGTCCTCGGTGGGCACCTCGGGCAGCTGGATGCCCTTCTGCTGCTCTTCCTCTGCCTCAAGAGCATCCAATTCCGCTAAGACATCCTCCTCGTCCTGCGTGGTCAGCACATCGGTCAGTATGGCGTCGATTTCTTGCTGCTTTTCGATGCCCTCGCGAGTTTCGTCCATGATTCGTTCCACCTCGTCTATGTCCAGCATTTCGTGAACCTTTTTAAGGGCCGCATTGCCCGCCTTCAGGCCATCCAGCACCTTCATTTCCACCTGGGCGAACTCAAGGTCGGCGGCCAACTTCTCCAGGTTCTCCAGCTGTTTGTCGGTATTGGTCAGTAGACTTTCTTGGTACTTTTTCTTGCGTAGCAGCAGCTTGGCCCGGCTGTAAGAGGATTTTTATATAGTAACTGGGACCTAATACAATATTATGGGTTATGTATATACTCCTTGCGACCCTGCTGCAGGCACTTCCTGGCCATAAGTCTGTCATTCTCCAATTGCGTCTCAATGCGTTTCTGGTATTGCTTCAGGCGATCCCTCTGCTGCTTCAATTGCTGCAATGGGAAATTTGTCTGGGCTTGGAAGTGGCCATCAGGTGTGGAAGGATGCTCTGACTCACCAGCACCGCCTTGTCCTGGTCGGTAATCCGGCTAATGGCCGGTTTTTTGCTGCTTTTCCCAAATAATGCCCCCATGACTAATGTTAAAAATCTTCTTCTTTCGTTATTTGTTGACATTCGATGGGCCGATAGCATTTGTATCGTTATCGGTTGTTTTAATCGAATTAATGTAGTCGAAAAAATACTAAACCCACTTGTACAAAATAATACTAGATTAAATTAATTTATTTTAAAAGTAGATTAATGAGCTATAAGCCCTATATAGAGAACTAAACCTTCTACCAATCCCCTTATTCCTCACACTACCAATTAAATACAAATTTAATCAACTCGTCTTTACAGTTAATTATTCCGTTTTATTCGCACTTGCGTGCAAACACCATTTTCAAATTGTAAAAATAGCTCTAATCCAAAATGAAAACCAGAGTAGATTAACGGTACGACTTCTGGTAGCGGGCACGGGCACCTGGACCGCCGAACTTCTTGGGCTCGCAGCGACGCGGATCGCCGACCAGCAGGGTTCTGTCGTACTGCACCAGAATGTCCTTGATCTCCTTCTTGGAGGCCTCATCGACGTCTGGAAAATAGGCAGAGGAATAAAAGTTAGTTAGGCGTTCCTTTCAAAGAAATAATCTAAAAACATAGAGTTAATGAAGTGTCGTTGAAGCCTCAAATAGCAATAGTCAAATCTGCCGATCGCTCTCTTTGATTGCGACATTCACTTGTTCTCCCTTGCTCGAGTCCTTCACTGGAAAAGGTTGATAATTCCAACAAAAATCTGGGAGAAGGTGCACAAAATATCTACTAGAGCGTTCAGATGTTTCTGAAGCATCACCCAATTCTGTCCAATTATCGGGCAGCTTGGTTGGTATATGCTCACAATGGGGTTCAATCTGCCTTGCTTAAATGTTTCATTGGACGAGTGATTATCCAACAAAAATCTGGAAGAAGGGGCTTTGGTTCCTAATGTTCTCGATGCATCACCCAAAACTGCACACTAATCTTGCAACTTGGTTGGTATGTGCTCATAGGTTACTCTGGCCTTTATTGAATCATTTGCAAGAGAGACGGGTTTCTCTCAAACAAAAACCTATTAAGGCGGCCAGGAGATTGTTGAAGGGGTGAAGATTCCACTTACATTTCTGGTAGAAGGCAACGAGAGCCTTGGAAATGGCCTGACGGATGGCGTAGATCTGGGCTACATGACCACCACCGTTGACGCGCACACGGATGTCCACACCGGCGAATTTCTCCTGCAAAACATAAATTAGGAAACGAATTAATACACCTTTTGTTCGATGAATAAATCTTACTTTGTTTCAGTGTTAATCAGAAACAAATATTAATCTCATTTGGCTTCGAATTCGGGATAAAAGTTATCATCATTTTGTATCTATAGGCCTTGTTGCCGCTTCCAATGTTTTGCGCTACTTTTCACATATCACAACAGGGAAGGGGTAACGCAACCTTTGTCACTTGAAAACACATGGACATACCTTGCCGAGCAACAGGATGGGCTCCTGCAGTTTGTATTGCAGGACCTTGGGCTCAATCTGCTCCAGGGGACGACCGTTCACCCTCAGGAGACCGTTGCCACGCTTGCAGTAGGCCACAGCGGTGGCGGTTTTCTGCAATAATAAACAAACCACATATTACTGTCCGCTCCAGAATTTGTTGCAAACCCAAACAGCACTCGCGCACACACAAACATAACCTCAGCGACGAGGCGGCAGAGCCCAAGTCTTTTGCCGCCGACTGACGCGGTTTTCGTCTGCTACACGTGCGAAAGTTTGGATGGATTTCAGGGCTTTAAATCACACACACCTTGCGTCCGAAGACCTGGACAGCCTGAACGGGTTCTCTGCGCTGCAAAATACAAATATTTGCAACATTTTAGGCATTAGTAGGGCACGAAATCTGCGTTTTTTCACTGGCAAATACCTTCTGCTGCATTTTGCTTCGCGAGCTGGGTAGGAAAAGAGCGGAAGTCGCGTTGACAGTTGGCGGAGCTGTCAAAACATCGATAGCCCTATCGATAACAACGTGGTTGGCGGCGCCATCGATTGGTGCTCGGTATTGCCGATAGTTGGATGATTTTGAAGTTAAAAATATGGTAATTATTGGAGTGTCAAGGAAACATTGAGACAAAAAGATTTATCAATCAAATTTGCATAACACATATAAAATTATTTATAAAAATAAATAACAAAACCTATCGATGTTTTGACAGGTCTGCAAAAAAGTGTGACCAGGCTGGCTTGCTCGCATTATCCGTGCAGTTTTCGACGCCATCTGGTTTTTTCATCTGCTACCTGTTCGGCCACAGTGGCCATTTTATGCATAAGTATCAGTGAATTCCGAAGAGAAAGAAAAAGCTAAAAGTGCTGAATTCGCAAACCAAAAATGGTTGTCTGCACTGCCGCCATGCCAATGGAAGCGAGGCAGCAGACGCCGCAGACGCCGCAGACAAAGGATCCGCCCAGACTCATGGATGGGCCCCCTGGTGGCCAAGGCCAAGGCGGGGTAGAAGAGGACGATCGCGAAGAGGGCGAGATTGTGGATGACTTTGAGATGATAATCTCGTCGGAGGACGAGGAGTTCAAGCTGCGCGCCCGCATCCAGCAGCTGGAAGAGAACAACAAGGATGTGGAGCGCATGGATATGTTGTCCGCCAATTTGGCGAATCAGTACAGTAAGCAACATGTAGTGACATGTATGCACATGTGTGCGTGTGTGTGTTCGAGTTGATAGGGCTTCTCCTGGGGTTGAACTTGAAATATATTGCGTGTTATTCAATCGTACTTGCTCGATCAGTCAATCATTTCTCCAGCCCTTGAAAATAAACTTTGTGTCCTTTCAGATTACTCAAAGCCCGTGGAGCGTGATTTTCGGTACCAGCACAAGCCGACCATTTACGTGTTGTCGGATGTGTCCAGCCAGTCGGATAACGAGTTCCTGGAGCAGCGCAAGCATCGCAGGCACAAGATACGTCGCCTGGACCAAGCTGACAAGACTCATCATCGGAGATCGATTGTAGATGAAGACTATCGTCGGAATCCCCTAAGCAGGCGCACCAAACACAAGCAGCTGTCGCCTTCGCCGCCGCCTCTGCATCGTCGCCGGCAGGGATATAACCATCACCAGCAACGTCACTTTCACCAGCAGCAGCACTACGGGAACTCGCCGGCACACCATCAGGAGGGCATTTTGCTTGAATCCCTGGACAGTGCCACCGACGACGACTGTGATGTGAACATTGACAGCGAGGACGACGAGGTGGCGGACCTGCAGAGGCTCAAGCTTAGTCGGCACAAGCTGCGCGTGGCCCTGGCTCTAGAGGAGCGGCAGGAGGAGCTGGGCCAGTACAAAAATAGTTTAAAGGAGCGACTAGAGCGACAAAACCGTTTGCGCAAGTCACCCAGTCCGAAGTACAGAAAGGAATACCCTCGGGAGAACAACATTGAGCTGCTGCCACCGTTGCAGGTACTCTCCGACGCCGACGCCGAGGAGGATGAGCCCGAACCAAATCCCCACCAGCAGCAGCAGGAACAGCAGCCTGAAGATCCTGCTGAGCTGAGGCTGCGACTGATAGCCCTGAAATCAGCCATTCTCAGGAAGCATCAGGCACGCAAGAAACGGGATGCGGAGCGAGCCTACTCACCCACCGATATGATCAATCGCGTGCATCCCGTCTCCAATGACGATGACATCGACGACCTAATGGAGATCAGTCCAGCCGCGTCGCCAGAGCGCATACCAAGTCCCCCAAGATTCCTGATAGACGATGCTGTGGACACGAAGCCAGTGGACATGGAGTTGGCCGAGACGGACAGCGATGATCAGCACAATGCCTGGGATGCGTGGTCCAACAACTGGAACTCAATGGATCACGCAGGCGGTAGTTGGCGCTGCTTCATGCCCAACTCCCTGCCGCCCGTTTCCATGCCCATTGTGATAGACGAGGAGGATGAGGAGGAAGACATCAAAGCGGAATTTTGTAAGGGGAGAGCGCTTGAAATTTTCACGGACGACGAGGTGCCACCACCACCGCCACCGTTTCACATTCCACATATGCACCTGGAGGATGAGGATGCCCGGGACGCCATGCATTTGGTTGATCAGCATTCCAACCACAGTTCCGTCACGGACATGCAGTCCGTTACCATGGACAATTCGCAGACGCGCAGCAAGAGTCTCGACAAATATCAAGCGGACACGAGTGATGACGAGGCCGGTGCCTTGCGAGCCATGCTTTTGTCCAACTTACGGCCAAACAAACCCCCACTGCCGCCGCCTCCGCCACCTGCAGAGCCTTCCCTGCCGCCTGTTACCTATTCTGTTCCTCCTCCTGCAGCTCAAGTCAATGAAGAACCACACTCGGCCAGCGACTCTGATGATCCGGAAGAGTTGCGTTCACTGCTCCTTTCTAGCATTGCCACCAAAAAGCGTATAAGCCATCCGCAATCAAGATCAGCGACCAGTCCGCTGATCCTTAAGAATGCAGTAAGGCGCTTCCAGCCTATTAAAGATGAAGAAGCTTTAGAGGATCAGCAACCAGTTGAAGAAGGAGAAGACATCATTGAGCCAAAAGGTGATGAAAAAGACCTAGATGAAGAACTTCCACAAAATCAGCAGACGGTTGACAAAGAGCTTACAGAACAAACAGCTGAGGAAAGGATTGCTGAGCCAAGTATTACGGAAACTGCTTCTCCAATCTCAATGGAAGTTGCAGAAACTCCACAGCCGCCAGTTGTTGCCACCCAAAAATCCATCCAGGCCACGCAGCCCACTTCATCACCGTCCACCAAGATCATTAAAATCGTTAAGCCCAACAAGGTGATCAACAAGATGACAACGACCAAGCGAAAACTGCCAATGGACGAGGCATCCGCCTCGGGTTTAAGCGTCAAACGTCCAACGACATTAATGATCAAGGAGCCCAGCGCTCCGCTGCATCGTAAAAATGGGATCTCATCTAGCACACGCCTTATTACCACCATGGATCCGGCCAGCATCAAGGTGAACAAGTTGGTCATCAGTCTGGGGGAGGAGTCAGCTGCCAGCGATGATGACTTGGACCTGGGATTGTGCTCCTCCTATGCCAGTTACGCGGACATTGCCAGTCCTCTGAGCTTGACCATGGGTGGCAGTCCCAGTGGTTCCACCACCAGATCAAATACTCCCATATCAGAGATTGCGGATACGGCGCCTAGCGATAATGGCAACCTCAGGCGAACCTTGATCAATGAGTACTTTGAGAAAAAGATTGATGACTTCCTAAGGCAGGCGAGATCAAAGGCACCAGCAAGTGGCGATTCGGCGGAGGCAGCGACGACGACGACAGCTGCTCCAGAGAAGGTGCCCGAGAACCCCAAGGTGAACGGAAAACAACAGCCTGCAGTTACTACTCCCAAGATGATGCAGCAGACAAAGACTACGCCCGTGGTAAGTGTTGGCTCTAACGTAAACAATGACCATCTCTCACCTAATTTTAACAGGCTGTGCGGCATTTGCCAGTGGCGTCGCAGAAGGAGTATCTTCGATTGGTAGAGCGAATGCGATTGCTGGAAAAGAAAAAGAATCTGACAGCGAAAACAGCATCTCCTCCGGTAGCAGCAAGTAAAGGGTCCGCTGCGGAGAAGCCTATGCCCGCCAAGAACGGCTTTCATCAGCCAGCCAAAGCAGCCTTAGTGCCTACTTCCACCAGCAGTAAGGCAACTATGACGCCAGGAAAGCCTCAGGCCAAGACAGCGTCAACCAAAGCTAGCAACCAAAAGACAAAGCAAAGCCAACCGCCCAGGGAGAGTCGGCTGAAGGCCTTTGAGAACTCCTTTGCCAAGATCGGGTAAGTAACGGGAGGGAGCAATTAATTAAGCATCTATTCTTAACTTATTCTACTTAACTGTGATTTTTGGGTTCCTTTTGGCAGCTCCAGCATGATAACCAATCTGGACAAGTCTCTGCAAATGGTCGAGGAGGCCAAAAAGTCCAAGATTATACGCCTGCGCTGTTCGCAGCGCCTCAATGAGCTCTATGCCGAAATGCAGTCCGTGAAGCAGGCTGCCCGACAGGAGGAACTGAAGCTGTCGCGAATTCAGCCGGAGATTCAAGCCAGCCATGAGATCATCATATCACTGAAACAGAAACGACACAAGCTCCGAGCAGCGGCCCTGGACCTGGGCCGAGGATTAAGGGGCGATGACTACAGGTACTAACATCAGCAATCATCAACCACAACGACCAACCAGAACGGCGTGGGAAAGCTGGAACAGAGCGACTGGCAGAAAACCAAATCAAAAGCAAAGCGGCAGCTGGGCGTGTTCTATGCGATTATAGGTTTGATTCTCTTGCAGGTTACGCGACGATGGCAAGGAGGATATCAGCCTCAAGTCCAAGCAACTCACCAAGGAGATACGTCTCTACAATTCCATTGTGAAGTACGACGACCTGAACAAACTGACTGAAGTGGAGAAGGAACCAAAAACTGTGATTGAAAATGGGGTAGAACGAGAGGATATTCCAGCCGAGCAGCCAATCGAACTGAAGGAGACGTCCAGTCCCAGCGAAACGGCAGTTCCAGCTATTGTAGAAACGGAGAAGGAAGGCCAACCTGAACCAGAACCGACGGCGGTGGAGACTCCAGATGTGCGTGGATTTCCATTTGTAGAAATTGCTTCAAAATCAAACCTATTGCTAAGAACTTCATTCAACGCGACTAGCATCCCTCTATGGGGTGTTAGACATCGAGAATTGTGCTAAAAGCCCGCACTAATGAAACGGTTGAGTTTATTTTCAGAATCAGGCGCAGGACGAGGCGATAGAAGCTCCCAAGCAGGACTCGCCAGGGCCCTATACGATAAGCACAATGCGGACGCTGTGCGAGGAGAACACTGAGCCAGAGCCGAGGTCAGCTAGTAGCCACTACCTTCCGGCTTACCAAACGCCCATGCCGCGGAACTACAACAGGTGAGTTAGGCATCTAGCGACCTCTGCCTGCTTGGAGAAATGTATTTGCTTGGGTTTCTCTTTTTTCCTTTCTCTCTTGCTCCCAGTCACCTGGATGTCCATGCCACCATCTGTCCGTTCGATCTGATGGGTCGCTGCGAGGATGCGGACTGCTCCTACCTGCATTTAGCTCGTCCCGATGCTCCCAGCGAGCTGCCAAAGACAACAAACCTCTCTCCCATTCACTAACAAAAGAAAAACTCACACTAAAATCACTAAAAAGTAACCAAAAAGATATTTATTAGCGTGCTTGAATTCTGGTAAGTTGAACTCTTCACGCGACTTAATATTTAAATGTTGCTTTCAGTCAACTTTAAACACAAAAAAAAAAGAAAAACAAATCAAATGCCAAGCATGTGAAGAAGAGCAGCAGTAGCAGCCGTCGCATCGAGTGCAAAACCCAAAAAAAAAAAGAAAAGAACAAAGAAACACAATCGATCGTTACTTGGTTGTACCTTGTTTGTTATGTACATTTATATAGAGTATATCTCGCGTAGTGCAAGTTCAATGTTCGTCGACGCCGACGAAACGGCGATGATGTTCGGATGTGCATTATCTTTACCTTTTTCGTTTTTCTTATGTTTTTTTATATAATCTACTCCTCAACTCGCCATATGAAAGAGTGCCCAAAGAAGGGTGTACAGCTAGAAAAGATTTGCTTTAAATTAAACATTTTTGATTGCTAACTGAGTACTAGTAGCCAACATTTACTTTTCATTTCGAAATCAATTTCAAATAGCCATTATATTTGTAATTATTATAAAGTTTTCTAAAAAGCCAAAACAAAATGAATTTACTACAAAAAATTCGCAAAAAAACAATGAGAAATAAATAAAAGAGATACATTTAAAATGAAGTGAAGGCGTTTCTTTTTGGGGGGAAAGGGTAAGACAACAAATACGCTAATTTAGCCTTGTTTATTCCTAGATACATAATTTAAAATAAATACAGTAGGTTATCACAGCCAATCCATTGCGCAGGAGTGCGAAATAATTTAATTTTTCGATGAAAGTAGGTCCTTTCTATTCGATGCCGAAGAACACGTACTCCCTGCACCAGTCCTTTATGCCATCGTCGTTGCTGCAGCAAATTGGATAGACGATATCCGACTTGGTCACCTTGGCACAGCGCATGCACAGCTCCATGGTGGGTATATCCTTCTCGCACTGCTGCACCTTCCGTATGGTCTCCGCCGACAGGTTGCCATGGTATTCGCTGGGATCCACCGGCGGCGGCTGCTCCACTCCCGACGTCGAGGGTCGGGCATCGGCACTGAGCGGCAGCAGTAGCAGCAGGCTCGCCACTAATATATTGCAGAAGATCTGTCGAAAGTTGAATTATTCGGTTAATTGAATTTTCGACTGCCCAATTGACGGGGATGCGCTTTTGTCCGGTTCTAGCTCAACGCACGGCATCCTGAGCCAGATCAAACGAGTTTGATGGAGTGCAGAGCCATGTCTTTGGACTTTATATGAACAAAAGGACAACGCTTATAGTTTAATCAGATCAGACAGACGCACGGGGGGGCATTGACACAGTTTCGCATATTTCGAGGAACATTTATTAGTTTAAATAAATCTGATACACTTTCGTAAACAGTTTCGATTTATTAGTTCCATTCACTTCACGAGGGCCCGGGGCTTGGCCCCCGCCATAAATCATTGTGGAGTGTAATTGTGCGAGTGAGTACTAAGGTTTATTTCGAACATTGATTAGCGATTAGCCTGTCTTTATCACTGGGGTGGGTGTATTTTCTGGACTTTGTCTTCAAACAATTAAATTCAGGGGTAGAAATCGAAGAGTGCTTACTTTCTGAGCCATTCTGTTGTGTTAACACTAATACTTTCTCCACTCCGCGACTAATATTTATGTATATATAAAACTCTCCTCCAAGTGCTATTCGCTATAGCCGAGCTTCGCGCAACTGGGAGCAGGCGGCGCTCGAGCATTACTTTTTATACTTGGGACCCGAAGCCAACGCACAGATCGTGCCGAGATCGTGCAGCATTCGTGACACATAATGGTTGATAGGCGAGATACCAGGTACTACCACTATATCGCGCGGAGGAGAGGGCAAGATATGCCAGGGCTTTGCCCACTCAAGTAATCAGATCGATCGGAATTTACAATGTGCTTCGGCGATCGTCGTATAACACACACTTTTTGGCAGGAAGCTTAAGCATGACTCTGCAACACATATCAGTTATCATAGGCAAAGTTTACATGGGGAATTATAATCGAGTTCAAATCAATTAGGGTTTGAAGTTTGTGCTTTACCAATTATCTATCAACTAACTGGGGAACACCTTAGGAATTCAGGAAAAACCAATCGACCTTCTAGTGATAGAGAGCTTAGAAAATGACATCAAAATAACTGATTTATGGAATTTCCATTTGCCTTTCAATAAATAAAAGTGATTTTAAAATAATTTAAGAAATATACGGCTCATATTCCGCTCTTATAAATTAAGTTAAGATTAAGATTTAATCATAATTTACAGGATTTTGAGAACGAAAAATGTTACCTTATAATGATTTATTCACCTATTTTCGAAAAATCAGTATATATCCACAACCTGAAGGGTTTGTTTAATAACTATAAATTTAATAATTTGTTTCAAATATAAGTATATAATTTATTTACTTATTTATTTATTTAATTTCACCATTCCAGGTTCGATTTCGCATTTAACTTATGTATTAAAGTGTATTTCGATTAAATTGCCAAAATGCTAAAATTGCCAGTTTAATCCGCTTTTTTAGGCGCAGACAAGTAAATAGCTCTGAAAGTAAATAGCTTTAAATCTAATTTGACACCCGGTACAGAACGAATTACCTTGAGTTTATTTGGAAATTAATATATTTTTTTATTTATTTTATTTATAATTAAAATAATTGGGTTGTCAAAGATTAATAGCAATCAATAAAAAAATAGCAAATGTCAAATTGAGCAAAGATTTAAGAATTATTAATTAAAAATGGAATATTCAGAGGTGCTTCAGAAATCACTCGGCTTTTTTTTGTGGGTTTTAAAAATAATAAAGTTTTTACTAAGATTAGTGTACTGTTTCCTTAAACTTTTGGTAACTTAACCTAATAGGAAATAAATTTAAGTTTATAATGTTTCCATAGTTGCATTAGGAAGGTGTATTAAGTAAATTTATGCTTACATAATTTAAAATGCTTTCATGTTATATCTGATGTGTTAAGTCAAGACCCGGTCTGGGAGGTCCTGAGGATGGTGTCGCTCCTAACTAGTATCCCATGATGACTAGTTCGGTTTTTGAAATCCCTTAATGAGGTGCTGAGAAGTATGCAATAAAATATATAAGGGCCAACTTCAGTTACTTTTATGTAAATTATTCTATGTAATATTTGGTAGTATTATTTTGAGCCTCTTTTTTAAAATAAATTCAAAGACCAGATATTTTCTGATTAGCTAAAAGTTCTTATTTCTTAATTTATGATCCAAGTGTAAGATCACTTTGTTATTGAGAAAGTTCTTGATACATAACAGTTTTTATAGAATTTTAGATAATTTAGCAAACAATTTTAGTAAAGATTTCAAAACAATAAAAGAATTTCAAAAAAGTATGCAATAATATATTTTAATTAAAAAATTCATTGATACTAGTATCACAACAAAGATAACCTATTGGCATGCCAATCATTGTCGAGGAAGTAAAGGCTGATGAAAAAGTCCGAGTACATTGCGAAATAAACTAATGTCTGGATAAGAACCTGTTGAGTTTCAGGTAGTTTTTGATTTTTCAGATTACTTTTGTTGAATGAAAATTGTAAACTTTGGTGAAAAATGATTAAAAAATTAATATTAAAATAAATTAATGTCTGAAAAAGAAACTGTTGAGTTTCAGGTAAATTTTAACGTTTTACTTTTGTTGAATGGAAATTGTAAACTTTACTAAAATATAATAAGTTATTAATATAAAAATTAAAATGTAATATAAAATTTAAGGATCGACTTAACAGAATAAATCTGTCTATGCAATAGGAAGCACTATGGCATTTGTGAGACAGGCGCCGCTTGTTTACCGAGAACATTCTGAGCTCCACGGCAAGCGCACTGCATTATACTCGGATTCCTATGACGATCGAAATAATATATGTATGTATGTACATATGCATGACAGGGTATACTGGCACATAAAATGTTGCGTAGACACTGACAATTAGTGAAACATCATGTTGCTGATAATGGTATTTCATGGGCGCCCAACTGATTACAAGCGATCATGCTGGACCCTAGCTACGCAATTTCATTGTGCAATGTCTCGGCCAGTGTTTACTTCCGGCAATAATGCGAAATAGCCGGGAATTCCGGGACCTCAGGTTAATTTCCACGCATGCAGCGTATGACTTCACCAGAGATACACTTGAATGCATTCATATTTATTCCCTGCGAGAAATACTAATTAATGCCTCTCGAGCATTGCTTGTAATTGCATATCAAATTCTTGGAATCGACAGCGGTTATTCCCCTAAATAAAACAGGGTTGTGGAAACTTTTAATTGGTTTATTTTTGTGCACTTTCAGTGACAAGTCTAAGGGTTATGTAATATTATTGAAGGTCTTGATTTTAAAGATTTTCCCTGAGTTGTTTGTATTTTCCAAGTCAGGTTTTGAGGATTTTTTTAATTAATTACTTTGTTTCAAGTGTGATTTACTTGGTGGGGGCTTTATAAATAATATAAACCTAATAAACGCTTAAAGTTCAATTTTACTCAGCCTTTAACACAACCTTGATCCTTTGATAACACACGATTGATTGTGAATAACAAATAATTCGATTAACCTTTTCACCCAATCTTAATTATAATCCATTCACAACTAATCGTAAGAGACAGGGAATTTCCGGTAAACTATGATGCAGTTATTTACTTTCATAAATTTGTAGTGAAGCTCTATATATAGTGAAAAGGAGTCCAGGAAATCAACGACCTTAGTCCCTGGTAAAGCTTCGATGATTACCGATGTCTATATTTGAAGACCTAGTTTAAAATATACTGAGCAAACAAACAATGCAAATTGCTGATTAGATTGATCACATCACATCTGAATTGCAATTGATAACATTTCAAGTATTGCAATTTTATTGAAACGTATTTATTTCAGTTAAACATTTGTTTATTTCCAAGTAGAAGAGGCCTGATTCATGCCTAGACTTTAGTATCCGTTAAATGCTACTTCACTTTCGACGTTTTGCTATAGAAAAAAAAAAAATAAAAGAAAGCATAATAATAATAAACAATTCCTTGGCCCAGACAATGAACTTTGGAGCCGAAGATTATGGCAATCAGCCATCGGGCATAAATGGTGTGTTGATTTCATTCGTTTTTCAGTTAATTAGTCCAATCGAACGGACAGGGAAGCACGTTACCCGCCGCCCCATATAGTATTTCGCCAGACGACCGAAGTAATCAGATCGACACGAATCTGGGAGGAGCATAAATCATCACCAGACTTACTCTGGGATTTTATTTCTGAAGAGTCATTCATATCGGACTAGCGATGCCCCAAGAGGTTCCTGTTGCCAAGTGGGCGCCCACTCCCCCACACGAGGGGTTCTTCCTATGTATTTATAGTGCTGCCAGATGGAATGGGTAGATAGGCTAAAGATTCCCGATCGGCGGCTATAAATACAGCTTTGATTGTTTACAAAGCGACTCTCGGTCTCTCGGTCCCTCTTATCGGTGAGAGGTCACCCACCGCTCCGGGTTTGTTTGTCTCCGTCCTAGATGGGCGCGAGCAGTGAGTAATGTCATCAGCCGAATTATATAGTAATCACCTTGGCCAGCCCCATAAATCATGCCCTCCTTGCCACCCACCAGCCACCCACACAGTCTGCGAATGATCTCGGCCCCAAAGTCCGCCTTCACCATAATCTTGATCGCTTCTATGGATCCCTGCTTGCCATGAGGCAGAAGTGTGCCATCGATCGCAGAAGGATATAAAATTAGTTCTGACACAAAAACGTTATCGTTAGGGGGCGGTGTCATTAAAGTCATTTGATAATTGATCCATAATTGATCTATAAACATGACTTTTAGCTTATCTTAACAAGTATTTTGATTTTAGAACGTGACTAGGTCTATTTTATTTCCTTATCTTTAATTTGTTTTTAGTTTTACATTTAATAATGTTACTAAAATATAACTAAATCTGCGTTAGTCACTTAAATTCAAGCCTTGAGCTACGTAACCTTTTAAAATCTTTATTCTATTTAATTTTTCTAAAACCTTTTGATTTATTTCAGTGCCATTTAAAAAATGTTTATTCTTTGAATAATTAATTTGATTTATTAATTTAACTTTTAATGGATTACAAATTTTTTTTACTTTTTTACATTTTCTTAAGATGGAAATATTTTTTACTTTATACATGATTTTACATATAAAAAAGCTCAAAGTTGTTGGTTTTTGTATAAATATAATTTTCGAAGTTCTTTCCTTTTGACTTGAGTAATTTTACATGTACATAGAAAATAGGTAAAATTAAATATACATTTTACATAGTATTATTTTAAGTTTGTTTTAAAAATAATTTTTTAATATATGAAATTCATATATACTTTACAATTATTTTTTGATTTGGATCGGTCCTAGACCCTAATCATCCTTTAAATACTATTTTAATTGTTTTTTTTTAATCTTATTTTCCTTGTTTCAATTTAATAATATAACACTTGGTACACGTAATTTTCACATTAAATTTAGTATCAATATTTATATATTCTTTCTTTTCTGATTTAAACATATGTCTTTAGTTGAATTAAAAATATAATCATTTTTTCTTTATACACATCACAGCTTGTATTTCTATGGTTAGGCTACCCAATCCTTTCCGGGAGCTTTAAATCAGCAGCGGATTCTTGGATTTACCAACTTAGTAATGAATAATTGATAAGTTTTTAAATAATTAAAACACCATTATTAAAATATTTTGAGTCATTTCCAATTACAGTCGATAAGGTTTAATCGGTAACAAATTTGTCACAACTATTTATAAGAAATTATATTTTAGTACAATATGTTGATTTATTAATATTTATTTATATTCTTCAATATGTACCTTTTAATTTTATGGTTACACAAAATTGCTTTATTTATGAAACTTTAAAACTCATAATATGGAAAAATCAAAGTTTAAAAAACCATAACTAACTCAAAAGCATTAGTTTAAATTCGTAAAGATTTTCTGTTTTAGTTTTTATTAGTTTAATAAATCTGAATATATAATTTATAAATATGAAAATGTTTTATCAATTTTTCTAAATCTTAAAATTTTAAAATCTTTTTTTTAAATTTTCCTATTATTATTATTTTTTTTAATCTCGGGCTTTTTAGGCATATTCATACGAATGTGAAGACCTGAAATATTTGTATTCTTAAAATTGATATTTTTATATTATTATGTCTATTATTTCTAGGACAAATCAAAATAAAAAAATAAAACATACTTTTCTTAAAAAAGGATTGATTTCAATTGGGAAGTTTTTTATACGTTAATTTTATTATGTTGATAAATCTGCATACTGAATCTGAATCGGTATATGAAGAATTATCACCTACGAAATTTTACCCAATTATATTTCAAATTTTAAATTATTAAAATTATTTTATTTCAAATTTTAAATTAATAAAATTATTTTATTTCAAATTTTAAACTATTATTTTAATAATGTGTAAAATTTCTTAGCTGTAACTGTTGGGACTTAACAACTAAATTATTGCAAATGTACCTTTTAATTCTGTGACCCCGTTTGCCACTTTATTTGCCCAATCTGTAACTAGGTAATTAGGCGGCCTTTCATTTACACACTCTTTCCAATCTGATAATGTTCGTAACCATATTTAGCTGAATAACATGTTTTTGCCAGCCGGCTAATTAAATTGGTTGCAAGAATATGCAATCCACATTTGTCGATTCGGACACAGGACGTAGCCATCCCAGGAGGCGCCAGATTTGCATAGTTTATGGCAGAAGTTGTACAAATGCAATTCCGATGTCGGGCCAGAGACAGTAAGTATTCCCCATTATCCTCCTGCCCCCCTGCGACCGCTCAATCATTGTCCGTTGTCAATTGCCGATGCCCAATGGCCACCGATGGCCTGCGTTGCAGTGATATTGATTTTGTGTAGCGAAACCCCTGATGGACGGACCCACATTACGGGGAGCCCAACAACATTATATGGTAGGGCGGTGTTGGTAACCAAGGTCAGTTCTAGTCGTCCACACAAACCCTATTATTGGGGGATTTGTGGGGAACGTGACTACCGCCTAGCTGGCCATTACCACTCAGTGTCACCTGTGTCACCTCACCTGTGTCACCTGACCCCATACATAATAGCATATAGTGTGCCAACTTATGCAAGTGTAAGTCTGTTTGGCTGGCATCAGCTTTGCCAAGAAATTTAGTGCATTTCGCAATAAGGCTTCGCTTTGGCTTTGCTTTACCTGATCGTCCTTTTGAATAGGGTGGACCCTAGTAATATTTATCATTTTTAAAGAAAAAATGTTTATAAGTGTGTATCAATGAAATATGTACCCTGTGAACTGATTGGGTTAAGTAAATTATGAATAAAAACCAATGAACGATTTATACGTTTTTTTTTCATTTAACTCCTTATTTAAAGAAATAAAAGAACGATTTAAGGGGAAACACTATTATTTAATTAATATAATTTTTTTACATTTAATTAATTATTTACTTGGTTACAATCCTTTAATCCATTGATTATATATTTTATCTTGTAACAAAATAAATAAATATAAAGATATATAATATAAATTTCAATAAATTTGTGTATATTTTACAAGAACAACAAGAATTATATGTAATTCGATACGAATCCTTTTATCACCACATCTCGAGATAAATCCTCCAATTATAGTTTGTCGGAGGTCCACCCTACACTTCCCCAGCGGACAACGCGACGGCTCATTAGTCTTTGCATTGTGCAGGTCGCTTTAGTGGATAAAAACAAAAGTAAAGATAAAGATGAAGCGAACAGTAAGCCAGAAGAGAGGGGAAGATGCTTAAAACCAGAAACAGCTGCATTCGCACTGGAAAGAAAAGAGATCTGCACATGCGCTCACTGCATTCTTTCGGCAATTTACCTGCATTTCAGTTTTCAATGCGGCGAGCAGAAAAATCTGATAACAAAAGCCGAGTGTATGAGAACAACAACAATGGCAGCAACAGCTGGCTGGCAGAGAAGTTGAATGAAACAAGCAGAAACAGCTGCCTCTTGGGGCTCCAACTCTGGTGGCCCCCGCAAGGTAAAGAGAGAACTGAGTTAAGTGAACACCAGCGGAGTGGCACTCTTAAGCCGACTCTCGTTCTGCAGTGGGAAAAACTCAAAGCGTTTCTGAGTCAAAGTCGCTTTAGGTAGGAATACTCACAATAATCTAAGTATAAAATCAAAAATAATTAATTTTTAATTCAAACGAGTACAAAAATATTTATTAAAATTAAATTAATATATACATTTTTTATATGGGATTTTACAGGAATTAAACGTAAGAATAAAACTACTTTCCACACATATTTACTCACCTTTTTGTCACATTCCCGCTGTATTCCATCATCAACATTTCATCAAAGTGCCGAATCGTATCTAAACCGACTGCCTTGCGCTCTCATTTTCTATCCTTAAAATAGACATTGATGAAAGTGCGATGAATTGCTGATGAAACACTAAATTCATATTGAAAATAGTGAAATTATATTGAAAACATTTAAATTAATTCCGTTAAATTGTATAAAAATGATGAAAAAGGTGAAATGTTAAAGGTAAGGAAAATAAAAACAAAAATTTCAAATTAAGAAATAAAATCAGCGAGCATTAAATTATATTTTTCAAGTGAAAAATGATAAAAAAAAAACCTAAGCAATAACAATGTTTCTATTTACTAATGACAGCCTAGGACATCCTCATGTTAATTTCATTAGTAATTTGTATGAACTGTCATTAATGATTCACCAAAAACAACAACCTGTATGTTGACAAATTTCTTATGACATGTACTGCCGGGATATTTTTTCTCAGTGTAAATGTTTCTCTTCGCGCTAACACTTAAGAGAAAGTCGGCTGCCGACGTTGCCCGAAGCGAACTAGAATTGAGCGAGACTAAGAGAGCGTCTGCGACAGCTAGCAAAAGTCTATATAAGCAGAGCACTCGCTTCATTCCATTTTCATTCAATTTTCGGCAGCGTTAAAAACACATCTAAAAACAAAACCAGCAGAATATCCGTTAAATCGCCGGGAAAAATATCGCGGAATGATATTTTGAATCTAGTTACGAAAAGTTATAAACGGCACTTTTGATATATTTTTGAACGGACGGCAGTGGAATTCAATTGGCTGCCTTAGCTTCCAAAAATACTCGGTGCGTTTCACAAATCAACCAATATATATACATAAATATATACCTGCTGAGCATATTGAAGCAGGCAGACAACATAACAGCAAAAATCAAAAATAAAGGCAAAAGAAATCAACAAATATATACATATAACTGTAGCAACAACAATCAAAAGTTAATACGAAAGACCGGAGAAGTAAACAACAAGAGCGTAAAAAGCGTGCTTTTGCGTTCGTTGCCGCGTTAAAATTATAACAACAAAAAAAAATAAAGAAATGTGTACGAAATTCCAAAAGTGCAAATTTATTTAAATCACTCTGCTGCAGTGCCCAGTGCTCAACGTTCAAAGTTAACAACAGACGGAAAGCTACGCCGGCGGAGAAGTTGGCTAACGAACGGCATCGGCGGCCCTAGACTGGAACACAATTCGCGCGTCTAATTGAATTTGGTGCGGGAATCGCGAAAACAGGAAAATAAATAACGATAAAGCCTACCAACCAACCTGTGGCTCGGGCTTCGTTTTCAATTCCAATTCCGTTTTGTATTTGGATTTTGATTGTGATTTGTATTTGGTTTTGCGAATTGGACTTTTGTGCCGGGCGGTCAGCCATCCGGAAGCCAATCCAAATGCAATTGTTTTAAACAAAAGCTGAGCCGAGCTTTTCTACCTGTTAGACAACAAATCAAGCGGCAGCCACAGCAACAAAAACAACAACAACAGCATCATGTGGTGCATTGTTAACCTGCCCAACGGCACTCAGCAGGCCGTCAAATGGGATCCCAAAGCCAATGGTCAGGAGTGTCTGGAGAAGGTGAGTTATCGGTTAGGTGGAAATTTTCCATAACATTAAGTTTAGAGCAATGTGATGGCTTTCTTCTTTAGAAGGAAATGTTTAAGATATGTTCTTCCATAAGTTAGGAAGTTTATAAGTTGCTATAATATGAACTGATTTTCTTGGTCACCTTGGTACATTTCCGTAAAATACTTTTACACAATGTCAACGAAAGTCAAAGGCTTCAAGTTCAAAAAGTTTCAGATCCTTTTTTTCTATTTTAAATTGAAAATCATGGTATTCACTTCACAGTTATTTGATATTTTGAATAGTCTACTACTTTATAGACCATCCATTACGAGTTAAAGTTCGTTCCAAGCCTTAAAAAATAAAATAAAACTCACGTATATCTCATTTAATTCTTTATCATTCTTTATAATATCAAACCATAAAGATCATCAATTATAGTTTACACCATATTTTTCTTCAAATGTATATATATTCTCTTGAGATTCACTTTTGAAGATTATACTTCAAGAGAGGACAGGCACTACTTTAAATGGGTTTAAATATTTCCAAATTTTATAAAGTCCTTTTTATATAGATACAAATTTAGAAACTTTTTATCCCTTGAACAATTTTGTGGCTAAGCATTTCCCTGAAATTTGTAATTACCAACATTACTCATTAGGAAATTCGAATCTCAACTAGTTATCATCTCTCAAAAGGGTAAAAAATCCCTTTTTATATATTAAAAAATAACAAGTATATCTCATTCTCCAATGTTACTCAATCCTCTATAAGGGAATGCAAGTTCTAGACTATTGAATATCAAGAGTTCCAACCTTAAGGTCGTAGAACTCATGATATAGTCATCATCACGGTCATATTACAACACGGTCCTTTGCCACACGTCCCGATCAAGTAGTTGCCTTGAAATTACCGCACAATCTGTACAGGCTTATCGATCCCCTATCATATTTTACGCAATTTTTGGCACACGTGTATCGTGTTCCCATCAAAAATGACGTATCCCTTTGGGAAGAGGATATGGTGTAACACTAAAGGGCCTTCAAGTCACTTGAGTCTCAGGTGAAGTCAGGAAAAAAAGCTAAAGAAATTGGTTGGGTTTTATCTTTGGAAATAAATAACTAAAAAATGATTACATTTTTATGGGCGACGTGCAAAGTTGTTGACGACTCACCAGGCCAACGAAAATGTTCTCATTTCATTTTAATGGCGGCCTTTTTTCTTCACTTTTTTATGGGGAATTTCGTTACGGGTAATGCCAGAGGAGCGGCTCAACTATAAAAAAAAGCAAAACAAAAACAAAAAATGTTATGAAAGAATCTTCATTAAATGCACTTGATTCAATTTCAATAAAACTTTTCATTTCGCGAAGCCCCTGGACCTGCAGTCTGACCGAAATTCCTTCCACGCTTTATCAGTGGAAATAATGAGTGTTTTTTTTTATAAATCCAAATGGCATGCCGTTATCAGCTCGGCGTGTCAAATTTCATTGTCTTGTTTACTAGTTTTGCGCTAATTCATTTTAAATGCCAAATTGCCAAAATACCCTTGACTCCCAGCGGCCCCCCTGCGATAGTTTTTTATTCGCCTTCAGGTGCGAGGAAAACAACAAAGAAACAGCACCGATAGCAGGTTGTAGTGCGATTGTGAATATTTATGGTATTAAGTGATGGGTACACAAGGGAAAAACTTAAATTACACTTGAAAATTATAATTAGGGAAATCTTAAAAACATTTAACTTTAGTTGTTGCCTTTACAAAGAGACTCCTTGCAATATCTTCCTTTACTTAAGATCTCAAGAGGTTTATGTAATAAAACAACTAATCCCCTGGGCCTTAGCTAAGTTCATAAGCACTCGATTGTGATTTGGTATCATTTCTTACGGTGTAGCTAGTGCTCCGCTGGTGGGTTCAATGTCCAAGTGGCCGCCACTTGAGGCGCTTTAAGTAAACACTTGACCAGGCCGCTTCTGTTCGGTTTTGGGCTCTGTTACTATGAGAGGGCGATATACATACGATTATGCTTTCCTTGGCACATTATACCCTTAATTTTCACCGCCCTGGCGAAAGATTAAAGGCAATTCGGCAATTCGCCTTGTTTGTCAGGCTAATTAAGACTTTGGCTTATTTGCGACCTGTGCATTAGTGTTTGTGCAATCTAATCAGGCAAACTTATCAAATAACGCACACACAAACACACACTGGCATTAATTTGTCCCAGTCCCAGTCCCAGTTCCAGGCCCAATTCGTTGCCAACTTTATTATCAACAGCAGAAACAAAAACAAGAACCGACAACCAACGGTAAGACACGAAAATATGCTTCTCAACTTGTGTTTCTATCTTATCTAACGTCTATAGCATTATCAGGAGGGGGCTAATTTGCTATCAACATTTACAGCTTTGGAGTGAAAAGCGAACATCGCATATACTACACACACCTGGCAAAAGTCAAGTCAAATTGGGGCCAGAACGTAGATGGTTTTTATGGCAGGGGCTTAGCTCTTAAGTCGTTGCAAAGGTTACGAGGCGCTTTGTTTCCAGTTAGTGCGCGATTAATGATTGCTAATTGAAAGCCCTTTATAGAAATATATGGGGTTATGTGATGGTTAGACCAGACCACCCATCAAAAACCAGTTCCAACGAAACTTTGTGGCACTGTCAGGGAGATAATTTAATATTTATTGGCAACTTATATGTAGATAATGGTATAAATTAGTCACTTGGCATTGAGATCATCATCAATAACTGGAATCTTGGTAATATATATATATAAAATACTCTTTGTCAACTTTGTTTTTCTGGGTTCTCGGCTTAACTGTTGCATTATCCCCCGGTTGACATTGAATCAAAATCCTTATCAATTCCACTTGCTCCGAATCACGTATAGCCTGGACTTTTGTATGCTGCACGGTCCAAGGTCCAATAACACTCTCTATCACCCCTGTTGATCTGGGAAAACATCTGGCATATGTACATAATATATAAGCTATATATAAAAATATATATTCGAATGGGGCCCCCATGGGAGACTGACTGCTCTCTCCCTCCCAGTCGTCATCTGTGATTCAGTTCGTCATTGGATTAATCGAATTAATATTTTTTCCGCTGCGATTTTACTTTGGGCCATGCGTCAGCTTAATCTATGGGCTGTAGCTGGTTGCTTATCATAAAAAAAAGAGTGACGCGCCTCTTGTAACGCCAGCGATAAGGAGGAGTGTCCAAGAGCCTTACACACTCGTCATCGATGACAATGAGAAATCCTGGCTATTAATAAATAGCCAGGTGAGTAAATTTAATTAATTAATTTGAAGGACAGAATGGCCCTGCTGATGATTCAAAGAGTTTTGTCAATGTCACCTGGGTTCACCCAGCCAGGTGACGAGGGTCCAAGTCTCGAAACCAAGGCTCTGAGATAATCCCGCTCGGGTGTAAACGAACTCGGAGATACTGAGTCTCAGATAAGGGCGCGTTTACATAACTTTTGAGCTGGACGGGCGCCTTATCGCGTCGGCTAATGAACCCCAACGAAACGGGTGGGGGGGGGGGGGGCGGTGGATAATCCAAGGGATCGGGACTTCGGGGGCGGTTGCACATTTTAATTACTGGGGGCTGCCAAGCTGGCTCGGCCAGAAGCAACAAAGTTTTTCACTTGTACGAACAATCGCAATCCGAAAAAGTTTTTCCTTGACGTCATTTAGAAGGCCGACGCTTTCGACGAGTTTGCATGTCAAAGGAGAATTACATTTTCGTTACCCCGATTTAACAAATGTATATGGTACTTGGCGGGGTCTATATGTATATGGGATCATGCAAATAAGCCTGCTTTTCGGGGTGTGTGCCTGTGCAGTGAGTCAGGCCGATTCCCAATTTACCCCGCCGCTATTAACGCCATCATGAGCAACAGTTTTATGCTCGACAATACTTGCAATTACCAGCTACTTGTAATTGCATTTAAAATTGCACATTTTCGTTGCTCGTTTGTTGTCGTCTGAGAGAGAGAGTTTTTGGAGTGGCCCTTTGAGTTGTTTTTGATTGCTCGGCTTCTTCGAGTGCGGAATGAGTGGGTTGGATGGGCTGGATGGGCTGGATTGGCTTTTCGAGCATGTTCCGAAGGCCTGCTGTTACATGACAAAGTCCACAAACCGGGAAGAGGTAAACAAGTGACGTTGCAGTGTCACGATAGGGAAAAAACTGATAAATCCCAGGCTCGAATTTGATCAAAAGGTGTGATGAAATCGCAATGGAAACTTTATTCTCAGAAACGGTGCAGTAATATTAGGTCTTAGCTCATACTAAAATAGGATGATAACGGGGTTTGGATGGAGTAATACTTGGGGACTAGCCAGGTTTGCTTTAAAAAGCTATAGAGGTTTTTGAAATTAAACCTGAGATCAGTTTGAATTATGATCTAGCTATTGTAATAAATGGGGGTATAAAAATTAAGTATATAAGTATATTATTAGTATTATATTAAGTCTTAGCTCATACTATCGAGGTTTGAATGAAGTAATTCCTAGGATCTAGCCAGTATAGCTTTTTAAAGCAAAACTGGCTAGTCCCTAAGAAATCACTTTGAATTATGATCTAGTCTTTGTAATAAATTAGGGATTTGAAATCCTCTCAATAGTTGTGAATCAAAATTACCTTAAACTTACTTACTTCAAACATTTTATTGCATACTTTTAGATGCCTTCTAAAGAGATTTCAAACCCCTCGTGTTTTCTTTTATATAACTTTAGTTCCTTTGAACTTCTCTGTATATTCAAAAGTGTATTTCCTATCACTGAATCCTCCCCCACTAAAGCAAAATACTATTTAATTATTTCCCCAGGACCTTAAAGTGTCCATAATATAATTCCGCCACACAGCCTTGACTGTGCGTATAATGGTCTGGCCCTTTGCCCATTGATTGTGATTCCTTATCGGATTGCCTGTCAACAGGCTGCACTAATCAGATCTTTCTACTCCGGCGACACGACATCTATTTTCTAGGTGTAATTATATTTGC